ATAATCTTGTTGCCAGATCCATTTTCAATTTTTTAATTTGTGTATGTGTATGTTGTAAATGAAAATCTGAAAATAAAATATTGTTTAAACCAAGGACTACACATAACAAGAATATTTTTAACGCAGTCTTATTCATTACCTATTAGGTTATTTTCTTTATATTTTGTAACATTTTCTTCATGTTGGTAATGTCAATAGATTAGAAAATCTTATAACACAACCAGTACAAGATTATAGTGCGACTATTTCCGACCTTAGTATACATAGGATTATAGTGCAGCCGAAAAAGTTTTTCGATTCCGTACCATATCGTACGCTACGCTCCACACTGACCACTTGTCCTGTGAAGGTGATTGAGAAGTCACCAAAACGTCACACTCTAATCTTCTACCGGTTGTGTTATAAGAACTTCTATTCTGTTTTCTTTATAGATTCTATGAAAATAACAACCAGTTGATTTGTGTATATTGATTGTGGCTGCATATACATTGCAGTATAATGTAGATAACCATATAATTATTATTTTTCCCCATTTAGTGATTCCACTCGTTAAAATGTTAGTCATATTTATGAAGGCTATGATTTTGTAACGACCATTGGGTATAAGTCAAATTTACAAAAAAAAAAAAAAAAAACAAAATAAAACAAAACAAACAACACGAGATGTATGCAGCAAGTTTTACTGTGTTGTAACCAACATAGTAAGTCTCGTGTTGAAAATCAACCAAAAGTCACATGTACCGGTAACTGTGTGTGAAACTTGGTTTAGTTGGACCATAAATGACAACGGAAAACATTGTGGAGTGAAAAAATCAGAATACGATATTTAAATAAGTACGTTTATCTGTTCCAAATAAATCACTGTTGTTTCACACTAGGAAGATCAAATGTAGTTAAAGGGCGTGGGTTACTTTCTGTCCGAATGTGGTATAACACTATCACAAAACATCCCTATTGTACGGCAGTCATTGAAGGCTGGGATCTTACAAACATGTTGGAGTTTGACGGAATGCAAAACAAGTGAAACTGTGTGGAAATAGTTGTTTGCAAATTTATCCTTGGTGACTGTTCTCAACTTTCAGGAGAATGTTTTTAACCGAGTTTTGTACAAAACGTACCACGTGGAATTAGGTGATATCAGTTAACCCTCGAGGTAGAAGAGGAGGTAACAGGTAAAACATGGCAATTCAAACTCAAGAACGGTGAAACCAGGACAAAATACAAACACAAGGGCTGTCAGAGAGGTTATGCTCCCCGATTAGACAAAATTTAAGTATAAAAGAAAACAAAGGGAAATAACTCCTAAATTATGCAAAAACGAGCGATGATTCTTGTGTACTGCACTTCTCCTTGGTGAGATATATCTACCTATTAAGTTTTATGTTGATACCATATGTATTTTTTTCATGCTCCGGACAAAATTATTACGGACGGACGGACAAAACGGCGACTAGATGCTCTCCATTCGGGCGGGGAGCATAAAAAGAAAATGGTATACGGAAACCATTTCAGATTTAAAAGTGTTGGGACTACACTAAAATTGAACTATTCCAATACCCGGAGATCAGAAGACAGCACCCCTGTTGATCGACTGCAGTTCCATTTACGGGCGGGAACCCACTGACGTATCTTGACTTTTGAGAAACTGTATGGAAATATTTGTTAAAGTTTATATGAAGTGCTACATTATGTAACCATCACACTCACATATCTATCAATTTTCTCGAAGAACAAGGATTCACACCAACCGAATCTAATTGCCGATTTCTTAATTTCATTCTTTTCATTAAAACAATATTTCATTCAATTATATAAATACATGTATATTTAATGTCACAGGGATGATTTAGAAAAAAATACGAATGTACTTAAATTAATTCGCTTACTCATACTCTCATACACAGAACCGTCGGCATTAATTGTGTGTTGCTGCTTCTAAACACTAGATTTTTTTTAAAAATAATATATTCATATCGTTTCAATGAATTCAAGCATAGGAGAAAGCCAGAGTTTACTCATTTCCGCTAAAATGTAGCTTAATTATTCCAATACAGTGCTATCACATGACAGCATCCCTAACGCATGACACACATATTGAAGGGCGAAGCCTACTAACGTATACTGAAATTTGACGGGATGCAAAAACCAGTTGGTTAACTTTTAAATTGTTTAATGCAAAGAGGCATTCTAAAAGCTGTCGCACCTCTTGTTTCCTGAAAGACTGTTCTCCAATCACAAGGAGAAAACAGGCATATTTTAAAATTCGATTTTATTGAAGAAAAAATAACGACATATCAACAAAATCGTAAGCATAGTAATGAGGACAAAATATGAACAAAGGAACATTTACAGGTGGATCCTTTTTAGTTCACAGAAAATGAATCAAATGGAGCATAAATACATGACACAGTCTTTGGGGGGCACGAGCCCGTTGACATGGTCGTTTTCACAGGATGCAGAACTTGCGAAACTGAACGGAAATGGCTCGTCGTAAAGTGTATCAGTATAGCGTGACATTACTCAAGTCTCACACCGATAGTTTCTTAAGGAAACAGATTTATTTCTAAAGTGTTATATCTATCTTCAATGGCTTCAAGCACACCGGAAATATTTTGAATGTGATAAAAACCACAGACTATTCCAATACAGCAGTGCCATCACTAGCCGACATCCCTGTTGTACTGCACATTCACTGAAGGACACGAGCCCATTGGCAAATGCTGATATTTGACGGGACACAAAACTCGGGGAACTTTTGGAATACATGTTTGTTGAATATAAAACAATAACAATTAAAACCCATCGTTTTTTATGTTTCAACATCAACTTCTCAATCAATTTCATGATGGGGAATCCAGCTTACGGAAGAGTTGGGCAATTTCTTTCTTTACGACCAAATTGGTTTTTAAAAAAAGCTAATTAAACCATCACAAAGCAGCATCCAATACAACTATTGAAGGCGGGAGCTCACGAACAGGTGTTGGACTTTAGAGGGATACAAGACTGTGCAACTGCGCGAAAATGATTGTGTTACCGTTAAATAAAGTAATGTAGTCTTATCTAATCGAATACGTTCGTATGGCGTTCTTGTTTTTTCCATCGATTGTATTTCCTTTTCTTTTTCGTGTTTTTTGTTTTGTTTTTTGTTTTTTGTTTTTTTGTTTTGTTTTTTTACCTCTGTTTCCACCTCTTTTCCTCCAAACTGCCCTCTTTCTTCTTTTAAATTTCAGATGTCAGAAACTTTGCAAAATGGCTACCATCTGCGTCTCGTTTTGGACAAAAGACACGGGTAAAATGAATGTTGACGCATGCTCAATGGTGATGTCATCATATTGGTGGGAAATCGATTGAAATTGATGCGTTATGTCGTTCTTGATTGTACGAGGAGGTACATTTCAGAGCGTGATCTCATTTTTGGAAAAAATATTGATCACTTCTAGCGCGGCCAAACTCAACACAACTTTGATATAAAACATAGCGTAATATTAGAAAATACTTCGGTAAAGCTATTACATCTACATGTCAAATAAAATGATAAATACTTAAACATCTTTTTATGAATATTGGGATGAGATAAACTAGTTACAGCTCTGAAATCATTAATGATACCTATATCAGGTAAGTTGAGAGTCTCGTATCAAAAGAGGGGAGGGACGTGTGGCAGTGATGATGACTTATTGACACGCCGAGTAACAACTTGATATGCAACGCTGTACGATCTCAATTTTCTTTATTGAATAGACAGAAAATTTCGTTACAATTTTCAGAACCAGGCTCTACTGAATTGGAAATCCCAGTTACTTTCTTCTCAAACCCCAAAATTCTCATGGACGACTAGATGTTGTGATATGTACTTGAATCATTAGAATAATTCATTGTTTAGGCATGTTATTTGTGTTGCCCCATTTTTTGTTTTGTGCTTTAGAGCTCAATATGACGTTTGCTTGAATTGACTTTTATTTTCATTTCAGAATATTCTATTGTCTTGACGTTGGTGACAAATGGAATTGGGCAACAGGCAGAGCCTGTGAAAGCCCTCTCCATACAACTTAAACAAGTACACAGACACATCAATCAAAATTTAAGATATTAAATAATAATGATAGCATTCCAGGAAAAGAATTTAGAATATAGATTCAGTTGAATAATTATCTAACAAAAATGTCAGGCAAGCATTACCATCATTTAATATAGTGTTAAAGAGTAGTAAGATAAGATAGGTAATATAATTATATATAACAAGATGGAGTCAAAGTTTGTCAATTGATCACGGCACAGGCTGCAGGTTCAAACAGTCCATATACCCACAATCCTGAGCCGAGTCCTTAAAAATTGACAGGCGGACCAAGCTTAAGATAACAAAAAAAATGTATATACAAGAATACTAAGGCTAAAACAGGCGACCGGTATCAGTTATGAATCTCTGAACCAAATAAAGAATAGATTTATTTATATTTGCATCAAGTGTATGAGATCCTTCAAGAAATGTATCAGTGGTAAGAGGTATAGAATCACTAAGAGTAGAAAGAGAATTAAGGAGGAGTTGTCCTTGGATAGTAAAGAAGGGACAATGGAAAAAGAAGTGAGTAGGATCTTCAACTGGGTGGCCACAAGTACAGGCAGGGTTGTCTTTCAGGTGGGAATTAAATAAGTCAAAATTTGACTTTTATTACCATATAAGCAATAACAAAATAGTTCAATGCCGCGCCAATTCCTGAAATATCTAAATTCCTGGTTTAACTGCGAATTAACAGAGCTCTTCAAGTACTGTACAGCACATGTTCGTGTTTCGATACATAGATACACATTTAGGTTCTTAATTTTACACGGAAAAATTTTGCCGACACCTGTTTTTTCATTGTAACTCAATTATTATCAACTTAGAATTTTGAAAAAAAAATAATTAGATAAAATCGATCGCTATATTATAAGCTTGAAAGTAGATAGAGATAACGTGATTACAGGGAGATAACTCCTAAGAGTTTAACATAAAATCCAAGATGGCGATGACCAAGAACTTCCGGATATTCCACAAGCTCGAACCACCTTATAGTGTTATCTTGGAAAATAGAAACATTGATGACACTTTGATGTTCGAATCGAGTGCACTGGCTGTATTATGTAAGTCTTCCAAATTGCAGACATATTCGTCATGTAGTTACGAAGCTCTTTCGTCTGGCATGTATCTACACTTGTATGTATACAATGTTATGGGGCCGACCTCTTGCCATTTTTATTCTCTAAAATGCTTAATGTAAAATAGTATATAAAGTATACATATATATGTACGTATAGTTAGTAAGTGTCCGTTATTAGGGAGTTTTTGATCATGTGTTGGTCCCAGATCTTTCATGCAGTTTGGTCGATAAGGTCTGTGTTATGAAGTACACGGTACAAGTATTGATCTATTATCAGTACAATAGAGTAACCTCCACGGACAGTTTCATTATCAATTTATTAACGCCGAATCCTGGCTAAGGTTATCAAGTGTCTCTATATTCAATTGAAAATATTCAGATAAACACAAACATGACGTTTTCATTTGCTATTCTGATATCACTTTCAGTAGGTTTAATAGATTATGTATAATATTTTGTGTATTATTGACATTAATTATATGCCCCCAGGGTATAGTAGATTCGATTTACCCCCAAAATTGAGTTTGGAGATGGAAAGAGAATACGTCTCAACGGCGAGCATGATACACACTGACTCTGCCATAATGTAAATCATGAGCTTATTAAAAAAAAATGAAAAATTTTGAACCTTGATAAAAGCCCCAGAACACAGAGTCATATGCAGGTAATGCTTATCCCCCATGTAAGACACAGCTAGTTTACTTGTAGGTATACTAAAGGTCGGTTATAATTTAATTAATGAAACTTGGTCATTTACAAGAAAATATGTGCTTACAGTGATTTTTTTAAAAAAATGTACAGATCAGGTTTTTCATAAATGCAACATGCAATGTATGCATTTACACTCAAAGAAAGAAATAGTAGCAGGATGTGTACATATGGTGGAAGAGAAAAGATTTAGTCTGCAGATGGTAGTTACTATGTTTTCTAAACAGTATTTGTCAAACTTCCTTGAATAGTTAAGTTGGCTCCAGAATATATTAGCATGATGCTACCTGAGTGTTTTTTTCACCTGATACTGGGCCCCTTTTCAAATTGAAATGGTCAAATATCTACATGTGCACTAGTCCCCTGGTATTTGTACTATACTATATACTTTCTGTCCCGTGCTGACTTGGCAATGTAATGTATAATTTGTGAAATTTGGTAGTTTACGACATCCAATTTTTTTGACCATCAGTTGTTTTAAAACCTCCATCCAAACACAATGAAATAAAGCCCTAGTTTTAGGTAATTATGTTGTGGTTCATTACCTTTGCATCACCAATAAACAAGACTTTCTGAACTCTTCCAAGTAAAACTAAGTACATCGTACAGGATGGTGTTATGACATTGTCAATGAATTTTTTTCTATCAGTGGTCTGATGTCAGGTCAGTCTGGATATAGTATATGGTAGTCAAAGCCCCTAACTATGACAAATCATATGTAACCTAACCTTGATCAGATCTGTCTCGCTAGTGTCTGATCTGTCTTGAGTTGATTGCTCCTATTTCCTATCTTAATTGCGAAACCGATGTGCTACACATCCACATCACTGAAATAATGTTTGTCAGTGAGATAACAACTAGCAAGAGTCATGGAGCTGAAAACTCTGTTACTAACGAAGCCAGTGTCCAGTTTAAACAAGAATAATGGCCTTTATCACCACCTCTGGTTATGCCCCTGCATTAGACTATCAGGATGTCAGACACGGGATAACATTGAAGGTTTTGATGTGACCTTGCAGTGCCCCCAGTTGAACTTTGTATAACATATATGAAATCCCATCTGTCTGATGAAAAATCAAAATATTTTGTTTACACAAAGAAGAAAATCAGTACCTAATGTATATCAAGCATTTTCATAGAAATTTTTCAAGTGAGTCCAGAACACCATTTCCAAAATTAGGATGTGTCCCAAAGAAAAATGTGTATGTATATTTTGAGTGTCTTGTAGTAGCAGGTTGCTACCTCACTGAACATTATGTGGAAGGACCACTACATCTGATACTGAGCAAATGAGATTGAGTGTCTTGCTGAATGACACCAGCATGATAGCACACAATGATCTGTGGCCCCAGTTTTCTGTTGAGAAGCGTAAACTATCCTGAGAATAAAAACAATAGTCCTTGAATCTTTACCTGTGATAGCAAAATGTGATGTTCTACCAACAGAGCCATCACAGCCCTGTCAGATTTAAAATTAAGACTCAACAATATCATAGATATATAAAAATATGAAATATTCATGTTGGAATGTTGTTAATGTGTTAATATTTTTGCAGCCGCTGCTGAAACTGAAACCATCAAAAGACAGTATGTGAAAATCCTGGATGCCTATGGCTGTTTAGGTGTACTCAATCTTAACATAGGTAAGTTATCTTTTGATTTACTTTTTTAATCTCACTCTTAATGATCCTAATACTTTTAATCAGGAAGGTATTTTTTTAATTTCGCTTGAACAACAGCCAATCTTTTAAGCAATCGTTCTCAAATATATTACAGACTTCCAAAAAAAAAACATTTTGGGGATTTGGGGAAAAGCCAAGCTTTGTCATTCTTTTTGATAGCAAATATTTTTGTGCTAGCTTTTGAATCACACTTAGAAATCTACAGATAAGATTATGCAAATATGTAAAACTTAATTTATAAGAAGGGTAAGGAGTCAATCGCAACAAATTTCAAGTGTCACCAGTTAGTGTGTAGTTAAACTTTATTGTCGAAAAGTTTCGCCTCGGTCGAGTCTTCATCAGGACCTTTTTTTATATATTTTGTCAATCACCCAGCATACCTCTAGGTATCAAAGTTCAAATGAAGTACCCAACTGAAGAAAAACACACCTACCTGGTCATCGACATAGGCTCTACATTTCCCGTTCAAACTGAATTTATGTAACAACGATAATAAAACAAGCTATCAGTTTATATTAATCACTCTTGTTGGCCTGTTTTGAAGTGCATGATTTTAGATTTTTTTAGATTTTTTTATTTGGTAAAACACAATATTAAAATACATACAAACATGTAAAATAACAATTTTGTTGAACCAGGATAACACAGTAAAGTCCGAAGACTTATTTCCACTGTGGTCCCTTAAGTGATCTTGATGGGTTTTACTGTATCTGGGTAAAATCCATGTGATCAGACAGGTGATCCGATTCTTGTTCAGATCTAATCAGGGAATCAGACACATGTAGTCAAGGTGAAAGGCGAGTGTGATTCCACTGCACCACTAGACCATATCTGTCATTCTTAAAAACTTGTATCTCTTGATTACAAAGGAAAATTAGACAGTTGGAAATAAACTGAATTTATTTACATATGTAAAACATATATGAGCAATTATTTATTTTAAAAAAAATTGATCTTTACATGGAAAAAATGATTCAGTATATTCTATATTTCTAGGTGAGGAAAACATTCTGTACCTGGTGTTGGTAACTGGTTGTTTGTCTGTCGGAAAGTTGCTGGACTCGGAAATATTCCGTATCACAACCACACAGTGTGTATCACTACGGAATGGGCCGGGAGATGAAGACAGAGTGGCAGAAGTTCGGAAACTTCTCAACTCGGGGACATTTTACTTTGCATGGTCATCTGCTGGAGTTCCCTGGGACCTCACGTTGTGTGCCCAAAAGAAGTTACAGGACCATAATACTGACAACCGGTTCTTCTGGTAAGGTTTCTGTGTTCCTTAGATCAAAGGTGTCAGAGGATCAAAGTCATTGTTTATATCACCAAAAAATATCATTAAAAAATTATTTTAAGTTTTCAGAAAATCAAAATAACTAAATTGAAAATTGGCAAAGAGGAACCCACTTAATGTCATGTCTGTTAATGTCACTTTCCATTTAATATCATGTTTTCTTTTATCAAAAACATCAGTTCTGATTATATAACAGATAGAAACAAAATTTGATTGTCTCCCTTTACTGGAAGGTTGTACCTTGAATGTGGCTCTTTGTTTCAGGAATCGTAGGTTGCATGTCCACTTCCAAAGGTTCGGTGTTGAGTGCGACCAGTGGTTATTTAAGGCAATATGTGGTGGTGTAGAGATTCGCACAATTTATGCTTCGCACCGCCAAGCTAAAGCATGCCTCATATCTCGTCTTAGCTGTGAGAGGGCTGGCACACGATTCAATGTCCGTGGAGCCAACGATGATGGACATGTAGCCAATTTTGTGGAAACGGAACAGGTAAAGATGTTTTCTTGGAAGGAAGCACAAATTTAAATTTTTGAAACATGATAATGTGTATAGATTTCTAACATGTTAAAATCAAATCATCTTTCATGCAGTTCAGAAGCTATATGATATATACTGCCCTAGGAAAAGGCCTGATCAATTCAAGGGAAGAATTTGGTGACTGGTTCATTGAACCTGATTTGGGACGCCTACTAGAAGCTATTCAAACCAAGGACATAACAAGGACAGCACAGAACTGATGCTGATCTATCATTTGTATAAGAGGTTAAAATGATGAATTACTGTATTTGACCTGATAAGTGCACATGCCCCCATAAGAGCACCACCACCTCATTTTAGGGAAAAGGATGGATTAACATATATTAAGTTCATTTAATTACTGATTTGTATGTAAATGAAAAATGCTGGTTTTTTCCACCCAGATTTCACATTATGTACATAATTTTATTAAGCACATCCTTTTATGTCTTCGTAACCATACAGTGTGTTTATTACCAGGTATATCAAATACAGTTGATAGTCTAAAAGACAGAAAATTTGGAACATTTTCTGTGATGTCTGACATATCTTGGAAACTTTTTCCAATTATATTACAGGTAATATTTCTAGATGAACACATCTCCTCCTACATACAGACACGTGGCTCAGTTCCTCTTTTCTGGGAACAACCAGGTATTCAGGTATGTGGAAAACTCCTCACACAGATACAGTACAGCTCACTTGGCTCTTTTAAAATATATTCTTTAGCCTATCTTGTTTGTTTCTTTCAATTCATTCATCATTTTTTACCCCATCTCCAGCATACTTTTAAGTGCTTGATTTTTTGTGATAAAATTCTTCCTTCCTTAGGGATGTACAAGCTTTATGTAGGTCAGTGCTTTTATTTTTAGAAATCATTTTATCTGTAGGATTCTGGGTAAAGAACATGTAATTTTTTTAAAGTTTCTGAACCAAATTGAATTTCAAGGTTGTGCACAAAAATACTGGAGTATGTAGATTATTGTTACTATTTTTAGAAACTTCATATAAAATTCCTTGATATAGGTTGGATCTCATAGAGTGAAAATGTCACGTGGACATGAGGCCTCTGCCCCAGCATTTGAGCGCCACCTGGCGATGCTGAAGAGACTGTACGGTGACCAGGTGATTGTGAATCTACTAGGACAGAAAGAGGGTGAACATATGCTGAGTCAGGCTTTCTACGCACATCACAAAGCATCAAGCTTCAGTCAGATGATGACCCTTATCATGTTTGATTACCACAGTGAATGCAGAGGAGGCAACTTCAAAAACCTCGAGCGACTCAAATACAATATTGGAAAACATTCTGCCAACTTTGACTTCTTCTATAGTCAGGGCTCAGATGTACAGAAGTAAGTTGATGTCAGAAAAAATATGTGATAGCCATAGATCAATGTTACAGGTTTAAATTCAAATAATAAAACTGATGAAAATAAATATTGAAATTATAAATTGTTTATATTATCTGGTAGTGTTCAGTGATATCTGTTGATGTAGACTGTCCTTTTTCATTATAGCTGGCATTTTGACTCATAGAAATTGAAAAAATTTCAAAATTCACACACCTTGATTCAAGTTATAGAAATGCCTTAATTTTGGTAGAACCAAGTTAGTAAACATATTTTGTTTAATTGCCTCCTGCCATACCTCTCACATATTCAATATCTGTTTTTCCTTACATGTCATTTACATGTATGCTTCTGCATATCACCAAACTCCTCTGCCATGCCAAAAAATTGCATAAAAAAAGGGAAATAAAAGAAATTTTGCGCATTTTGTGGTACATAAGAGGTTGATATAAACATTCTTTGATCTCTGTCGTTTGAATACTTGTGATACATTATTTCTCTAATTTGAATGTTTGCGTTACATCATCTTTGTCATTTGAGTGCTTGTGTTGGATAGTCTCTGTCATTTGATTGTTTGTGATATTATCTTTGTCATTTGAATGCTGCTGTTATAGTTGGGATATCGATATTAACCTGGTCTGATCAAAGTCATTTGAATGTTTTGTTTCAGGTTCCAAAGTGGAACCGTAAGGACCAATTGTTTAGACTGCCTAGACAGAACCAATGCTGTTCAAACCATGCTTGCTCTTGAGGTAAGTTATATGTTTTTCTTAAGATTTGTCATTTTGACCTGTAATAAGTCCACAGATCCAACACATAATTTCTTTTTAAAGGATTTCAACTAACTGCAACATAAAATCTATGACACAGAAATATAATAATTGTCATCATTTTAAACTTTTACAAATGATCAGATAACAATATTGTACTTGTTTATATATAGAATTGGTGGGTTATTTGTTAAGGTTAAAAGGTGAAAGGTCACAGTTGACCATCGTTGAAATGAAAATTGTATATAAGATTTACAAGATCATTTCAGGAAAGATTTTGGTAATAACTGAGGTAGTCCAATTGGTAGATGATGACATCATAGGTTTGGTCACATTAAAAACTCTTTATGCACAGATGCTGCCAAAACAACTGGATAGTCTCGGTCTGGCGAACAAACCACAAATGGTGTCACGGTTCATTGAGATTTACAAACAGATCTGGCATGTCAGTGGAGACCATATAAGTAGAATTTATGCTGGTACAGGTGCACTTGGTGGAGGCAGGTCAAAGGTCAGATATTGTCTGGTATTAGTGTCTCTGAGCTATTTTTGTACTTCAACTTTTATATTGATGTTTAAATCTCTGTAGTGATCCTTATTTCCTGCCACATTTCTTAATACTTTTCGTTGTACAAATTTCAATGTATGTTAGGCATTACTGTATTTTATATAGGACAAAGCATTTTAGAATGAATAAAAGTTAATCTAAACAATATTTTTTGCCACAGTATTCTGATGCTGCTCGATCAGCTACTCGCACTATACAGAACAACTTCCTGGATAGTAGCAAGCAGGAAGCCATGGATATGTTGCTGATAGGGAGTTCCCTTAGAGGAGAGCTCGCTGATAAAGTACGAGCTCTACTTACTACCAGGAGTCTTCATGGTAGGTGATCTACAGGTTACAGTATAGCTCTTATTAATAAAATTTCTCAAAACCCATATGTTGTTCTTAAGAGCTAAAAAAACAAACTTCTTATGTTCTTGTCATTCTGTAGTGGCATACAGTGTTAATCAGGTTTGTTCATCGGGTCACATCTATTTCAGTTTGATATCATCTCGAGAAACTCTCTACAGATCAGGTTCAAACAGTAACAACAAATTCTACTTCTTATCATAGGTTGTCTTTGGTCAGAATTAAAGGGTCAATGGTCACATTTGACAACTTTTGCGAAAGTATTAAACAATGATACTTAAATATATGGAAGCAGGGGCATTTATACAGGGCTCTCGATCTGCCAGATTTGGGGCCGATATTTTGCACAATTCCCAATGCAATATAGTATCTTTTTTCCCAATTTAGACCCCAAGTTTTTCCAATTCTAAGGAAAACGCTGCTATTTTTCCCATTTCTAAGGGCCTGGGGCCCCAGTCCCAAAATGGGGTGTGAGAGCCCTGTTATATCATACAGAATTGATCCAAAAATGATGATTTGATAATTTTTTTGTTTTTTCAGGTCCTTCTATGGTTTTACAGTCTATGATAAATCGTCACAAGGACTTCACCTTTGTTAGCCCTCTTAGAATATTTATAGGGACCTGGAACGTAAATGGAGGCAAACATTTCCGCAGCATCGCCTTCAAACATCAGTCGATATCCGATTGGCTTCTTGATGCTCCCAAGATTGCTGCTGAGAACCACCCAGGTACAGTTAAACCTGTCTAATATGAACACTAGGCTGCAAAGACCATTAGTGTATTTGTATTTCTTAAAGAAAAAGGAAACATTGATTTTTTTTTACAAAGATTTCTGAAAAAAAAACATTTTTTTTTATATATGTATAAAAATCTGACAAGGATATAAGAATGACTTTTTGTAATGTTTTTTTTACAACCAGAACTCCTGGCAGAAGGAACAGACTTAAGTAAACCTGTGGATATATTTGCAATTGGCTTTGAAGAAATGGTGGATCTTAATGCAAGTAATATAATGAAAGTGAGGTAAGTGTGACGGTTACCTCTCCAAGGTAATCCCTGTATGATACAAGTCACAGACAAAACCTTTATATCCCCCCTTAATGTTACAGTGTGATGAATTTAGTCAGATCTCTGTGTCTTTAATGTCAGCTTTAGGTAATATTAAAATTCCATGTAGATGTAGATATATATGATAAAAGAAAATTGGCAAAGTATAAAGAGTTAATGAGATGAAAACATGTTCTGAACACGATAAACTATCTCTGAAGTGTTGAGGTTATTTTATTGTTTTTTTCTTTGATATACTTCAACTATTTTGAGGGTTTATCGAAAGGTTTTTAGTAAAATGGACAAGTTTTTTTCAAAAGTTATGAGATCAACGAAAAGTAAAACCCATATAGGTATCATTTACAATAATTTTTAGGGCTTGATAGACATGCACTGTAAAATAATGATTTTTCATGAGGTTTTCTTTTTGTTGAATTCATGGTTACTTCTAATCCACAAATTTATGTTCACAAAAAGATAAACTGATGAAAATTGACATTGTTGTGTGGTACTAGTGGATTTCTTGAGCAAGATGTATCTGACGAAATCAAGTGCCATCCAGAAATGCACATTGTTTAAAAACCACAAAATTTGATCCCTATTAAAATTCAAGGATTTTACAGCATATATTTTATCTTTACAAATGTTTACACAATCAGGGAAAAAAGACAAGTCTTTAGAGGAAATCATTTTTTCTGTTGCAGCACAACTAATGCCAGAGAATGGCAGAAAGAATTACAGAAGGTCATCTCTCGGGACAATAAATATGTCATACTGACCAGTGTCCAGTTGGTGGGTGTGGTACTCTATGTCTTCATAAGACCACACCTCGCACCTTGTATCAGGTATGTTGTATTGACCAGTGTCCAGTTACTGGGTGTGATGCTGATGTCTTTTTAGGCCACACCCCACACCCTATTTGTGTTGACTAGTTTCCAGATAGTGGCAGGGGAGGGGTGTGTGTTAAAATCCTAATTTTCATCATATGTTTGATTATTTTTGCAATGATTTTGAATACATATTTTTTCCATGACATTCTTAATGTCATTTTGACTCTTCGTTTGTAATCTACATTATGACGTCATGATGTATTCTGCTGGTGTATGACATCATTTCATTATATACTTATATATTCACTAACACAGCAATCATACAATTATCAACAATACTAATTCATGTATGGATTTGTAGTCTTTGTTATCTGTATCTACACACTCAATGGGAAACTATATACAACAAAGGTCTATGCTGAAGAGTATTTTCCTGGTGCATCAGGCCTTAGGCAGGGCAAGAGAGTTCTAGCTACAATTATATTAGAATACACAGCAATAAGCAAGTGTTGTAACCATTGAATGGTATTGCTAAAGTGTAACTTGAGTTGGTTGTGTATAACTAGCTTATTAACTGCCAATGGATTAAAATTATTACAAGTGACGTAAATACACTGATGTGTCTTGCTTTTAAAATGATGTATTTGGAAAGTTATGTACATATATATAAATGTATATGTGGAGCAGCTTTTAGTTTGCATGCCTGGGCATAATGGATGCCAGCTGAATAAAGGCAAATTCAACCTGAAGCAGTAATCTGCTTCATTGAATGTGCCATTATCCTTTTGGCATTCATATGCTGATTAATGCCAACTGAAAGCATGTAATATAGTGTTCATATTCTAAAGCAGATGTTAAACCAGTTGAAAAATGAAATAAATATGAAATAGATGTAACCCAGTATTGCCCAAATTATAATGAAGACTTTTGTAAAATTTGTCGTTTTTTATATTCAGAGATGTGGCTGTTGACCAGGTAAAGACCGGTTTAGGGGGAGCAGCCGGTAACAAAGGGGGTGTGGCCATTCGCTTCCTCTACAACAGCACCTCCATGTGCTTTATGTGTGCTCATCTGGCGGCAGGTCAGTCACAGGTCAACGATCGTAACAGCGACTTCCATGAAATTGCTAGGAAAGCTGCATTTCCTATGGTAAGATGTGTTTCATGATACAAATGGTTCCCATTTGTATAAGATCATAAAAAAATTAGTTTAAATGAAATGCTCTAAAAAAACTCTTTGCACATTCAATATTAACATCTACAAAAACTTTATTCCCTCTACATTTACTTCAATAAAAAAGGGAATTTCTCATTTGTTACTTCAAATTCTAAATCTCTGAAACTTATTTATTGTCTTTGAGAAGTTTCAATAATCACCCTCATATTAGAAGCATTTTAACATCCTTATCTGCTGGCACTCTAGAATTGACAATAGCTGTTGCTTCTGTAATACATTCGTAAAACATGACTCAATATGTATTTGCTATCATTAGTCTTATAATATGACAAGTTAGTCAATAAAAAGTTGTAAATTGACAAAATAATATACACTTCACTTTAAAAAATCTTGTTCTTCTCATGTGTTCAGGGTTGATTAAAAAAAAAGTTTCTTCATTTTCTTTTACAGAAATTATATCAAGTGATTGCTAATAAAAACCCGCTTATGACATTCTATTTTCCAGATAAAAATATTATAATAAGCCGTAAACTATAATAACTGAACATGCTTTTTAGGTCTGGAAAACTGCAAATTAGACTACCATAATAGTTAATCTTATTACTTTCCTGTAACAGGTGGGGGTGAGGGGGCTACCTTGGCCAATAATCAACAGATAATTAGTGTTACAAGGAACAGTAAAGGTTTCGACACAGACACATTCCAGGGTTACAAAAAATAAATTATGGACAGACAAGATATTATAATAACCAATATCTGACATTGACTTCATCATAATAAACATTTTTCTTTACTTGATTTGTATAAAGAAAATTTGGTACAAGGCAAAAATATCATTAACAGCGGGAGATCAAAATACACCATATCATAATGATTGGGATCCACTGTAAAAAGTCCCCTGATGTAAGACTTCTTAAAGCACAATACATTCGAGTCTGATATCTTCATTACTTTGTAAAACATTTGAAAAAACTTTTCATCACTTTTTGAAATATTCATTTACTTTTTATTCAATTGTTTTGTATTCATAGAATTCATGATTAACTGATCATGAATATTTATTAACTCATGAATATGTATTAACTTATGAATATTTATCAAGTCATGAATATGGATAACACTTCTTGAATATGAAAGACATTCTTTAACAAGTGACTTTTCTTCCACACCAGGAGCAGTGCATGGTATGGTTTTTACCTCTAAGCACGTTTCCTTAGCATCAAGCATCTTGATGAGTCAGACAATAGAATCAGTGTTGTTGACATGCTTGTATACGTAATTGAAAATGTCCTAATTTAAGCTTGCTGCCCCGATCTAACAAGACCTTTGTATTACATTATGTAGATACAGTTTGAATATTTTATTCCAGAAAACTTATATTTTTGATAGTTTTTTTATTATGTATCCCTTTTTTGTGTTATTGAATGTATTTTGTATACTGTAAACAATCATGTTGCTTTCTTTTATCTTTTATTCTTGTAATTCTCCCTATTTAGGATAGTGGTTATACTGTATTGATGAAATTAAACACTAAATACCAGCAAATGATTTCGATAAAGAAATACCAGGTATTTTAGTTATATGTATTTCAGTTCAGTGGATAGAAACAAATTAGTATATATCAGTGATTTCAATGGGCTCATATTTCAATCACTTATGTAAAATTATTTCACTGTGGATTTATGTGAATGAGTTCATTAATTAAATATTCGTAAATAGGCCAAAATAAAAATACATTGTAGTATTTGGTTCTCCAACTTGTACCATTGGTCTTGGCTAATACTTATATGCAGAAGGGCATTACCCTGTATCCATGGCTGCAAATCAAGATCAATGTAATTCATTGAAATTATTGAAAGGTATATACCTTTACTTGAAAAAATATTTGAATGTTGATTGATTTGCATGGTGTTTTTCTATGATGATTTAGCAATGCTACTACAAGAAAACTGTTATTACAGCACAGCATTATCTATCTAAGGCTATTTACAGAAATTTTTAAAGATGCTAAAGACATAGGTAGCCGACATTGAAAAAAGAACAGCATTCACTAGAAACTTGATCTATACATGCACAAGTCTATTTTTACAAATTGGGAAAACCCTCCACAAAAAGTGTTGATTTACTATGTGTTGACTATGGCCTGTATAAAACACAGTTTTCTAGAACGATGTATACTTGTAACGTTTATTGATTTGTGTTCCTCTTTTGGTAATTATAAAATTTTGTTGAAACAATTTTTGTCTTAAAGAATAAAAATGATTTCTTAGTTATTGAAATCACTGTTTTTTAGAGAGATAGAAAAAATATGAAAATATTTACAGCACAAACGGTATAAGCAAGTTCTTTATGATAATAAGAAAATGGTGTAAAATCAATAAAATGAGTCAGATTCCTAAATTTTGATGTTTTATGTAGGTGCACGTGGTCATAAAATTGAAAAAAGTCTTGCAAGTATTCCTGCCCTGATTTAGGTTACATTATCTCTGATCCTTTGAAGGAATGTTTTTCTTGAAGGTCCCATTGTTGTCTCTCATCTGTCATATATACATATATATTGTTGTTATTTTACCATTTTTATGTACATGTACTCTTTCATTTGACAGTTAGCCCATGTCCTCTCAAATCTGTCTATTCAATTGAACTACAAATCAGTACTATTTCATTATCCTTCAGTTAACAACCATCCCCCACCCCCACCCCCACTCCCCTCCCCTCCCCAAGTATTGTTGGTTAGTAAATTGTATTTGTATTTTTTGCCCTTTTTGGTTTTCTTTATATTTCAGATACATATGGTGGCACATGTTACATTATAACTTGTCCATTTAATTTAAACCATCCCATCATATCAAGTTTGGCATTTAATTTGAATTGGCAGTTGTTCATTTTCCTAATCCTCAAATTCTTTGGTCAGTAAATTCTCTACTTAAAGTTGTAAGCATTTAGCTTAAATTTTTAAGATTTGATTCTGTCCCAGATTTGCTGATTGAGGATTTCCCTATTTACTAAAGACGGTGCCTTCAATAATACCTTGGATGGGTACATGTTTTAAGGTTTTAGGGCTTCAAGGTCAAGGACATTTAGTACTCTTACTACCCGTATTTGCAGATGATCATCAACTAACATGCATGAGAGTGTGGGCATCAGTGTTTTTCTGTCATATTTTAGTTTTCATTATTTCAAGTTGTACCATTTTCTGCAAAAATATTTGGTATTCAGGATTTTTAACACTGCCATTTATAAAGTCTTTGGAAGAAATTGAATGCTTGGCCAACTACATAAAGCATCTGTTAAAATTTGAGTAACTGTTGTATATATCAGGTTTGTATTAAAATATATATTTATGCTATATTTTTCATGAAATTCAGTCTGGTAACCAGATAGCAAAGGTAAAACATTTCAAATTATTTTGGTAAATGTTGATTTTATATCACAATAACCAATACATGAAATGGCTTCCCCTTTCCTACCCATCTCTTTCCACCAGCATTTACCGTATTTAGTTAGAGTTTGCATAAAGTTCAATCATTTATATGATAAATATGGAACTGATATTACTGGGCGTTGTAAATGTAGATTTTTGTGAATGAATTCAAATTTTTGTGATTATTCCAAAAGCTTGAAGTAAATTGTTATTTCGTTCAATTTAAGATAACAATATCCTTTAAAATAACTGAATGTTGTTCTGCATTTTGGTAGATTCTGTGAAGCACTTCATCATTTTAAATTCCAAACATTCCTCATCCTACACCTACCAATCTCCATAAGGTGTTGTCTCTATACCAGCCATTCTCCGTAAGGCCTTGGTGCATACACCTACCAATCTCAAAAAGGCCTTATCAATATACCTGCTAGTCTCCGTATGGCCTCATCCATACACCTGCCAATCTCCGCAAGGCCACGTCCATACACCTGCCAATCTCCGTAAGGCTACGTCCATACACCTGCCAATCTCCGTAAGGCCACTTCCATACACCTGCCAATCTCCGTAAGGCCACGTCCATACACCTGCCAGTCTCTGTATGGCCTCATCCATACACCTGCCAGTCTCCGTAAGGCCAAGTCCATACACCTGCCAGTCTCTATAAGGCCACGTCCATACACCTGCCAATCTCCATATGGCCTCATCCATACCTGCCAGTCTCTATAAGGCCATGTCCATATACCTGCCAATCTCTATAAGGCCAAGTCCATACACCTGCCAGTCTCTATAAGGCCATGTCCATATACCTGCCAATCTCTATAAGGCCAAGTCCATACACCTGCCAGTCTCCGTAAGGCCAAGTCCATACACCTGCCAGTCTCTATAAGGCCAAGTCCATACACCTGCCAGTCTCTATAAGGCCATGTCCATATACCTGCCAATCTCTGTATGGCTTCATCCATACATTTCTGTAAAGCTCTGTCCACAAACCTGCAATTTACCACAAGACCAGGTGACTTGTGAAAACATTCCATATTGATGCCATTTATCAGCTTGCCTTTCTGTCATTTGTGTAGAAATTCTATTTGATAATAAATTGATAAGAAGTGTTTAGACCCACATGAGATTTTATCAACATTATATAAAAGATACATCATTATTTGAAATTGATGAAATGTTTGAAGCCAAGACATAAATGGTGCTTGCTTCAGAAATTTGGTTATGGTTGTTAATGCATGTTTTTGACATATTTTCTGAGTCAGACATCAGAAATAATTGTTCTAATACTAACTAACATCTGTATTAGTTGTAACAGAACAATTGCATGTAGATTTCTATAAGAATTATTGTTAAATAATAAAAATCTCACCAAACCTTGTTTTCCTTGGTTAAGTTTAAAGATGGTTTTGCAATAAAGTGTAATTCTGATTCTATAGATATTGTAAAAGTATACAATCAAACCTGTCTATTTAAACCACTCTGAGGAGCAGAGAAAAATGGTCTTTATAGACAGGTAGATATTATATAGAGGTTCAGTTAATTGTATTACTTTGGAACCTAAATCAACAGCTTGTATGGACTGGTATTTCTTATATACAGGTGGCCTTAAAGCAGGTTTGACTGTATTTCTGTATTTAGTTCATATATCATGTTTGTAATGAATTATCATTATCAGAATCCCTTATTGTGAATGTATAGTATTGTTTTATCTCTCATCATGTGGGATTCAGTGGTCAATTAGACTGTCAGAATACACAGGTTTTTTGGACATTATTTTCATAAGAAATGGAAAACAAATCAAATAAAAGAAGTTGTTATATGCAACTAGGTCAGATTAGGCAGGCTCTTGAAGTAATCAGTAATCAGATTAAAGAGGTTGTTAAATTGACAAGTGGTCAGATTATGCAGGCTTTTGAATTGACAAGATGTCAGATAATAGGCAGGCTCTTGAAGTAATCAGTAATCAGATTAAAGAGGTTGTTAAATTGACAAGTGGTCAGATTATGCAGGCTTTTGAATTGACAAGAGGTCAGATTAGGCAGGCTTTTGAATTGATAAGGGGTTAGATTAGATGTATTGTTGGATTGATCAGAGGTCCTATTACACAGGTTGTAAAAAAGATCAGAGGTCCAATTACACAGGTTGTAAAAAAGATCAGAGTTTAGATTAGACAGGTTCTTGAATAGATCAGAAGTCAGATTAGAGGGGTTGTTGAAAAGACCAGGGGCCAGATTAGACATATTATTGAATAAATCAGGGGTCAGATTAGAGGGGTTGTTGAATAGACCTTGGGTCAGATTAGACAAGTTTTGAAAAGCCAAGGGACCAGATTAGACATATTATTGAATAAATCAGGGGTCAGTTTAGACAGGTTATTTAATTGTTCTGAGGTCAGATTAGACAGTTTTTGAAGATTTCTGGGACAAATTAATGACAATGTTTTGTATTTGTGACCATTGCAGGGAAAGACAATTTCATCACATGACTATCTATTCTGGTGTGGAGATTTTAACTACAGGATAGATCTGGCTAATGAGGAAGTGAAAAAACTTGTTGAGGATCATAACTGGGGTGCCCTCATGGAGTTTGACCAACTTAACATTCAGAGGAAGGAAGGAAAGGTAAGAAAGGGATACATGAGGCATCCCGAGGAAGTTTGACTCCGAGGAATCAGAATGATGTGTTGTAAAATATCTTGCAAATTGAATGAAAAGAAATTAACATAAGGTGACTAGAAGGCCTCGTTTGACTTTGATATGTGTATGTATACTATAGTAAGTGGTTGATCATACACGAGAAATTCTATGTACTGTTTCTGTTACAGGCATTTGCAGGATTTCAGGAAGGAAGAACAGATTTTGCACCAACATATAAGTACGATCTGTTCTGTGATGATTATGATACTAGTGAAAAACACAGGACACCTGCATGGACTGACCGTGTCTTGTGGCGTCGGAAACCCCTTATAAGGCATAATGCCCAGTGTAAGTTATAAGTTTCACAAACCCCACATACCAAACAACCTCCAGTGTAAGTTAAGTTGTCGTAAATCCCTCAGTCCAAACAACCGCCAGTGTAAGTTAAGTTGTTGTAAACCCCTCAGTCCAAACAACCACCAGTGTAAGTTAAGTTGTTGTAAACCCCTCAGTCCAAACAATCGCCAGTGTAAGTTAAGTTGTCGTAAACCCCTCAGTCCAAACAACCACCAGTGTAAGTTAAGTTGTCGTAAACCCCTCAGTCCAAACAATCGCCAGTGTAAGTTAAGTTGTCGTAAACCCCTCAGTCCAAACAACCACCAGTGTAAGTTAAGTTGTCGTAAACCCCTCATACCAAACAACCTCCAGTGTAAGTTAAGTTGTTGTAAAGCCCTCAGTCCAAACAACTGCCAGTGTAAGTTAATTTGTCGTAAACTGAGAAATGGGCATTGAAAGTACATAATTATTGTTAATTTTGAGGATTGTTTGAACTCCTTTCAAAATTTCCAGTTGATTTGATTTGTGTATAGTGTCAGGATTCAAAGTATTTTGCTGGTTCAAACATTTTTTTGTGAAAAAGTCTTGTTTTATTTTTTGGAAATTTATTTATCCTAGCTGTTTTAAAGTGCAAATGATCAATACAAAGCATGAGTAATAGTTTCACTAAACACTTATAAATCTGTCTTAAATGTAATCATTGTTTCGTTGACAGTATTGGAACCAGAAGAGAAGTGGGATCAAGGGAGGTTACTCTTGTACGACAGAGCAGAACTACGCACTTCAGATCACAGGTGAGTTGCTTTTTCTGTCTTATGTATTGTAAAATCATTAATTTTCATGAGAGATTAATTTTCATGGATTTTTGTTACTACTCTTGATCCACATATTCATGTGTCCATGAACTCTTTTAAAAGACATTAAAAAGATACTAACATAATCAAAAATTCAGTTCAAAACTAGGACAAAATGTGAACAAAGGAAAGATTTACACAGAAACTCCTTAAAAAGGGTTTTATTAGGTCACCTGACCATAGGTCATAATGAACTGATTTTAATGAAGCTTTGTACTCAGCCTAATATCAATATCAGTTGGGATCAATGCAGCAGTAATAAACATAATTATGGCCCTTTGCAGTTTTCTTACCTTAGGCCTTGTGATAATGATAAATTGAGTAATTATAAACCAATTTGGATGAAACTTGGTACGCAGACATGTCAGTAAGATTTGGGATGTTTTTAACAAAGGCACTGACACATTCATAATTAAAAGAGTTATGGCCCTTAACATTTTTTAAACTTTTGGACCTTGTGAACAGGATAACTTCAGTAAATAGCAGCAAATTTTGATGAAACTTTGTAAGCAGCTTTGAATCAATAAGATCTTAGAGAAGTTGAAGCACGGGGCTGATTTAATGCAACTTACAGAACTATAGCTCTTTGTTATTTAAGTTCAGATTAATCAGGTGACTGTTAAGGCCCATGAATCTCTCTTTTTGTTGAATATTTGATAACTCCTTATCCACAAATTCACATGTCCATAAAAATGGTGGTTGCAAATGGACATAGATATGTGCTAGCAGAATTTGTGAGCAAGATTTATTTGTTAAATGTGCACAAAATCATATTTGTCTTTGTAAAACCAAAAATTTTAGCCCAATGAAAATCAATGATTTTACACTCAGTAGGGGTATTTCATGCTTATACATGTATTCTTATGTTGGTCAAGATTGCATTTGAGTTGCTGCAAATAAAGTACTTTTACCTTCCTCAGACCTGTATTAGCACTGTTGGATGTAGATGTCCTGGAGGTCAAAGAAGAGAAGAAATCTGAGGTGTTCCGAGAGGTCATAAGTCAACAGGGCCCCTCTGACGGCACAATTATTGTATCTACGGCAGATGGAGAGTTTGACGATGACATGGTAGACACAGTTGTAGAGACGTTTACTGAACTAGGAGACATAATTCTGGTGCGGTTTGTGGAAGAAGACATGTGGCTCATCTTCAGATATGGACAGAGTGCCCTGGCAGCACTGCAGTATAACCAGCAACAGGTATCTCTAAATTATAACTTACACCAGGTGCTTCTGAAAATGAAATTTCAAATTTTTGCATAGAGTCAGTCAGTGTTATGGAGTGATTAGTCAGCAAAATATTCCCACTTACCGACTGTCTAATTGAATCTCTGCTTTTTTTTTTAAAGAAAAAATTACATTGAAATTTGTTTTTTTTTTCTAAATTACCCAAAGTCAACAAACCTTACTGATGTCCCTTAAAATAGAAATTCTTACATGTACATACATATCCTACCATCCCTCCCTGGAAACTTGTCCTATACTTGTGTTTTACATTGTACTTGTATTTCAGATCGGTGGAAAGCAAATTTCTGTGAGACTAAAGACAGTAAACTGGCAGTCCCAAATCGAACAGGAAATGGCACTGTGTGCATCAAACAGTGGCGCCCTCTTTAATACCACCACAAACAGTCTCCTTGGTGAAGACTTTAATATTCCAGGGATGGACTTCGAATCAGAAGGTTGGTTTCATTAATTTTTTTTCAGTTTTACTATAACCTGGGTATTTTGATTTTAGGATATTAAAACTATGAATGACAGATTAAACTCTGATGCATCAAAATTTGTTTTAAAATGAAAAAAAATGTAAGGGGATACAACATTAAACACATGTTGATTAAAGTAAGAATTGTTGACAGAACAAATATAGGAAGTTATTGAAATGTTGAAATCCAGTTGTGAAAATTTTACTTGAGAAATGCAATGATTTTCATTAAAATTTTCACACAGCTGTATATGTTGTATTCAATGTGCGGCAAAACCATGAGAGAAATGATGGAAGACATTTGGTATCAGGAATAGATATTCTTGGAATAGAAATATTATTTTGTATTGGAATGGATATTCTTGAAACAAAATATCGTTTTGCGGGTCGTGTTGTAACATTTCAGCTGTAAATTTTTTTGTTCTTTTTTGTTAGGTCTTCAGTTTGGTAATGTCGTTAATCTTTCAAGCTTACTCTCAATAAAATAACACAAATCAGTCCAAAGGGACTGACCACTGTTCTAGAGCCTTGTGATTTTGACCATGTATTATTCAAACTCTGTTTGCACCTTTGACTCTCTGTCTGCCATCTTTCATGTGTTAGATAAATATCTCCTGATTTCTTTAACTATTCCTTGTGAGGAAGAAACTTTCTCATACACGTCTGACTTCATCATAATAACATTTTCATTCCTTCAGTAATTATTGTGAAGGTTTCTGTTTCACTGATAACAAATGTAGTAATCATTGTGATTGCAGTCTATACTTTTTAACAGGGATTATAAACAGAAGTGTTAAAATGTAATTTTAATATATATACAGTATGTGAATGTCAAATCTTATTGTTATGCTTATTTTTGAAAGTTCAAAAATATGTCAAACATAAAAAAAAAAAAATGTATAGATAGTCTTTATCAGATAGCTGGTGTGTTCCACTATGTAAAATGCTCATGAATATGGTAAGATACATACTAAAACACAGTTGTGACATCATAACTAAATGACATTACGCGAAAATACATTAACGTCTATGGTTCATCTTGAAATTTTGTCTTTAAGGGAAAGGTATTGGATTTTCGAGTTTTTTCTAAAGAATGTTTAGTCACATGGAACAGATAATCTTGAACTCATGTAGTGTCTTGCTAAATGTATAAGACTTGTCAAGAAGTTTGATATGATGCTTCCTCAAAGATTCCTGTAATATAGAATTACTAAATTCATTTGATACATAATATATGGCATGGCTACTCACATAAGATTCTCTATAAAAGAGTTTTGCAACCTTATCTTTCAATAGTATTTAGATGAAATGTAACTTTCCTGTATTCTGTATAATTGTATCCTGTATTTCCTGCCTTTTTGTGCATGAACAGACGAAGACGATGAAGAGGATACCACAAAGGAAGCAGCTCTAGCTGTGCCAATCCTACCCACTCTATCAGGAGCTAACTCCCCGACAGGCTCTGGTAATGTCCTGATCCTACCCACTCTGTCAGGAGCTAACTCCCCGACAGGCTCTGGTAATGTCCTGATCCTACCCACTCTATCAGGAGCTAACTCCCCGACAGGCTCTGGTAATGTCCTGATCCTACCCACTCTATTAGGAGCTAACTCCCCGACAGGCTCTGGTAATGTCCTGATCCTACCCACTCTGTCAGGAGCTAACTCCCCGACAGGCTCTGGTAATGTCCTAATCCTACCCACTCTATCAGGAGCTAACTCCCCGATAGGCTCTGGTAATGTCCTGATCTTGCCAACTCTTGTCAGGAGCTAACCCCCTGACAGCTTCTGGTAATGTCCTGATACTACCCACTCTGACAGGAGCTAACTCCCTGACAGCTTCTGGTAATGTCCTGATCCTACCCACTCTATCAGGAGCTAACTCCCCGACAGGCTCTGGTAATGTCCTGATACTACCCACTCTGACAGGAGCTAACTCCCTGACAGCTTCTGGTAATGTCCTGATCCTACCCACTCTATCAGGAGCTAACTGCCCGACAGGCTCTGGTAATGTCCTGATCCTACCCACTCTATCAGGAGCTAACTCCCCGACAGGTTCTGGTAATGTCCTGATCCTACCCACTCTATCAGGAGCTAACTCCCCGGCAGGCTCTGGTAATGTCCTGATCCTACCCACTCTGTCAGGAGCTAACTCCCCGACAGGTTCTGGTAATGTCCTGATCCTACCCACTCTATCAGGTGCTAACTCCCCGACAGGCTCTGGTAATGTCCTGATCCTACCCACTCTATCAGGAGCTAACTCCCCGATAGATGTTCTAACTGTGAAGCTGGTTTAGTTTAAAACTTCTAAATACACAGTTATGATATGTAATATTACAACTGCTTTGTGATCAAGTTTCTATGTGATATAAAAATAATGTTTTAAAACTCTGTGAATATATGATTTCAATTTGATTTTAATTTCAGTATATTTTGAAATAAATCATATTTAAATTTCATATAATTTTTCTTTCATTAAAAAAAACCACCCAGTTTAGATTTAATGTGATTTTTAGTTGATTTTAAAAAGTCACTAGATGAAAATTTAATATTGATTTCAGTTAATTTCAAACTACACCAGAGTTAGGCATTTTGTTGCAATAAAGCTGTGAATAAGAGTTAAAAACACTAACATCTTTCCATTCTGCTTTTAGATTAAAAGTCTTTATAAACTGATTTTTTTTATTATCAATAGGCAGAAACAGTCCTGCCCTATCAGATGATGGCTTGCTGGATGCACCAACACGCCCTCCTGCCCCAGAGAGGCCAAAGCCGATGGGAGTGCCTACACGTTCCACAGAACCAAGCAACCTTATAGTACCAGAAACTGAAATCAAAGTCCGAGAGTCACGTTCGCCTGACGTAAATATATATTCCTTATTGATTTCCCATCTGTCAGTCTGAAAAGCAATAGAAAAAATCTAAGCAGGTGTTTATAATCACCATTTTGAGGCTTTAGAGGAGACAAAGAAGGAGGGGAGAGTGTGAATTCCCTTTTCTGACCATCTGTTCATATTCTGCTTAATAACATGACTTTATCATAAAGTATGGCAATGTTATGCAGGTTCTGTGCAGTCCAAAATCCTGTCAGGCATCTCATATAACAATCCTGTGACTTGTGCTATGATTGTTTTGCCTACCTGTGACTTGTGCTATGATTGTTTTGCCTACCTGTGACTTGTGCTATGATTGTTTTGCCTACCAGAAGTGCAGATTGTTGTCATATGATCAAACAATCATTCATCTATTTCAGATAAATACAAGGATTTATCAATCATCAAAGTTGATATTTTCTTCAGCTGCTGACTTTAAGGAAACATCACCTTCTAAGATTAATCAATTTTTTATGCATCTGAAAACAGGTCAATAATAAATAACATTGTCAGGTGTATGTACCAAAGCAATCCTCCTACATTATGTCATGATACATCCCTTATACATGTCCCAAAACTCTTATTTAATTTGTATTTCAATGGGTCTGGCCATCCATTATTCTGTCGGTCATAATTTTGTCTGGAGCATAACACAAAAACTATAAGTGGTATCAACATAAATTTTCATAGGTAGATAGATCTCAACAAGGAGAAGTGCAGTGCACCAGAACCATTACTCTTTTGCATAATTTAGGAGTTAGTGCCCTTTGTTATTTTTTCATACTTAAATCTTGTCTGGAGCAGTACACTATAACTATAAGAAGTAGTAAGATGAAACTTTATAGGTAGACAGATCGCAATGAGTTGGAGGGCATTGCACAAAAATCCCTTTTGTTATTTTTCATTCTTAAATTTTGTCCAAATTGGGGAGCATAACCCGTCTCTGATGGCCCTTGGTTTTTATTTTCAGACGAAAAGAAAGGTACCACCACAGAGACCGTCTGCCCCACCTACCAAACCTCCACCACCACAGCGACCCGCTGGAGGTTTTCCCAAACCTGGAACAGCTCCTGCATCAGTCACTGTAGTCAACAACCAGACATCCACCAGTAGGAGACATTCTTTATAACTTTACTTCAGATATTCATTGAAGGATACTGTAAACATACCTAATTTAGCACAATGAAATGTTAGGGAATTATCAGTTAATGGTAAATTAGTGCAATAATAATTTAACACATCCATAGTAAATGGTATATTAACAATACACAAAAACTGCAATTAGTGCATTCATATTTCAGTGCAATACTTTCAGCTTGAAAAATGCTAAGATAATCTTACCACTAAAATATGTACATTTACAGTAAGTTACAGGTTACTCACGGCGTTTGTGTCTCACTTTCACAATTCAGATTTATATTGTTATTAATTGATTGTTTGACCAGATGTACCCTGGTTATTTGTTCATAAAATAATGACAGACCTATAAATCTTATTTCACTTTCTGACAAGCTTTAACAAAGTCTTTGGTGGTCAGTAGTAATATTTGAATGTTAGTTTCTCATTAAATGCCCAATTTAAAATGTTAATGAAACAATTTGTCTACAATAAACAAAAGAAGCCCTTCAAAAATATAGCCTCGTAATTAGTAACCTCTCCATATTCGATGATACAGTCAAGATTGTTTTTACAGCGTTGAGACATCGTGTGCTGGTTTGCACACTTACCATATTTAACCAGTGATAAGCCCATGCTTGGTAATAAGCCCATCCATATACTGGTGTCTACTAGCAATATACTTACAACAATATGATTTCATGATCTAGCAATAAGCCCACCAACTGACTTTGTGTCCTTTGTTATAGATGTTGCAACAGATGTTTATTACAATTTTGCCAGTGAAATATACAAATTTATCAAATACCAGACAACAGTGTAAAATGATAGAATACCATGTAAAAAACACTAATATTTCTCAAACCTTTTTGACACTGTTTCATGTTTCATTTAAGTTGGATTGGTTTTTACCTTTTTTCCCTTTAAGTGTTATAAAAAATGTAATGGTTCTTCTCCATTAGATATATCTCTGTATTTTATAAATATTGTCATACTCATGAAATTTACATAGCTCATGGGAGACGTTAGATATCTTCTATATATAGACTTAAATGTAAATGACCAACCTTTTGTTTTACAGACCAGTCACCTAAAAAGTCACATCCAGTACGACAGCCACTAGGGTCACGGACCATCAACCAAATCAAATCGAACAAGAAAGCCACCAAGGTAGACATCTTCATGGTAGATAACAGTAAAACCTGTCATGTGACCTCCGAAGTGAGGCAATAAAAATGGTCACATATGACAGGTGGTCTCCTAATACAGGTTCAAGGAAATAACAAAACCAAACAAAAAACAAATTCAATTCTTTATTTTGATTAATCTTCCCAATATAAATCAGGTTTAAGAAAAACTTGATTATTTGATCATCACACAATTTTTTGACTGAAAATTTTGTGATGATCAAGTGAACCCTCTCTGCTCTGACCGGTGTCTGTCAGATAATACAACAAACTTTTTGAATAATTTCTAATAAAACTAATAATTGATAGATGAACAAATTCGGACAACTTGTCTAATTCAACCTAAAATACCTGTATTTCAGGTATTATGACATTCTTATGTGAACCCAATTCTATAAATAATGTAAATATCATATAAAATCTGACCAACATAGTAAGTACAGAGGATTTTTAGACTTCACAGATTTACCAATGAAGAAGTTTGTTGGCATTTGGTTTTAGGGTTGTTGTCAAGGTCAAAGTCACCATTTCTAGTTTCAGAAAATTGTCAGCATTTTAGTAGATTCATTCCTCATAGAATTTTTATCTAATCTGGTGAAAATGAAATAATGCTTTCTACTTTTGATATGATATTTAATAATTTTTTCTGTTTTAATCCTTAGATATCTCGGATCGGTCTTCCCACCAATGTCCAACATCATACTCATGCTGCTAATGCAGGGGAGGCTGAAGCATTGATAGAACAGCTGATGTCAGGTGGTAATCCTACTCTTCTACCCTCCCCCATCAAACCAGGTAAATTTAAACATTTTTAGAACTTTCTACGAAAACCATCGTTCATTTATTTCAAATCATTAATAGAAAATTTTGTCAAATATAAGCTAAAAACATGTTAAAGCTCCAGTTTTCTTCAAAAACTGTCTTTCATTTTATCTCTAATCATTATTAGAAGGTTTTATAGAATATAAGTCAAAACGTGTTAAATCTTCAGTTTTCTACAAAACCCTTTTCTTCATTTTATCTCAAATCATGAATAGAAAATTTGTGGAATATAAACCCAAAATATGTTAAATCCTCAGTTTTCTACAAAAACTGTCTTTCATTTATTTCAAATCATTAGTAGTAGATTTTGTGGGATATAAGCCAAAAACATGTTAAATCATCAGTAAAGATGAACATTTCTTATTTGAAAATTCCTGTTTCCTTTTTTAATGCTTAGCTATTTCACAGTTTTACCATTGGTCATCATTCTGTCATAGTTTCACCTCTGCTCATTTACTCTTTATCAGAGTATATGTCTGTAAGTTGGTAATTAGTTGTATAATTATTATGTGCAGGTCAGTGTATTATTTGGTTATGATCTGTTTATTTTATTATGGCAATTTTACTTTTAGAATTTAAATCAAAATTTGCATGAAAACTACAGGCTGTAATTGAGAACCTTGCCTTACTCCAATGAGATTTTTTAATTTATCTTAACAAAGTGTACTAAACAAGTAACACTTTAAAAATTCCGAACTTCTTGATTCTATTATTTGATTTTTATTGATTGTATTGCTCCAACTGATCTAATATCAAAATTCCTTGTATGTGTACATATATTTTCCCAAGATAAAACACAAAATGATCTGGACAAACGGTGACAAAATAGTAATAATTACAGGTGGACAGCCACAACCTGCGCCCCCTATACCACGCAGTAGAACAAGTGAAACAGACTTGCACAAGTCTCTGGACCCTACAGGTCCTGCACCATTGGACCCTCCTAAGCCAGTCCCCAGAGCCCGCAGTTCTGGTAATATTGCTGCCAATGACATTCCGAATAGACCACCACGGAAAGGGGACAATCCAATTTCTGAGGCATCAAACGGTCAAGCTGCTCAGCCTCAGACACGGCCTCGTCCTGTCCCTCGTCAGAGTTGTGCTGTAGAGAATGGGGATGTTCCTGTCCCTGGGGAAAGGGCAGCACCAGCACCCATCTTACCAACTCAGCAACAGAATGGGGTTCAGCCCGCTCCACTGGGACAAAATCCCTTCAGCAGTCCGTCTGGCTTCTCCTTACTGGACAAACCATTATCACCAGAAAAACCCATGTCGACGGAGGTAGACCCATTTGATACAAGTAACATTCCTTCACAATTCCGAAACAACAAGGCGCCACTATTACCACAACAACCATACAGTACTCCACCCGTAGAAGATTTCTCACTGCAAAGGGAGACAAACTATTCTACTGACCCATTTCAAACTGATTTCACAGAGGAATCCCCACCATGTCCAGATTTCCAGCCTCCATCTATACCACCCCCGGAGTTGGGGTCTGTGCCCCCTCCCCCACAAGAAGCTCCTCCCCCACCCCCAAGGGAAGACTCTTTTGCTGACAATCCCTTTGACAATAATGTGCAATATGAAGATGCAGACTTTGATGTCCCTCCCCCTTGTAGTTTACCACCAAGCCTTCCTCCTCCCCCTCCTCCTAGACCTGCTGTAGACATAGCACCTCCCACAAGTTTACCCCCTGTCCCCTCTAGACCCCCAGTGATAGCTGAACCAGGAAACTTGCCACCAGTTCCTGCCCGCCCCTCTTTAACCCCAACTGCTCCTCCCCCTAACCATCCCCCTGTACCCAGCAGACCAAATTTACCCCCTGTCCCTCCTCGAGTTTGACTTGGGGTAAAAAATTAGACTAAGAAAAATAATTGGAACTGTCTATTCTCGTTTTCGTCAGTATTTGTAATAGCTGGATTGGATTTACCATGACACCTGTGTTGAAGATTTGTGTTAACTTTTTTTTTGTGATTTTGAAAGAAAGATACCGGTAATATGTTACTAGTACTTATGGAGGCTTCAGAAATTCTACTCTTGCGATTTGCTTCCTGCTTGGGTCTTATCTGTATTGGCTTATTAAGTGAATAGAATTTCCTTATGGCTAGGAACATCTGTAAAATGCCATTTGGTGGACAACAACAGAACATATTCTGGAAGATTGGAAAGTCTTGACTTACGTTTTTTGCCCTTGAACAAGAGGCAATTTTTGTGCAATCTTTGACCAATACTTGTAGAGATTTATCATATTGCAAACTTTATAGTTCATATAAATATATGTTAAAATTTAAGATTTCAAAGAAGTGATCCTGATTCAATAATGTAGAGTTTTATAATTAAAGCATTACATCATGGGTCACTGAGAATCTTTGGAAAATTTTCAGCTCGGGATTTCCTTTCACAATTCATTCATTTAGAAAATAATTTTTGAAGGCCAAAGTGTCCTCAGCCACAATCTTCCAAAATTTTCTATTGTGTATTATTTAATGAGATTCAGACCTCGAGATTTGTACCAATTGTTTATGATTTTGTTTGTAAACATAGCATATATATACAATACGTAATTATTGTAGGAAATAGGTAGAGGCTGTAGTCTATTTCCTGACTAAACAGAACTTGTAATTTATGGTACCCAGTGTGTGTGTAGGGTACAGCTAGTCAATCTATTTCATTGTGTTAAGATTAAATGTATTGCATCAATTTTGGATCCAAATTGGAACATGAAATGACCATCAAATGGTTACACACATATATAAATAGATTTATGTAATGTCTGGGGAAAACTCTACAACACTAGGAATACGATACTGGATGTTTACTGTCAAGATTATCTTTTTAATTTATTTGTCAACAAAATGAAAAAAAATACAGTAATTCATATGTTAGATGAAAAATTCTTTATAAGATTTTTAAGTCTGATGGCAAGAATGCGGTTTACTTTGTTTGTGGTGTCTGTACTTAACTTATTGGCCAGTTATCTGGAAGTGAATGTATGTTTTAAAAACACATTCCAACGCTGTAAGTGTTAAAGTGCTGATATTCTGCTTTTAAGTTCAAATGTTTGTTAATGTGTGTTTTAGTGGCATTGTTTGGTATCAAAATGTTTGTTAATGTGTGTTTTAGTGGCATTGTTTGATATCAAAATGTTTATTTCCTATGCAGTGCAAAAGAATTTGTATCTTTTTTTTTTCTTTTTTTTTTTTTTTTCAATTTTTTGAAGTGTATATGTTCAATTATCATTTTGAGCTCCTTTTTCTTTGTAAACAATAAAGTAAATGACATGTTGCATTGTCGGGGACCAGATTAAAGTTATTACATTGATAATCTATTGTTTGTTTGTATATATGTAAATACAAAAACAATGAAATTCATAACTTGAGATTACATGTTAAAAAAATGTTCATTTCATAAAATTAAACAATGTGAAATTTTGATGTTAACTATTTACCAAATATCACTTGTTTTAAAAATGAATGTATTTGTCAGGAGAGGGCATTTTTTTCTAAACACTGGAGGCATTCATTATACTGTATATGTAACAAGCCTCGGCAGTGAGTAAAAAAATACAATGAACTGTTCCAAAACATGATTTGTTCAAGAAAGACCATAGTTTTATGTTTAGAATTAGTTTTAAACCTTATTGAATCTTTTGTAGCCAAAATTTGGATCATTCAAGCACACCAACTCCAAGTCTCTACAGTGAGTCAGTTATCAGAATATCAGCATCAAATTTCACACTGCTTAATGCTCATGATGTACTTTCTTGCCAGAGAACAAACAATTCACATTATGTGTAACAATATGCGATTACCATTATATCATTGCTTATCTGATTGCCTGATTGACTGAAATTTACAATGAAGTATTTCATATTTATCTTTTTTAAAACTCTTGATCACAAGACAAATCTTCACACATATGTATTTCTACCATTATCATTTTGAACAAAAACACAATTTCATTCGAAATAACTTGATCTACATTTCATGTTTGTTTTTTTATTTCAGTCGAATGTCATATGAATAAATTCTTGGCATAGACTAAATTCCATTTATATGAAACTCAACTTATCTATTTTCTTTCTTCTTGCAAAACAATGCTAGAGAAAAATGTTCTGTCCAAGGTTTTGCCTCAAAACATTCTGCGTGATAGTTAAGATTTGTATCCACCAATAACCCGATGCTTGTTAATAAGCCCATATCTATAGCTATTCAGTAATATTACAAACAAGTTCAATTTGGTTGTCCTGTTTTGAATTGTTGTGGTAGTGACTTCCAGTAATGTCATTCTAATTTAAAACAATTGTGGAATCATCTAACTTTGACAATGCTGTGATTATTATATTTAACAAAAATATTGCCAGAACATTTAAAACATATTTTGTGATCCTATAAAATATTTTGTTTTATTTAGACTTCCAGCTGTGGGTGCATCATGTTTTTTAATATACGCTTTGTCTTGTGTGATGTATGATACCAACTTTAATGTAGTGTACCAGGTATTTGAGTTATTGATTCTCACAGCGATATATATTTATTTTTATTTGAGCTTTCCACATGGAAAAGATTGGGTACTTACATGAGAAATACATTGCTTGCTGGTTAACACTAATTTTAATCTAGATATTTTTTTCTCGACAATCTGACAATTTCTTCTATAGAATTCATGATTCACTCCATTTCATTAATGCTTTTTACAGTATTGTCATATTTTCTACATAATTGAATATTATTTGCTACTTTAGTTTTCAGATAACCTCTCTTTCTTTTTCTACATGATGTAATACAGGTGTTGATATATAAATCTAGTCATTCCCTCTAAATTTTACATTTCTGGTATATTAACATATAGAATATATTTAATTAAGTAAAGTTAAGGCATGATTGAGCAAAACTTCAATATTTAACATAAAAACCTCTTTTTCCAATACATGTACATAGTCCCAGGACCTTTATAACTTACATGAAATTATTATCTTAAAACTTCTTGATTGGTTGATTTACGGGTTTCAGTCTCTACCTGTTGTTGGGCACTGTCTAACCAACAAACATCAGTGTTGAAGTAACCTCTAAATTTCTCAGGCTGCTAATTAAAGTAAAATATTGAATATTTGTAAAAATTATTTTTTCATTTATACTTTGAAGATATTGATTATACTGAAGAAATAAAGGGAAAATATATATTAAAATGCATCTGGATATCTGGTATATATTCCCGAGATGGTTTTTATAATCTAATAAAAATTTTGTCTTTTTGAAATTTAAAATGTTGAATATTTTTTATTAATATTTATTGCAGAAATAATAATATATTACTGGGTAATCTTTATGCATTCTGAAAATCACCTTTTGCTTTCTGTACAAGTAAATTTTTTGCAATATTAGAGTTCTCTGCAGCAAATTTAAATAGAAAATGTTTTCTCATGCAAAAAGAAAAAGAAATAGTTATGAAAAACAATAAAGGTAATGGCTTTGAAGTTGTCGAAGTTTAAATCAAGAATTGTATGTAAGCTATTAATATCTCCATGACATGTAGTTCTGTTCTGTGGAATGATAATGGCACTTGATTTCCTGTTTAAGTAAAATGGTCAATAATTGACTCGTTACAGGTTTGTAGTGTGTCGATTGTCCTGTTGTTTACATAGACTGTACAATAACTTCACCATACAAAGATAAAACTGTTTCAGTTTCAGTATTAAGTGATTTCCAGGCTAGGTGTGGTCGGTAATGACAACTTAGTTCCATTTTATTGATTTACCTGTAAAGTCAACATCCTGTTTATCTGTCTTCGCTGTCAACATTGAACTATGTGGTGCCAAATGTCATTCAATAGATCATTACAGGAGTGTTATATAGATGTTTGTGAATCCATTTCCTCCTTAATCTACTCTCTACATCAAAACACTTTCATTGTACTGTCAAAATGATTTTTTTCCCAAATGGATCATTAAATTCAATATTAATTATTTTTCAAAATGTACCATTTCTCGTCAACTTGCCTTTCTTTTAAAACGCGAAAAAATCTTTCTGCTTTAAGTTTGCAGATTTTCTTTACCTATTTGAAAGGGGCAGGATAAAACTCATCTACCTGTATTTGTTCTGTATCTATGAATAAGACTAGGATATTCTTTTCCTAGATTAGTCATATTTTCAACCAAAGGGATGAAATGAAATGCGACACAATTTGAATGACTAAAATATGTTTCTTTAAATTTGAGTTTTCAATGTCAAGTTTTTCAAAAAAATACTCATTATTCTAATTATGCCAAAGTTCAAGTAATGATTAATTTCTCTCTGTTTTCTCCAGTAATACCCCCTAAACTGGTAATAAGCCTGCTTATATCTGTTTGTTATTTGAGTAGAAATACTAATAACTGTGATCCTGTAATAAGCCCACCCCCTGACTTTGAGTCAGTGGTAAAGTGTTGGCTACCAGTGCTTACTGTAGGTTAGGTACAGTAGCATCTCGAATGTCCCAGTGAAGGGCTGAAATATATGATACTGACACCTGCATTTATATGATATCAACTATTTTTTATGAGGAAATAAAACAAAAACTTTTTTTAAAAAATACAAAAATTACATGCATGGATGATGAATCTCACAATTAAAATTCAATATTCACCCATTCTTGTCTTGACAATGCATATGCTATACTTGGTCAAAGGTGTTTTCTTCCTAAATCTTCCAAATTATGGACGTGATGAAATAAATCTTATACTCCACTCAGTTACAATGTTTGTTTGGAAGTTGGAGTTTTAAATCAATTGTAGTCATCAATAAATATATGGTGCTTTATTAAGTTTTTTCTCAATTTATTTGATTGATGTATGCCATTTTTGTCACTGCTGCATTTTCCTTCCAAGAATTTATCATAAATATAATTAAATAATAGTACATGTGTGTGTATATGTTATAATTTGTTTTTTATTCTGATATGTGTTCTATTATATGAAACTACACTTTAGATAGCAATATTTATTTGCTTTGCAGCAAGAAATAAATTGAAGAACTCAGTCATTTGTCACAAGCTGAATACTATACAGGGATACGTTATCCCACAATATGGTAGATTGTGACCAGTACCTATATATTATACATGTATATATATTATATATATATATAGCTTTTTAGTCGGGGTCAATGTCAGTAAAAAAGTTAACATTTTTTCCTTTGATGGCAAAACACCTTAGTAAAAATATATCAAAAGAAAATTTGAAGTGGTCAATAACCAAGACGGTGATTTTTTATAATCTGAATGAATTCACCATTATCTTGTTTTTTATTGTACATTTTGAAACTGTGTTTTCCACTGTCATCACTTTTACCTGTAATGAGTGGTCAGACTTCTGGCTCACTTACCTCATTAAGTGTAGGTACTGTGTTAGCAATAAATCTACAGCTGTTTTGTAGTATAACCAACAAATACTGTTTTACTATCGTGTCCTGTAATAAGCCCATTCCCCGACTTTGCGTGAATGATTATTGGCCCCTGGGCTTTTTATAAAATTAATCTTCATGGTGAGATTTTCCCCTGTCCTTCTTTCTTGTGTAATCATACAGTCTTAACTTGGTAGGTGGTAATACAATAGATACGTACTTTGTAATTAGATTTCATATTTGAAAATGAAAATTGATACATACAGGACTAGTGTTAATTATAAATATGTTGATTGTGAATTCAAATAATGATACAATAAATTTGTACATTTTCAATCTTAGGAATCAATAACTAGTTAAGATGTTTCAGACCTTTGCATTGTGAATATGTGTTGATGTTTTGTTGTAACTATGTTGTTGTCCGTCTTCAATCTGTCGATGTTCGTCTTCAATCTGTCATTGTTACATAGTTGTAAGTACCAGGATACTGTGATACTGTAGATTTATGTGATAAACACAAACTCAAGGTTTTATCGATGTCCATAAAAGTTAGTGCTGTTTTAATCAACTCTTCACAAAGATTTTACATTTTGGGAAATAATCATGATTTCAACACAGGTCATAGTTCAGGATTCTGTGTTTGACTTGGAACAGTATTTTGACCAGACCAGTTTATGTTTCAGTTGTTCAAAACTGTATTTATCATCCATGAAATTATTATCAGCTATTTCTGTCAACACAGATGGCAGTGTTACTGAGAATGATGGTACATTTGATAATTTAGATAGAAGCCATGATTTTTATTCAATCATTCACAAGATTATTTGTGGATTTTGAGAATTGATCAAGTGTACAGCATAGTCTTACTGTAAAGTCATTAATATTCGTGGGATTTTATTTTTGCTGGATTTGTTAGTAACTCTTAATCAACAAATTTAAACGACCACAAACTTTAATAAGTTATCATAAATAGATTTTTTTTATTGAACTATTTTCACCAAAACTCAAATGTCCACAAAATAGCTTTTTTTTTGGTAAAACAACAGAGGTTAACCCCATGAAAATACATGACTTTACAGTATTGAAAAATTTCTTTCGGTTGTAAAGTGTCACCTCAGGGTGACAATTATCTGTTTTCATTATTTTCAGAACAACAGATGCATGGCCGTTATTTACATAACTATAACCATTGGACAACAGTTGTATGTTAACATCCTTTCAGAATAATATATTTACACTGGTTTAGATGGAGGCTATTGTTGTGTTTGTGTAATTTAGCAACATATCTTGTTGGGCACAATGTTAGACAGATCGACCAAATAAAGTAAGTTTAAGCACAAATTGTATCTGTTTATTATTTCCGCTCTATGTTTCTATTGAAGATGTTGAGGATGTTCTTCTATTATGTTTAACCATAAGCAGAAAGTAATGTAAAATTAATTCCGACATAATATGTTGTGTTTTCATACCCTTTGTTGTCTATAGTTGTACTTCCAAAAATGAAAATTTGGGCATTTTCAAATTTTTTTTTTCTGAACATCTAAATATTACACTATGACATTTTTATGAAAGACAAAATTTATGTTTAGAAAAGTTGCTATAGAAATAACAAAGAAAGTCATTTTCTCAGGAAAAAAGACTATTTCTGAGAAAATGAATGCTTCCTGTTTCACACATTCTGAAACTTCTATCGGAACAAGAAGTACTGAATTTTTGCTTTAAAATTGCTTTCTAAAATTTTATCTTCCACAAATTCATAACCAGAAAAGAAGCTTAATACTGGAATTATTTACTTCTCAGAAAAGTACATCCTTAAATAAGAAATATAAGTGTGCACAGCTTACAGAGTCTGTAGGGAACTTCACATCCTTCCATGACAAGATTCAAATGATGATCAATGTCAAAGCTATCACTACCAAGAAAATGAAATACTAATACAAAAATAGTACAAAAAGTTTCCAGCAAGTCCATGCCTAGTAATATGCTAACACACACCTATAGCTGATTCAGAGGAAATGGATAATAAAAGGTAGATCAATGCCCTGTAATAAGCCCACATCCTTATCCCACTTCTGAACAAATATAGAGTATACTTATTTTGAAAGATTGAAATATGAATTTAGAAGGGGAGGAAATCATTTTCAGTATTTAGGAATTACATTTTTAGGTCATCTGACCGTGTTTTCTCCATCGCCGTACAATGTCCACCGAGCACAAACTTTCCATTCAAATGACTTCTTCTCAATATCAAATGGCCCACAATGGTGATATTCGGCCTGTAGCATGATGGGATGAAGGGCTATCAAGTATATTGATATAAATGACCTTGACCTGCTTTCAAAGTCAGAGGTCAAATATGTTAAAATGTTTAAACAACTTCTTTTCAATGACCAAATGCTCCAAGGAAGTGGTCTTTATAGTCAGATGACCCTTGTATTAATTTGGAGTCGGTTGATAAAATTTTATAATTCAGACTGAAGTATGCTGTATCCAACAAACACCAGCAAAATAGTTTTTTGAAAACCTCAAAATTTGAGCCCCAAGGAAATCTATGAATATGCCATATGAATTTATTGAATTGACCATCAACAAAAGTTGAATCTTTTCCCTTCTTTGTTCTTTAATCTCTCCTCTTATTTTTTCTGATAATCATATGAAATTTGAACATTCCTGTTAAGAACTAGCAATAATAATCTTAAACTGGCAAATCCAAGATGGTTGCCCATTATTTTTCTTATCAGTCCAAAAATCAGAGGAGTTCAATATAAAGGATAAATGGGGATCTACATACAAAGTCTAAAATCCATCAACTGCTCATGAGAAAGTCATAGCGAAGTTTTATCTTCAAAATCAAAAATACCTGTCAGCCATTTTGTTTTTCTGATCAGTCATAAAATCAAGTAAGTACGAGGTACCCAGGGGAACTTAAATGTGAACTTTGAAAAAAAAAAGAGGTTTAGCAGCTTCACAGTCACCTGAGGTAAGCAATAATGAATATAACAGTTACAGGGTAAGTAGCTTTTGAGTGTCACTAAGAGGAAATTGCAACATTGATGATAGTAAGACTAATGTGATATGTTTAAGCCATTGGGAGTCAGTCAATGTCAATATGCAAACCATCAACACTGTCATCCTACACTTAATAATTCTTACCAAGTTTTTTTCCAATGGAAAGTAAACTTTGTTCTCAAAATTCCAACTTTCCTGTAAAAACTATATTAAACTTACCCCCTCCCAAGGGGGAAAAGTGAGATCCTGGAGTAATGAAATTCACAAATATAATAAGGCACCTGAAGACCTTTCCATCCATGAATAGTGTTTGATTCTACCAGATCTGGGTATTGAAAAGAACATTTTTGAAATCTGAGTCAATTTCTTTATTATAACCTAGAATGATTAATTTCATGAAAAGCTCACAATGTATTCCAAAGTCAGAATATTTTCCATTCCTTTTCCACACAAAGCTCTAACTTCAGACTTTTTGTCATAGTACTTTTTAAAAAAGGAAGAAAGAAAAAATTTTAAAAATTGAAAGTTTTTCATACAGAAGGAATCTAAAATGTTCACATATTTCACTATGCTCTCTATCAAACATTGACCAACTGGACTGAATCATTTCTATCACTTAGCTTGCAGCTATTCATTACTTTGGAACAGTTCATAACAGCAATACATCCACCCCAAAGCTAAAACCTTTTCTTCCTTTTGTATGAATTTTGACCAAAACCAGTTCTAGTCTATTTTTTCAATTTTTAAAGCTTTTTTCTTTGCTACTATTATTTTTTAACAATTTGGTCTGTCAGATCCTTCCCACAACCTTCTCCATAACCTGTCAATTCAATACAGTTTGATCCTGGAAAAGCTGTAACAATCGTTTCAGATTGCTCAACCACTTCTTTATGAAGTTTAGATGGTTGGTTATAACATTCTCCAGATGTCCTTTTCAATTTCGACATCTTTCTGTTGTCACTTGACTTCCTAGATCGTGATTTTGCTGTCTGGGCTTTCTTATTATTTTTGGTTTTCGGCTGTCTTTTCTTTGACGAAATAGTTTTAGATTCCAGAGCTTTTTGGCCGTCACTAGGATTTTGTGTTTTCTGAGACTTGTGCTTTGTGCACCTATTTTTTTGTACCTTTGTTTCAGATTTTGATGGTTCCTTACTTTCACTTGACATCTGCATCTGTGTGTATTTCATCCTAGCTTTTCTAATTCTTTCCAATTTGCGTTGAATGCTGCTGGATATGGGTATGTCTCTTTCAAATTTCACCGATTCCTGAACAGGTGGACTCTCTGTAGAATCAAATGTTTTCTCTCCCAAGGACTCTTTTTCGATGAGAATATCACTATTTCTAGAACCTGTCTGCACTTGCTGTGAATTTTCTTCTTCAGACTGACAGTGTTTAGCCTAATAAAACAAAAGCATTAACTTTGAAATTTCAAAATATTTATTTTTATTATAAACAGAATTTATTTTTCATATCGAGAAATTCTATCTTATAAAATATTAATATTCTTCATTTTCCAATAGATGTCTGTCAAATTTTCAAAAACCACTGAACAAATCTGACACAATTTTAGTACTTCATATCTTCATATCGTGTTTCTAAAAATATCATATATATATTGTCCTAAAATAAAAAATAAGACAGAAAAAAAAAATTCTGCGACATAAATTTTTCAGTGCATTGTGTGAATAAATTCCTTTGGTAAACCTGGACTCGCATCAATCAATGATGGACTTGTGTTTCCTTTTCTTTTTCTTCTTCTTTGATTTCACAAGCTCAATATTTGAATTGTCTATTCCGGGATTGTTCTCTCTATCAACTTCGCACACATCGATCTTTACCTTTTTATTTTTCTTTACTTTCTTTGACTTGTGGTCATCATCAGAATCACCCTTGCTCTTGGATAAAAGTTTCTCCGGATTTTCTATTGATATCTTGGTTTCACTTTCCACATGCTCAAAAATATCTAAGGAATTAGAATTAGCTCCATCTGTGTCCATATTGTTTCCATTATCTGTATATTTCTGTCTTTTACTTTTCTTTTGTTTTTTACTCTTTACAACTTCAACTTCCACGTCAACTTCTGACTCTGACAAATGTTTTCTTTTCCTCTTACCATCATTGATATCACAGTTTTCAGAACTTTGAACCTGATCTAAATCTGCGGTACAGTCACTTATTGTTTCATCCCTGTTTTCCCCATTTTCTTTACTCTTCTTTTTCTTCTTCTTTTTCTTTGTTTTTGACATATCAACACCGACATCCTCCTCTTCACCTAAACTGAATCTCACTTTCTTTTTCTTAGATTTCTTTTCTTCACCCTGGTTGTTGGGTATTTCAGTATCAGAATGTACCTCAGGAGGAGACAGGTTCTCAGTGATTGGAGATTTCAGTGCAGCCTTTTTTTCTGCCATTTTCTTGGCAAAGTAATCCTGTACACTATCAGTACTCCTTACAGTGATAACTCCATGTTCCATCTTATTCTCAGAATCTGAGGAACTTCCATCATCCTACAGAATTTAAACAAAATGTCAGAAATAAAAAGGTCATTTGATGACCCCTGATTGAACTCAGAGAAAGGCTCAATTAAGAACCAGTGACACAGTTCGACTATAACATATTGACCAAAGTTATCAACAAGAACTTTACACAGGTAGCAAAGTAATTGTTTTCAGGAGAGTATATCATCAAATACTGGGGTATTGTTTACCATAGGAAATATAATTGATTCACTGGGTACATACATATGTTTACTATTTTTAATAATCTCAAAACTTTTAGGGTTTCACTCTTAATACACATCTATTCTGCATCCTTGTAATATACCAAGAGAAGTAGATTGTAGACTCAGTGTATGCCACCCAGTGGGTGATGAAGGTTAACGTTACAGAATTCTGCACACCTTTGATCTCTTTGATAAAAAACAAACAGACATTCATTTACCACTTTTGATCTTTGTGTCACAAAGGCAAAGGGAAGAAAATCAACTAATTGACATGACATATATTAAAGACTGATATCAATTCAGTCCTGATGCATACTGCCTTCGAAATTAGTCATCACATAGTCCATAGAGACAGAAAATTTCTGTATTGACAATGGAACCCTTGAATTTTGGAGATAGATTTCATTGGGGGGGTATACCTATCGAAAAAAGCTAATGAATGGTAGGGACTTCAATTTCTCCCTTACCTCAGATGATGTGTCCTGTTTAATTTTACGCCTTCCAAATATACAAGCCATATCTTCCTGAGATTTTGATGACAAATCTTTCCCTTTAGTGAATTTTTGGTAGCTGAAAGGCAAACGATAGAAACATATATCTTTTATGTACTTTAATAAACATGTATGTTTTAAATGCATCATATATGCATACGTATAGATAAACTGTTAACGAATCATAAAATTGGTTTCTCTGCCAGTCCCCTCATAAATATAATCAATTTCTGTAGATCACCTGAATAACTACAATCTACAACAATACACTAGATTTTATATATCTCTGACCTTAACTAGTTTCCACACTCACTCTTCTTTATAAGACTACCAGTCCTAAAACAGGATTGTAAAATACACACTTACTGGACTCTGCTTCGTGAGGCTTTAGATTTCTTCTCCAACCCTGTGACCTTGTCAGAACTGTCCTCATCATTATTGTCCTTGTCAGAACCATTTTGATTCAGACTTGACAACAAGTCATTAAAATCATCCTGGTGAGCTATCCAATTATCTGCATGATTCTTGGAGCATCCAACACCTGCAAATTACAAAGTTGATCAGAAGCTATTGTACTCCTCGGAAATCCAACACCAACTAAATACACAATATGTAGATTTCAAATATTTAATTAATGTATTTATTTCTAAAATTAAATGAACGGATGAATTCTAGTGAGATAAGTAACAATTCTTTTTTCACAATTTCTATCCTCGGAGAAGCTGGGTTTTTTTCCACTCAAGGATGGATAAATGACTAATGAAGAGCAGATAATGAACCACTGATGAAGGGGATTCAAAGAACAGCAAGCTAGTCCTGAAATAATATATGCTCAATATGTCTACTGTACCTCTGGTGTCATTTTTCAAAGAAATTTTCACATGCTCAACATTTCCATCTTCATTAGCTCCAAGTCCTTTTCCATTTGACCAACCAAACTTTTCAAGCATCTTCTGACCAAACTTAGACCCATCTAATACAACAGATAATGAAAAATACGTAAAATCTAATGTCTTTAATTATCACTGCATAGAGACCATCAACAATTGATTCAAATCAATTATGATAAAACATTAAAGATCCCATTTCAGTACATTAAACAAAATTGTACACATCACTCATTTTTGATTTAAGTGGGTCAAAACACACATATTGTCTTGGTCTTGGAAGTAACTTTTTAAAAATTACTGGTACACACACATATATATATATAAATAGTAATGTCTCAAAAAACTTGATTTATTATTTGTCTTTATTCTGATACCTTTATTTTTCTTAGTCACAGAGCTCCAAATTTTCCTTTGAACTAATTTTTTTTCTTTAGCTAATTTGAGCATTCCAAGGGTTCAAAATGAAAACCAACCATGTAAAATACAGATTGTACAGGCATTAATCATCTATTTTTTCTGACAAAGAAACTTAAACATTGAAACTAGATGTAGAAATTGTTTATTTGATGTGATTTCTTGTTTGTTTGCTTTCGTTTTTTCCTAATCCTAAATGTTAGAAGTTGACATGTTTGAAATCTGCCAATGCAGATAAACGGACTATGACCTATTATAAATATAGGAGTGGTTTTTCTTCTCTCTCTCTCGCTTACTCTTTTTCGATCAAATTATCTGGTTGGACAAAACCAGCTTACCATTACATCAAGATTTTAAATACTAATGCTTATTGATAGTCGGGGAGGGTGTGTGTGTGTGATGTTGCGTATAATACACAAACTGGAGTATGGGTATGTCACTAAAATTAGCCAAGTTCATTCTGACTTCACCTTTTTCATTTTTTTGTTAATTTTGTTTAGTCCGTCGCATGAAATATTTGTAGATGTATTTGTGCAGGGACGTATACGTCCCTGATTTGTGTTATCACAAGACAAACAGGCGAAAACTGGATATCTATATATCAACACAATGTTGCAACCTTCCTTACTGGACGGAACATATTGATGCATATGGCTACCAAAATGCAGAGAAAAGTGTTCGTCTGATTAATTAACTTGCAGGCTTATGGAAACTTCTGACAGAAAACACGTGTTTTTCAAAAACATCCGGATATCCCGTAGCATACATCATGACATCAGATATTTTCCTGTGATACTTAAACTGATACACGTCGTACATATATGTATGAATCGATGTCCCATATTCTTTGTTGACATTACCTTTACTCCAATTATTTCCTCTTGGATCTGCTGATAACTTTTGTTTTCGACGTGGAGCAGCAAGCATGGACATTTTTATGACACCACTTCCACTTCCGATTAATTCCAAACTGCCTTTTATGTCACAGCTTTTCATTGGTCAGTTTCGCCTAATGAGAATCGGTCTTTAAAACTGTGCATTCACAATGAAGAGGTAAAAGATACTCCGAGTAAAATAATTGACCAATGATATTCGAGGTCAATCATTCACTTTATGAAACTGCCAATCAAATCAAATGTTGTTATTCGTGACGAACAAACTGGCAAATTTGAAAATGTGAGTTCCGAAGAGAAGCACTTAGAGACGACGATTACAGTTTGGACGGGAAACAAGGAATAATTTTGGAAATACATTTACTCGGGTTGAAAAGTTTACAGACTTCTTATGCGTTTTCTAATTTAGCATTTCAAAATGACAAGTGCTGCAAAATTAAGACGGGATGAAATTAGGAAAGACAACATCCCAGAAATCATTCTTGATCCAACCTCTGGCAAACGTTATTTGAAAGGACGATTCTTGGGCAAGGTAAAACTGCACAGCGATATTGTTGAATTATATTGTCATCTGTATGCGATAATTTCGTCATTTACTTAAAAGATTTACGTTATATATCTCAGTTTGTATATTTGTTTAAACCATTAACCAAAACTACTGAGAGAGAAATGCCTCAAAATGGCCGTTGGAAACGTGTCGCGACGTGTTCAAATCCAATCGATGGTATTGTGTATTGTATACAATATACAGAATTGAGGTATATTACCATTTTTCTTTCAAAAGCAGCGTTCACGTTACAGAGTAATAAACGCCACTTACTTCAATTACAATTAATATTTAATGAAACCGCCGCCAACTTCAAATTCAAATTGAAAACTATTTAAAATTCAATATATTTCGAGGCTCGTTAATCACTATCGACTATTGAGTGTATGCAATTTGAAAATAACGGTTCGTGTTAATATTAAAACTGAAAGACGAAGTTTTCAAAGGATGAATTTGTTTTAGCTTGATAATATAATCAACTACTCACTTTATATAATTACTTGACTGATATTTATTGTGTACAGCACTAGCTAGGTCAGTTGTATGATAGAAGAAAAGTTGGTGTTTACATTTTCTTTGGTAGTGTTATTTATATTTAAAAGTACACATCTAAGTTGAGTCGGTGATATTAATTCAAAGTCTGGAATATTTTTTTGTTTTAAATAGGACCAAGTCAAAATGATTGACATGGTGAAGTCATGCATTGTATTTGTAACAGTGTGCATATTGATGTTTTAAGCAGACAACATGAGATTTTGGCACTGCCAATACTTCCTTCGTCATTTCTTTTGTTTTATTTAACAATAGAGATGATTATCCACTCAGATATATAATTACACATCCAGCATATATTTATTGTTTAGATTTATACACTCATTGTTAAAATAGAAACATACTTCATCAAACTTAAACTCAAATTTTAAAGTCGTCCATGTTTTATAAAGTGGAAAACCTATTCATTTTAGAAGTATTTTCAAAAAAGAAAAGAAAGAGTGGGGGAGATTTTTGATTTGTGAATCGAAAAACTAATTTATATCTTTCACTTAAAAGGGGTTTCAAGAGGAAGTCAGTGAAACAGGAAAATGAAATTCACTCAGTTTTTGATTATTTAAAATCTTTCACTGTAAAGTGTGACATAGTCATAATATGTTACAATTACATGATGATTTGACAAACCTAAAGGAAAGTGTGGCTACCATCAGGAAACGTTTTTAAAAAATCCAAACCAGACTCAAAATTTCATCAGCTAAAAGGTTGTAATAGTGGACTTAAAACCTGTTAAATAGATAAATAAAAAGATCAGTTTGTAGATTTTTTCTGTTGAAATACTGTACCAGGGTGCTACGCAGAGAAAATTTTCTTTGTTGTCAGTCACTGTAAAAGGGTAATCACTTTTGTGAAAAAATTATAGAAAAATTTTCAAATCATGAAATGAAAAAATTGTGTTGTTCATAATTATCATCTTGTGTTTGGTTTGCAAATTGTTCATTTTGTAACCACATTTAAGAAAATGAATCAGAAATAATTAAAAAGCTGAGGCAGACTAAGAAGTGTCGGTAAAATTTTTCATTTACATGTAGTTCCTTTTTCAACAGGTTGGATGGATGTAAATTTGGAAAACATGTATCTAATTTCTAAAGATTTTTTGAGGCCTCATGCACAACTAAAGCTCTCAGATGTTGGTTTTATTGAAATACAATATTCAGTCTACATTGGACATTCCCTTTGTATAACATTAAATTAAACAAATCCATGTTAAGTTATACTTAAAATCATCAGAAAGAACACTTGTAGAAAATTTGTACAGTTTTCTTTAAAAAGTGTTTCAATTTAGGTAGGGTCACATTACTGTTTATTATCAAACAAATTAGAAACTATCATCCTTTTCCAAATGTCAACCCCCAAATACACACAAGTCTGGATTTTCCCGAGTGTTGGGTAACACAGCAGTATTTGAAAAGTGCAAGAAACAGTACACTATGGCTTATAACTGCAATAATGCATGTGTCTGTCTCATACCGAGTGATCAGTGAACTGGGGGCAAAGTTACTTCACACAGCAATTATGATATGTGCAAATCAGGCAGTAGGTTTGACCATTTCAATCACTGCACTACCAATAAGTGTGAAAGTTTTTTTGTGTTTGTTTTTTTAATTGCTGCACAGACTTCGGTATAGATAGCGAGATAAACTTTGTGTTATTACAATTAGTAAGTTGTACCGTAATCTTTACTTATGATGAGTAGTATCATTAAAAATGTTTGATGTTGTCTTAATATGTGGAACACCATCTGATTCTCCGATATGTTATATTTTTCAGGGTGGCTTTGCAAAATGTTTCGAATTAACAGATGTGGAAACAAAAGAAATCTTTGCTGGCAAGATAGTGTCCAAGACATTGCTAGTCAAACAGCACCAAAAGGACAAGGTATGATATTCACCTTCCAATTAAAATGAATTTAGAATATGTAAGACTGAATTTTTCATTTAATTCAAATGTACATCTCTCTGTATAGCATGGCATCTCTTTTCTTGCACAACAGCATTTGTGTGTTATGCTTATGAAAACCAGTCAACTTTTTCTTTGATATAAATATATAACATATGCTGAGTTGTAAGAGTTGTGTTTTACTTTAAAAAATAAAGTTTGTTCTGGAAGTTTGTTTTATGATGTCATTCAATAATGTGTTGAAAAGTTATAACATCTTATTGTAAAGATAACAACTTTTGCTGATTTGGGATTTGAGTAGATATACATTGTGCTATATGTCTTCAGTCTATTATTGTTACCGATACTTTGTGATTCTTTACAGATGACCCAGGAGATAAGCATCCATCGTAGTGTCAACTTTAAATACATTGTCAAATTCCACTCCTTCTTTGAAGATTCTGACAATGTCTACATTTTGTTGGAGCTGTGTAGAAGAAGAGTAAGTTTTCCCAATGAGTCGTCTCAGTGTCCCAAAGCCAGTATGTATTATACCTAGATATAAACTGGTGATACCTTATAATGTGATCCAGTCTAAGTCACTGTGATGACTACTGCTGTGCCCCATAATTGACTTAAATATATTTTCTGAACGGCATCTTCTCATTTTAGTCTGTATTATTCACCAGTGTGTAAGTACCTCTGGTGTGACATTTCCTGAAAAGACACTTTCAGATTAGAAATTCAGAGAAAATCCCAATAGTTTAACAAAAAACTTTGTTTTTCAGTCGCTCATGGAACTTCACAAGAGAAGAAAAGCCATCACAGAGCCAGAGACACGCTACCTGGTGCGACAGGTTATTCTAGCCTGTCAATATCTCCACAGTAATAAAATCATCCACAGGGATTTGAAACTTGGAAATCTTTTTATCAATGACGACATGGAAATTAAAATTGGTGACTTTGGGCTTGCCACACGTGTGGATTATGATGGAGAAAGGAAACGGTGGGTTACAAGTGCATTTAATGTTTTTTAAGGGTATAAACTTACATATTGTTAAAAGTTTTCAAAGTTTGGAAGAAAAATTGAAGTGTCTGTAGTCAATGTCCATTCAAGAAATTTGTTTCCCAAGGTTTTTATTTCTGATTCTGATTTTTAACACAGTAGTAAATGTAATTTTTTAAATAGTTATTGGCATGTGCAAATACACTGTCCGAGTACATCTTCATGGCATGTCATATACTGGTAAAAATGTTTGTTTGAATGGTGTCTGACATGAATCTAATCACATCCAAATCTGTTAGTATTTCTTGTCAAAATCCTTCAAGATGTAAAATTTCAATTTTTGCAAAATCTATCATTTCTGATTTTGGGTGTGAAATGTCGACTGAATTCATGCAAATAGTTGCACATCATATTTATTTTTCTGGAAAGTCTTTTTTTTCTCTCGATTTACTTGATTTGTCACTCATGGTTTGGATTATAATGTAAACCTTACATGTTTGTTTTTCAGAACGTTATGTGGAACACCAAATTATATTGCCCCAGAGGTACTCAACAAAAAAGGACACAGTTTTGAAGTGGATGTATGGTCACTTGGTTGTATTGTGTGAGTAATTCACTGAGGTTTTATCATTATAAAGTCCACATCCCTGAAATATTGTAGGGAATTACTGTGTAACTCCATTACGCATCATGATACTGCTTACTTTATTTTCTGGTTTAAAGCTTGATTGATAATTCTCTTAAAATTAACTTTATCAATTATTTTTGACACTTAAAGAGAACACAAAAGCTCACAAACAGGTGTGCTGTTGGCCCTATATTTTTATTAACCTTTGTGATACCCTTGAATGACTTGAGACCATGTTAGCATTTTTTTTTTTATCTAACTTTACTCATTTCATCCACACTTGTGACTCATATAAAATTTCATGATTGCATCATTATATTTTAAGATGGAATAGTTTTTGAGTGAGAGACTTGACTCTTTACCCTAACTTTTGACTTGGTACTTACTAGGTATACACTGCTGTTCCTCTACCCTGAGTTATGACTTGGTACTTACTAGGTATACACTGCTGTCCCTCTACCCTGAGTTTTGACTTAGTACTTACTAGGTATACACTGCTGTTCCTCTACCCTGAGTTATGACTTGGTACTTACTAGGTATACACTGCTGTCCCTCTACCCTGAGTTTTGACTTAGTACTTACTAGGTATACACTGCTGTTCCTTTACCCTAAGTTTTGACTTAGTACTTACTAGGTATACACTGCTGTTCCTTTACCCTAAGTTTTGACTTAGTACTTACTAGGTGTACACTGCAGTTCCTTTACCCTGAGTTTTGACTTTGTACTTACTAGGTATACATTGCTGGTTGGTAAGCCTCCCTTTGAAACAACCTGCTTGAAGGATACCTACATGAGAATAAAAAAGAATGAGTATCATATACCATCCCGAGTAAGTCAGCCTGCCAAAAACCTCATCATCAAGTTGCTCAAGGCTGATCCCACAGACAGACCCAACATGGAAAAAATGCTGGATGATGAGTTTTTCACGTGTGGTATGTATTTAGGACAAGAAAAGAGAGGGGGATCTAACAAAGTTGTGTAATTAAACATTTTTAAATCATTGTGAAAATATTCACACTTTGCATCAATTTCACCTTCATTTGACACTGCAGTTGTGTCAGAAGTCAATATGGAACTTTGGCAATATCAAATGATTTAATAGTATAGAACAGTTGAATTAAAATCAAAATTACAAAAAAGCAAGGAAAGGTCATTCAGAATTCAAAATGAATTGATTTATAGCGAGGAACGATTGTATAAAATCTATATTTCATTCAGATTTAAAAGTGGAGGGAAATGCAATACTTTTTAAAAAGCACAGAGAAAAGTTCAAGAAAGTTAAGAGAATGTTGTAAGACTTTGATATGTGATTTCAGGTTACTTGCCAAGTCGCTTGCCTACAAGTTGTCTGACGATGGCACCACGCTTTGACACACTTGCAAAATCGGAATCTATGTCTAGGCGCCCATTACACGAAATCAACAGAGCAGGTAAAGGTTAGCATGCTTGGTTTAACCTTAGATGTGTAAAGTACTATTTTGTATTGAAGGTACATATTGATTCAACTCTAAGCATATTCATGTTCTCTTCTGATGTCACAGTAAACATGTCTTCTTTCCTTTGTGATGTCATGAAACGAATGGGTCATATGTAGAAATTGACCGACAAAATAATTATCAAATAAATAATGAGTATGAAACCTTCAGTTATGATAATCTTCATGTCTTTCAAGCGTTTTCATTTATTAAAACAATTAAATACCCTGAAATTGGCTGGGTTGTGCCAGGTTGTTTACACTGACAACAAAATGGCGGCCTCAGATTTTACTTTCAATATCTTAGGTATTGATGAAAGGAAATCAGAATTTAACCATTATATACTATTAGATATATAAAACAGATTACAGTTTATTGTAAAAATAAAACGGGGAAAACTTGTTAACATGAGGTTATGAATGAGTGATTAATTACACACAAGTGACATGGTGAGCATATGATCAGTCATGCTGGTCATTTTACTGACCAAATACATAGATACTTGTACAGAAAAATTGTTTATTGTCAAGCCATGTTTTCAAAAACCTATCTGCAAAGTTTTTAAAACCAAAATGTTGATTTTTTTTAAAGCTAATTCGGTGCATAGTACATACATTTGTCTCATTCTCTTCACTCTTCTTATTTTGATGGGCTAAATTACTGCATTAGCATAGGACTTCACACTACATGACCATGAAGCAAACTTTGACAATGCATGGGAGGGGGAATATTACAGTAGCTGGTCAATGATTGACAGTTCTTGCTGTCCATTTAAATAAGAATCTGAATTTGATCAGTGTCATTTTCAAAGTTAGCATAAAGTTCAGTATGTCATTAAAGAATCATCTCTGACCATTTGAGAATATATTTCTTCACTGTATCCAAATGTGAATCAGAACTGAATATATTTGTTCCCAAATATTTGGAAGATATGTACAATATTCCTTCATTATAGCATGCTTGAGAATAGTAGTACTGTATTGAGAACAGACATTTTATCTACCTATTTGACAGACCCTAATACGAGACCCGCCACAGCCTTACCTGAAATGATGAAGAAAGATGAGAAACGTCCTGAAGTTAACGACGGTGAGGAAGGGGATGTACGGAGCAGAAAAGGAAGTGAGTACATGAAATTATTCAGTAATCCTTGTTTTGTCTACAATATTCATGATAAAAAAGCTTAAGTCACATCAGTTAAGAAATTTGGAAAATGTTCAGGGATTTTTTCCATTCATTTCGGAAAGGCCTCATTTTGGGATCAGTTGTGGAGGATATTTTAAGGAGTAAACTAATATTTTGGGGATTTGGGCATGTAATAAGATAAATGCAATTGGGAATGGGGGCTCCATAGGATCCTGATGACTTACATGATGAAATTATATCAAGGAGGTTTTCTGAAATGAGTAAATACTGATGAGCAAGGCATTCAATTAAAATGATTATGAATACCAGGGTTAGAATGAGTTTATAGACGAAACCTGTGTTTCTAAATCTATCCTTTGTAAATGAATAAATATCCAGCATCACATGGATTATAAATTTCTAAATATTAAACTACAGGTGATGAACCAACAGATTTCTACCTGTCCGACTTGTTTGCCCAGTTGGGTGCTGTAGTAGCTGCTCGGCCCTCAGAGAGAGCCCTAGTTCAAGAAGGTTTGTACTTTAGTATCTGATGTTGATATGTGTACATTCAGATGAAAGTGGATCCATTGTTCTCAATCACAGACAATTGTCTGTAATACTTGGCTCAAGTTTTCTGATGTCTTGTGTAACCCAACATATTTGACCAGTCATCTTATTTCTTATCAAATCAACTGAGGACTTTTGCATTTCGCATTCTGCTTAATCTCACAATTAGTATGCTTGACAGATTAATCTGTTACAGTAGATTGTGTCACACAATGTAACTTTAATCAGTTATCTACTCATTGTTACAATTCTAAAATGTTGCAAATTGAAAAGAAAACTTTAAAAACCAGACAAAGATTATGAAAGTTTTGTTTTAAAAAGCAGAAATGTAAACTTGAAACCACATGCTCAGATTTAAACATAAAATTATTTCTGTTTGCTACAGAGGATGCCCTGGACCCTGCCTGTATCCCCATATACTGGGTGAGTAAGTGGGTAGACTACTCGGACAAGTACGGCCTCGGCTATCAGATGTGTGATAACAGTGTTGGAGTTCTCTTCAATGACTCCACTCGACTCATTCTTCTGGCCAACGGAGAGTAAGTACCACACCTGTTCAAGCCTGTTTCAACCAACAAAGTGTATACCTTGAATTCAATTTATTGACAACCAGATGATATGTTGTGGTTAGGTCATAGATTTAATTCCTTACACTATCAAGGTCACACATTGGGGGGGGGGGGGGGGGGGGGGGGGGGTCAAATTTTCTGGGTTTTTTTGTTTTTTTTTTTTTTAATTCATTTTCATTGGCATTTGATTTCATGAATAAATCTTGCTCCCAAAACTCACCAGTATTATAATTCATTTCAACTTCTGTCTGTTTAACGTTTAGAGTACCTTCAAATTCAACAAAAAATAAATCCCTCTTAAAAATTAATGTGTCCTGTTTTCAAGAGGTCATTGTTATTGTTTCAGGAATGTGCAGTATATTGAACGTGACAGTACAGAACACTACCACACCATCAAAGTGTTCCCTGAGACTCTCAACAAGAAAGTGACGCTGCTTAAATATTTCAGAAATTACATGAATGAGCATTTGTTAAAGGTAAGGGTACCTCTGATGATAGCCATGCAGTTTTGGTGTTAAAAGCTGTTTGCTGGCAAAGACAGTCTGTTATCTTTTAGATTTGAACCATTCTTTTTGTCAGTGCTTAGAATACACATTTACATTGGTTTTGATACAAACACTGAATAGCAATTCCCCTTTTTTTTCTAAAACAGAAATCTCAAACTTAAGAATATGTAAAAATGGTCATTATTTGTTTTATGTCCTCTGCTGAGGATTGCATAAGAAACTTCCAGTTTATTAGAGCACACCTGTTTTATAAATTTAAGATTATGTAACAGCAGTTACCTGAGGGACCTTCGGTTTAGAGCTCCTGTTTTATAAATTTAAGAGTCTGTACAAAGGGATCATAATTTGTTTCATTTCCTCTGCTAGCAATCAATAAAGGGAACTCCAGTTTACTAGACTTAGCTCTACCAATCTGGTTATAAGGGAAACGTTCTGTGTGGCTAAGCTTTTATTCACCGGGGTTGCAATCTTCATTCTTGTCTGTCTATTTTCTATGTCCGACTTCTTTTGAATTGGTAGAAAATTGTCTCTCTTAGATAAAAAAAACTACAGAAATATGCATATCACTCTTACTTTAATTTTCTGTTATTAGATAATTAAATTATTGCTACATTTTCAATATCTGATAATTCCACAATACTGTAGAATCTGGACTTGTTGTAATTGGGTCATGAATTCAAAAATTTGTTACAATACTCCAGTTTAGGCAGGTTATACTGTTGGCTCTCCATGTAAAATCTCTAGCCTAAATGGAAACTTGCGGATTGTTAAAAATGGACCACCTAGAAGTAGTTACATTAAAAAAATTATCACACTTTTGAAGTTTGGTTTTCTTGAGCACCTCAACCTGAATGGAATTTCTTGATTCTTTCTGTTCTCCTGAGTTTATGTGTGTAATAACAACATCCTTGTTGCCTCAGTCTTAAGAATTGCAGTTATTAGGTAAACAGACTATATAATAATGTTATTTCATTACAGGCTGGTGCGAACATGACTCCTCGAGAAGGTGATGACATGACTCGTCTACCTTTCCTAAGGACTTGGTTCAGAACGCGAAGTGCTATCGTCCTCCATCTCAGCAATGGTACACTACAGGTAAGGGCAGTGGCAGAGAGTCTTTGTCTATACTTTGTGTTGAGCTTTGTTTTATAAATATTCTGATATGAAATTCCTAACTCAGTGATTGGATTTGTCCTCACCTATTCTGCAAAATCATTCATTTTCATGGGGGAGGGGGTCTTTTCATTAACTTTCTTGGTTACTCTTTATCAACAAATCAAAATTAGTACAAGTAGACTTAGGGAGCTGTAATTATCTGTAAAAATCAAGTGTCCATGAAATAGTTATATTTGAAAAACCACGAAAAATTGAGCCCGACGAAATTATCTGACTTTACAGTATAGCAAAAGGAGGTAGTTTATGAAATATATATCAAATATATGTCAGTGAAAAGTTAATATTTTGCACATTCTGGCTCAGCTTATGCTTAGATTTAGTTCTCAATGTTTAAAATCAACTTGGTCACACCTTTAATATGGTTTTGATGAAAGTCTTTCTTAATTTACAAACATAAATAATTTTTGTTTTTATTTTCAGATCAACTTCTTCCAGGACCACACAAAAATAATTCTGTGTCCATTGATGCAGGCTGTGACCTACATTGATGAGAAGAGAGACTTCCATATATTCAGACTATCGTTGATAGAGAAATACGGGTGTTCTAAAGAACTGGCAAGTAGAATACGCTACGCCAAGACAATGGTTGAACGTCTAATGACGTCAAAGTCTGGATCAGGACGTGTACGATCTGCAGCACCTCCGGCTACAACAACCACTTAGGTGGAAAAACCCTCATTGGTTGTGTTACCAAGAACAAAAGACATGCCACAGTGAAGTGTCATTATCTTAAGATCTCGGATTTGCGATAAGGGTAGCTGTGTGATTCTTTCACCTCCGACTACCGGACAGTGCCCCTCAGAGCTTCTAATTCGGGCAATATTACAAGTAAACATATGACTATGTAAACCTTAAACAAGGCCTCATCTGTTATGCAAGGGAACAGTGCATGTGTTAATTTATACAAACTACAACCATTGTTTAAACTGTTACTGCATTTCACTATGTACATTACTTGTATATATTTATGATATACTGTAATCATGATCTTTATCACCAGAGTTTGCATTTTCCAATCCTTCCAAATGATTCTTTCCTTTCTTTCTATGTCTTTCGTCTGTTCTCTGCTGTTTTATTTACAGGTTTAGCTTTTGCCTAATTCCAAGAATATTAATTATTTTTTTTAACGTTTGAATTGGACCACAGGAATTAAAATGTGGTGTGGTCAATTTCACTTCAGTTAGCAAAACGGCTGGACCAAAGTAAATTTGGAGGGGGGATAGAAGGAACCTGTTAATATGATCCTTTATATCTCCAAATAAATAATTATTAGCATTTCTGAACTTGCATGTTCCCAAGTTGTCATAACTGCCTCATTTTCTAATTGGTAGAAAAAAAATATTTTTCAAATTTAGATTGTGTGAAAGCATGGGATATTTAGTTTAGAATTAAAATGTCATTAACTGCAGCAATATGCAGCACAAAGTTAAGAATAAGTTTGACGGTTGTTTCTCAGCTCTTAGTTAAAAGAAAAACTATAGATTTTTACATGTTCTTATAGAAAGTTACTCTGATGGTAATGTCTGTACTTGGACTTAATCAGGTTTTAGTTTGCTCTAGTTATTGCATTATTACATCAAATTGTTGATGTATTTATTCAACAAAGTAAACAATTTTCAGTCACTTTGTTGTAGTCAGAGTGCGCCAATACTGACTAAGATTATAGTGCTTTCTCTTCAGTTTTGAATAATGATAGATGAAAATACGCAAATAGTAACTCTTTAAATTTGTTATGTCCAGTGGAAGTTTTATTCTTAATCATGAATTAATCAAATATGATAACAATTCCAATGAATTTAATTTCTACTGATAAAAGAGGTACATGTAAAATTTGATTCTGGTAGTGCTGTTTTTCTTTTTTGAGTGCAAGCATTTTTCCTGTTATAATAAGGGGAGGTCTAATGCATGCAATAATATTAGTTTGTTTTCGAGAGGTTTGTTGTAAACCAACTTATTTTCAAGGTGACTTAAGTTTGTGCTTTCAATATGTTATGGTTTTTGTAACAATTTAATTTCACAATTTACAGTCCTAGATCCATGTATTTAGGACCCGTTTTCAGGTCCCTTTTGTCAGATTTTAGTGCAAATCGCAAACTGCTGGATTAATGATGGTAGATTGCACATATTGTATTGACTTTGCGAAAGTTGAGTTGTTTTCATTTTTTCACACGTCTTTCTTACTGAGCTGGCATTGATACCGAGCAAGTGCGGATTGTCAGTTAGTTTAACGGAGTACTTTCCAGTCCAGTCTACTGTTAGGATCATCATTATGTCGTTAAAGGTTTTTTTAATTAGGATAAAACCAACTGAATGTAAAGTGATATGTTCTAGGTTACTAAATCCAGATATTTAACACTGGACGAGTAAAAATCTATTGCTTAATAGAAATTGTCTTTCATATATGAAATTATTACTATTATTGCCAGATAGGCAGTCATCTATTGGCCGACTAGAAACATAAACCCAAAGTTTACATGTAAAAGGCCTACTGTACCTGTGATTGAAACTATTTTGCCGTGATTACTTTTTGCAAATTTATTTTAATTGCCTAAGAAAATAAGTTGGTTTACAGTATTTGGCTGTTTCCATTGATGAAATTGCGAAAATAGATAATGTGTCCATTTCCATGAAATATTATCCATTCACTTTCCTTGAACAACTTTCGAATTACTCCTCTCCTTACCAACTATTTTTTTCACAGATACATCTTCAATCATTGATGATGAGGTGGGATGAGGCAAAAATATTAGTGCAGACATTTAAAACTAATGTAAATGTGATGTGGGCTAGTGTTATTTACTTACCAAATAGGTAGTAGTAGACACGTCTGTTGTAGTGTATCAAGTAATTTATTTCTGTTTATTTTGTTTGATCTAATGGTTTTCAAGACTTGAGTTTGTTTTTCTTATGAATTCACAAGTGTTCATTTTAATGAGGGTTAGAATCATGGTTTTTTTTATGACAAAGGAGAGAATTGAAGAATGAGAGATGTCAAAAGTAAGAGTGGTCAATGTATATGTGATCTACTATTATAAAAATGGACAGCAGGATTTCACTGCAAGGAAGTAGGGCTTCAGATGTGTGAAAGATTGTTACTCAATTGTGCTTGAAAAGGGTGACTACAGTGTAGAGAGAGTGTTTACATGTATATGTGTTTGAAAAACCAGACTAGTCTACTGGAAAGTGTATGTATGCGAGTATTGTCATTCTTGATGTCATAGTGACCCGATTTTCAGATCCAGGTTACCAGGTGAATTGTTCACCTTGTTGACTTGTTACAATATATTGTTAAATCATGACTGTTTATAGAAGCATTTGTACATTGTCACGAGAAAGCAATGTTGTGATTTCATTGACAAATACTGAAATTATGAATTTATACATCACCCATAACATTTCTGTATATGATAATTTATATGGAAAACTACATTTTATTTCAATTTTAACTTGAAACATATAATTCACACTGACAATGAACGGAGACATCTAATAATATCCCTTTCATTATAAACCAGTCAGACCTGTTCTTTATATATACTCTGCATTCACTCTGTAGGATTTCTTAGTTGCTGGTGTAGCAACATTAGAATAAATTTTATTGTACCTACACAAAGATATTTTGATAATTTCTGTAATTCCCGAAACTCATAATACTTTAAGCTGTAAATCTCACAAGACAATATCAGAAAGTTGCAGAAATGTGAATAGCATATTTAAATAAAGTGTACAGCCTTGTTGTCAAGCACGACATTGAGTATGATGCCACACTACATGTAATCTTATTATTCCACTCAACTTGTAGAGCAGTGTAAACTGAAAAATGTGAATAAACAGTATTTTTACCATATCCTAGAAATATTTATAGCAATCAAAGGGACACATTTAATATCATCTTTACCATATATCATACTGTCTCCCATCTTCTGTAACACTGATTTTGTGTTGAAATGTCAATGATATCAAATAAAGTGCAAAAAATTAATGGTTTATTGGTTTAATATTTCTTTGTTGTATACTGAATTATTCTGTAAAAAGCTGGGAGAACAAAACATTAATTCATAGTAGGGGGGTGAATATACTGTATGACAAAAAGTAGCACGAATGTTGTTTTTTTTTTTTTTGGTTTTTGGTTTTTTGAAAAGCAACAGACATCTCTCATCATTTGACATTAGGATTTCCTTTCTCATGTTTTAATGTCTTTTTTCCCCAAGAGACTTTTGAGAGATATTTTTGCTGAATTCTGCTTCAGGAAGTTGCAATAACATACAAACCAGCAAAAAGATTTAAAATTGAACTTTGATCTTGACATCTACTCTGTTATAACTGACATGTAATCAAGTGACTTCAAAAGTTTTTTTATCAATTTATCTCATGAACTGGACAAGAATTATAGGGGGGAAAAAGATTAACTTTGATCTTAGATGTAAAGGCAACTTATTTGATGATTTTCCTTGAGGTGAACATTGCAATGACCAAATTTTAAAGCACTGTACATTGCCCGTAGGTGATGTATATATATATAGAAGTTTCAACAAGATACACATTTCTATAGGTTCAAAACTTAATGCCTTGACAAAATTGTATTCAAAGAATCAGCTAAAATACAATGTTGCCAGTCAAATGGAAGACATCAACAGTGTTTAAATCCAGAGCTGCTTATGAACCGACATCAATTTTGAATAGTTCCGAAATTTCTAAAACTTTCCAATCATCACCTGACAAATGGTAATTACCAAACCCTAATATTTCACTTGGCTGCACGAATATTTCACATTCAGAGTCAAATTTACCTTAGTTGTCATGGATTGAAGGTCACTTTTCAAGTTTTGAAATAACACCCTGTTTTTAAATTATTGAACCTAGCTTTCATTCCCAACAACAGCAAATGTACACAAGATTAGTGCTGTCTGCATGAAACTGATGTCATATTGATCTCAAATGAACACCAGACCGCGACAAAAGTAGTACTTCCCGTACTGCTTGGATGTCAAAAGTTCGTGAGACAGCTACAACAACAGTACTGCCTGCAACATTTGGGATCTTCATATTTTCTTTTCTTTTCTGCTGTTATTTCTTTCTGTGCTCCTATCCACACATGATCCTAGTAGTTGCTAGGATGTTAAATGCTGTGAAACCAAAACAAAATCTAGAGACATGGATCAAGTACTTAAATATGTCCTAGACATACACAATCACAAGCTTATACATGTGGTCATGATATTGGAAAAATCTTGGAAAAACAAACTAATTTTTATTTCAAGTTAAAGTCTGTTAATGTTTTTTGGACTGTTATGAGAAAAGGGTTTCTAATTTTAATCCACTCTGAAAATGAATCAAATGCAGCCTGATTTTGCTGTAGTTTTTCACTGAAGCAATATTTATTACTTCCATATTCCATTTAAAATATTCTGAAAATCAGTCTAATATCTTAATATTATTGGACAATGTGTTAAACATTGAACACTACTTACCTAGCAGTACCATAGAGAAGTGTCAAGAGAATTAAGACAGGAGGGAGACATCTAAAGTTAATTTCTTATTGTTTACTTAAATGTATCCTTTCAATTACTGAACCACCCATTCCCACCTCAAGTCTTTCTCTTTCCAGTTGCTTCATAGCATATTGGTCCAGATGGAAATGCACAATGGGTTTTTTCTAGAGGACTAAATCATGATAACCAGCGAATCAGACATGGTTTAGCAGGTGATCCCATAGCTAAATTTCATACCCAATTGGGGAATCAAGCCCTGGTCTGCCGAGTGAAAAGTAGGTATATCAAGCGCTGGTCTGCTGGGTGAAAGGTTGGTTAGTGGAATGAAAAGCTTGTAAAATGAACAATGGTCAGGCAAGTGAAAGGTTGGAGAATGCAACTCTGCTTGGCTGGGTGAAAGGTTGGTAAATCAAGCCCAGGTCAGCTGGGTGAAAGGTTGAAGAATCAATCCCTGGTTGGCTGGGTGAAAAGTTGCGGAATCGAACCCTGGTTAGCTGGGTGAAAGGTGAGTGCATTATCTATCACTATACTACCCATTCATCAAATGATGTCACCAACTTCATATAACAATATATATAAAGAGACAAAACTGAAGGCATCATTTCACTTTAATTTTACAATGAAAATCATATTGAAAAAATATATTGAACTTTTCTGTCCAATTATAGTAGCATTTATTCAACCATTCAAAAACATTCAAAGCTGTTTAATATTACAAATAAGAATGAAGAGATATAAGACAAAATGGGATCTATGACCTTATTTCTGATTTAAATGTCCAGGACAGTCTTTCACCAAAGTTGTGAAGTTTACATATAGACACACAAGGTATGTAATTTGAATTACAATTATTTTGTTTTTATCTAAGTGGGACTGTGTCAAAACAATAATCCTAAATTTATTTTGAAATTGGTCTTTTTCTGTCTATATTTCTACTATAATCTTGAATAAAGAACAAGAGGCCCATTGGTCTAAACCGTTACCTGACTATTCTCAAACTTAAACTTTAACACAGTAAAACAAATTGAAGCAGTCCCATTTTTAAACTCATCATGATACATGACTGTATACCAAGTTTCCTCAAAATCCATTCTTATCTACTCAAGTTACTATGTTCACAAGGTTCAACAGTGATAAAACTACAAACAGTCATAACCCTGTCAATCATAATTGAATCAGTCTCATTGTCAAATTCATCCAAAATCATATTGATATAAGGCTGCATATCAAGTTTCATCAAAGTCTTCATAATTAAAACTGTAAAGGGACATAACTCTGTTAATTTCAATCAAATCGGTTTTATTGTCAAACTTCACTGAATCTTATTAATATAAGGCAGCCTAACAAATTTGATCAAAATTTGTTCGTATTTACTGAAGTTATTGTAATCACAAGGTCTAACGATAACAAAATTGGAAAGGCAAATCATTTTGCAAGTTACATTTGAATTGGTCCCATTATCAAACTCATCTGAGATCTTATGTTTCATCAAAATCCATTCATGTTTACTCAAAATATCATGTTCACAAATGGAAATAAAACTGCAAAAGGGCCATTATTCTGTATGTTACGATCAAATTTGTCTCAATTCCAAGATTCATAAAAATTTAAGCATATTTACTTAAATTATCGTGTTCTCAAGAAAATCGTTATGCACAATGATGGAGGAAGAACAATCGCTATAGGTCATAATGACTTATGGTCAAGTGACCTTAAAACTATATATAGGATTTCTGAACTAGATACCCTCTAATCATGTCCATGGTAGAAAATTACTAAAGAGAAAAGTTCCTATAACAAAATAGCCAATGAAATAAATAAAAATCAGTCTTGTTTTAAAACTTTGTCCATGGCTTAAAATTTGATCTACAAGCATGTTCCTTTTAGAACCGTCTAATATTGGAATGTCTTTTTGTCGGTAGTTTCTGATGACGTCCCATTTATTAAACTCTGGCCTTGAGGTTTCTGTGGTTTCCTTGGTGATAAGTCGAGCAGCATACCAATACAACACAGGCGATGATGAGAACAGCATCCTTGTTAAGATCTGAAATATATAATGTGTGAAACTGACATCAAAATATATTTCTACATGTCCTCACCCAAAGGAAAACATTTTGGGCCCACCTTTCTGTACCCAGGTGCACAGGGATTTTATTATTCACAAGGTTCAATTTTAGCAACGGAAGATCTTTTAATATATTCATGTTTGGTAGTTCAGAATTCTGCAAATTTTACAGAAATTTACTTGATCAAAAGCTGAAAAGAAAACAAAAATGCACATGCATCAGATTAAAATGAATTAGTGTAAAAGAACTTCAATGGATTTTACAAATGGCACACCATTAAATATAAATTCAGTAACATTGATACAGTTTATGCCTAAAAGTGAAAAAAACTACACCACACAGATGTACTGTCTTTCGAGGACTATATGTATAGCTACAATTTAAGTACCTGGGTACACTGTATTTAAGATCTACTGGTATACCGTAAACACACTTAATTTGGCATAGTAAAATCATCATATTTTGGCAAATTAGTACAATGAAAAAATCGACACATTCACAATAATTGCTATATAAAAAGTATACCAAAACTACTATAAGCAGGATCGTATTTTACCCATGTATGTATGTTGTATAACAGACATTCACACAAATTTTGACACTTACCTGTATGTGAGTAAAAAGCCAACCAAATACTACCAGGAAGAGAAGATGTACTATATAAGGCAGTAGTCTCTTGTTTCTGAATTCTCTATCTGTTTGTTTAACGATGTCTTTCTTTTTAAATTCTTCGAAATCCTCCATTAGGTCAAGCATACACACAGTCTTCCAATTCAGCCAGAGGTAGTAAATGATTACAGAAAGGCTTAGCAGTGTCACTGGTGTAGCCAGCAAGAAATTAGGAATTTGTTTGAACTGGTAATAGTTCATGAAGCCTACATTCCAGTGATTTTTCTGAATATGAGAATATGCACGTGGAAGATGGATATTGCACCAAACTGTTGAATTATAAGCCTGAATAGTATATCCCCGACTTATTCCATAATTAAATATTAGTTTATGCATGCCTGAAGGAGTCTCTTTGCAAAACCATTGATATGCAAAATACTGGAACACAATGAACGGTGAAACACATAACGTTGTGTAAATGAGAAGTGGTAATATGATAATCCAGACCATTGACCACAATGCAGTGGGAACTGACCACTTATCAGCCCTTATCATGGGGTAAAGAACTTTTAACAGTTGGACAGAATCTTTGCATTTTCTGTGTATAATAAGACCAAGATAAAGAATTCCATTTGAACGTGCAAATGCACTTAATCCAAATAAAAATGATGCAGGAACTTTTGAATTTCTTTCAAACTTGTGCATTCCATTTAGTATTAGGTATAAAAAGAGAATTTCAGAATACGGTGCTGACATGAAAATACTTGCTGGGTTGATGCAAAACAAAAGAGCAGCTTTATATGCAAGCAAATCATTGTTTAAAATGTCTCGTCCAAATCTGTACAGAATAACTGCTGTTTTCACAAATAAAAAGTAGTTTAATACCAATGCTGAGATTATTAATACCGATCTGTATGTCATCAATACTTGCAGAGGTAGAAACACACTGTTACCCAAAAACCTGACCAACATCGGGTACAAAGGAAAGAATGCCAAACAGTTTTCATACGTGTAGCCATGTTGTGATATGTGTAAGAAATAGACACCATCCCAACGCACGAATCCCGCGAAAAGTGTGCTAACAGTACTGTCCACAAAGTTCCAGGTGTCTTTGTCTGTGATGGGTGGATTGAAAACATCAGGCTGGTGGTCTGGTACACAGTTATTGAAAATAAACTGAAAGAAAATAAAATGTCAAAAAATCACTCACTTTTTATTGCTGCTCAATTACCCTTTTTTGATATCTGACCAAAATTCGCAACCAACTCTTTATCTTGGATGGAAGTTCATAATAAAGCAAACCATTTGTAAAAGTTAATGCCATAATGCCAACAGCTGTAAGACCTATAAATTTCATCAAACACACATAATCAATTGCTAAAAATACAAACTCACTTTTCTGGAAAGAGTACTGAATCCTTCAACAAATCTTAATTTGGTAATCAATGCACTTTCTCCCCTTTGACACACATTTATGAGAAAATTGACTCTATGGTTTTCTTAATCACTATCCTGTTTTTCTTTTAGAAAACATGACATTATTTGGATTTGATTGACATAGATTCATATGGTGTAAGTCATTAATGTAGATGAAACAGCATATCCTATTGGAACAATTGGTCTTATCTCATTCATTGTTCATCTGCTGAAGGCAATGAGAGTTCAGTTAGTAAAGAGATGGTCTCAAAAATACCACGACCAAGACAAAGATAAACTCACTGAGAGATACTCAGAATCCTAAACTACCTCTGAAGTGAAGAAAGGTGCATAGTTCAATGCTACCTACATGTACTGATGGTGGTTTGTGTTCCTCAGGACCCTAAGAAACAGATTGGTCAGTGCTGATGTGCTTATGTCTCTTAAATTTTAAAACTGTAAAAGAAGCAGGTCAGTGTGACTTGTACATAGTGTTAGTCACTCAGCTGAGGCAGACATGCTCCCTTAGCTCAGTTTGTAGAGCCATTTTGCTGGGTGGTCTCTCCAGTGCTTGTTAAGTATGAATTGGAATTAATTTATATTCTCTGATAGATCACGCTGGTGAAATTGGGAGCAGTAATGAAAAACACCCAGCCCCTAGTGGGGTTCAACCTTGCGACCTTTCAATCTCTAGCTGGATACCCCACCGCTTGACTACAGGAAAATTTCCAGTAGCCAAGGCTAATAAAGCAACCTGTACTCTCATCGTCTACACTATTCCCTCCTTCACAAAGTCTTCGACCAAGAATTAGACAACAACCACCTAGATTCAATATCTCAAAGAAAGTATACACCACAAATTCCTATACATTTAGCTTCTATCCTTGTAATTGTCGACGACAACAAATTTATAATAGGAAGGAGTGGTAAAAACACACTGGTGAGGTTCGAACTAGCGATCATTCGGTCTCCAGCAGAACACTCTACCGTCTGACTAAAAGGAATTGAAATTCAAAGTGGTCGATCATTCATTAACAATTGGGAGAGCTGAATTTCCTGGTGTTCAGTATGATGTATCGGGTCAATCAGAAGGTATATATATGTTTATATGTGTGTGTTTTCCCTGGTCTGTTACACAAGTGAGAACAAAAATTCAAGTTTGTAACGTTTTTCTTATTGCTACCGTTACAGGTCTGATATGCCTTTTGAATATTTGTAAACAAATAAGCTCAGGCCTACGACTGTTGACACGCTGTCACCGAAGTCATTTTCACAGTTCAGTGTGTTTGATATCTATCAGAAAAAAATATTCATAGACGTTCCTAATGGAGACATTTAATTAAATACTTTTAATTTACTTACTTGCATGAAAAATAGAGCAAAACGAGACTGAATAGCGAACCATTTTAGTTTAGCCTCTTCGTCCGCCATCTTGCCGATGCGGCCATAACTTTTTAACAACGTTTCTTTTGATTGGTTGTTTTTCATGAACTTCTGTGAAACCAACCACCATTGGCTTATTTTATTGATCAAGCGCATCGGAAGCCTGTAGTGGGCTTCAAAACACGTCAAAAAGGTAATGCAGAGGGGAAAATATCATGACTTTTTATGATAAACGTTTTCGTGCTTGTATTCAACGGCTATTGTCAGTATCCACTTGAATAGAACGTGCATAGAATGTATGTAAAGTGAAAGCATTGAAAAAATCCACAGGAGAGAAAGAACAATGAACTGCTGATCACAGGGACATGTTTCTTGCAGTACTGAAATATTAATCTTATGCTCAACGTAACGTGCCCCTATGTGTGCAATCATACATGTCATTATACCAGTTATTATAAGGGAGACATCGTGTGTCAGAAATCAACAAGAATGAAAATGATAAAGAAAATGTCCTGCACAAAATAGGGATGCTGTGTGCAACACTGTTGATTAATTGCAGAGCACTAATTACTATATTAAGTGTGTGTTCAAAGTGGGACATCATGACAGATACATAGTATTTAATATAGTCACACTCAGTGTCTGAATGTATGTTTCTTGGCAGACTTTGCATCTTTCATCAATAAAGCACTAAGTAGTGATATTTTTAAAAAATCACTTCCAACCTGTATAAGATTCTTATTTAAGCGTTTGGCTTGAATTAATCTCTTGCAGGATTCCTCCTTGGGACTCATTTATATCCCTGAAGAAGACTTCCAAAAGGGAATAGGCTTGAATGTACATGCACTTTCCACTGTTCTTTCATAATGACACCCTGGGGTTTCCTGCAAAAAACATTAGTGTTCATGTATGGTTGACAAATGTTCAATTGATCATGATATGTATTTATCATTTTCTGTTTCAAAGTAACCAAAAGCACGCATTAATATTTTCCTCAACATGAATGTACTTTCTATCAGGATAGGGAAAAGATACAATTGTTCATGTCTAGAATGAGAGACATTTTATGCATTGACATTAACTGTTGGACATAGCATACGAGACAAGGTAATATGATTATTCATTCTAGATTTGAACCTCTGAATTCTAATAAGGATTCATTATAGCAATTCAGTCAACAACCCATCTCACTTATCAGTTACATTCTTAACACAACGGGTCAGTTAAAAAAAAAAAGAAAAAATTGTATCATTACAGCTACCACATAGTAAGATATCTAAAAAGTCAACATTGCACTTAGCATACAGATACAGCAGCAGTGGTAAAAAGGTGTATTTTTTCAATATGCTATTTCTTGTTATTTCAGATCCATGATGTAAACAGAAAATGAAAGGAAAAGGCAAGGGCATAATAGACAAAGATTGCCCTCTACAGTTCCCTGATCTACAGCCAGTAGACCATGCTACAGAATGTCCCAAATATACCGCTGGTAAAACATACAGACCATGTCATATTATAGTCTGAGTTATTGGGGTCCACGCTAATAATTTCAGACCATCTGTCCGATACTTGTTAACAGTATTATTACAAAAGAGATTATATATTGCATGTTTTATCCTTCAATAAGCCTGGAGGGTGAAACATATCCTGATTATTTAGCAGAAATTTTTTTGATTCAGATATTTGAGTCCAGTACTCATGCTTTTTCTGTGGGAGTCTATAAAATTTTGAGAATCTGCTAAATGTCTTAGTATTGGGGAAATGGTGTTCTGGACTCGCCTGAAAAAATCCTACCAATATTAATGATATAGGATGATAGTCTTACTGCTGGAGAGTTATAACCTTGGTAAATATAAACTACAATATTCTAATTAGCTACAGAGACTTTCTCTTAAGCTTAATCAGTCGAGCATAAGACTAATAAATTGGAGGTCCCAGGTTTGAATCTTAATGGAGGCATTAAAATGAATAATGACCTCTGTTAGGCAGTGATAAAAAACACTTACAGATATTTGTACTGAAATTTAAGTTGATGTGGATGAAATCTTACCAACTATGGTCTTATTTTTTAATTTTTAATTTTCATTGAACAAGAAAGACAAGAAGATTTTGTTCCGTTTACTGCAACTAATGATCATACATGACATACACACACCATTGGAAGAGCAAGATCTCAGAACATTCAGCTTATTGCCTCATGGCTGAATTTCTGAGTTGTAACGTGATGTTTTCGGACTGAAAAGCATAAAATAATATTTTTTTCAATTATTTCATTGTCTTGATGCTGTCATGCATAATGTAGCTCAATGTTTATCAACACTTAAAGAAGTCATATTCTCTTTTATAGTTCTGACACGGTCTGAAGATGAGGGGATTGGTCTCGAGGAACTGGAGGTCATACAGAGTGACCTAGAAACTCTGCTGGCATCTGCGGGACTGAGACTTAAACAACTGGAACATGAAAAGCAGATCCTGGTAAACTGCCAAGATAAAAAGGACAGTAAAGGGCTCACCCCATGGAAGGTGGTATGTTGTGTAGTGAGCTCACTAGTATAGAGAAATTAGGTATTTAGTGAGCTCACTCCACAGAAGGTGATAAATCATGTAGTGAACTCCTGCAGAAGGTGATTTGGTATGTTGTGCAGTGAGCTCACTAATAGAGGAAATGAAGCTTTTAGTGAGCTCACCCCACAGAAAATGATTTAGTATGTTGTGCAATGAGCTCACTAATATAGAGAAATTAAGCTTTTAGTGAGCTTACTCCACAGAAGATGATCGATTATGTAGTAAAATCCTTCCACTGGAAGTGATGCATTGTGTAGTGAGCTCATTTTTCGCAGAAAGTTAGGCATGAGTGAGCTCACTACATGAAAGAAAGACTTTGCTTGAGTTCACTCCATAAAAATTAATGTGTTGTGTAAATTTTGTGATTTCACAATAGGTGGTGTGTTATGAAAGTTTTGTATTGATCTTGATTTACAAAAGGCGGTATGTTCCACGCTGTTGTTTGTTATTTTGTGAGCTTATCACTACACATAAATTCTGTTGTAATTTTACACCACAGGGAGTAAATTTGAACCTTCTACAGGAGAAACAGTAAAATGTGTAGTGTAGTTATCTCAATGAACAAACATCAAAGTAACGTGGTATTTTTAGCTCTTTCCAGAGAAAATTGTTGTGTTTTGGACTTTTTCTCAAATCACTACAAATAATACTTAATAATTTGTCAATAGATATGATATTGTAAAATCATTCATTTTTAGTTGGCAATTTATTTTTGTTAATTCATTGGTCCTCTTCCTGCATGAACTTCTATGCCCACGAAAATAATGATGAATAAAGTTGGCATGGATTATAGAACTAGTGTATGGTTATTTATGAAATCAAATGCTAAGAAACATGCATATATTTGGAAAACTGCAAAATTCGAGTCCTCAAAAATGTATGCTTTTACAGTATATACTTTTGATGAAATTGCTTCAAGGCATTTGCAACATGAATGGTTGAATTTAGGATCATTTTTCTGAAAGGACCAGAGGAAAATATGCATCTCCTGAGAATTTTTTATGTGAATATGAAAAATTTGCTTTTTTTAGCAACCAGAAACACCTACTCCCGGGAAAAGGGGAAAAGTTGTTGAGGAAAAGCCTAGCAAGAAGTTCAAGAGTGCAACAGAGACCTCTGGGAAGGGAGCTATTCACCAGACACCTACTGGACCAGGGCGACCAAAGTCTAAAATCAATCAGGTATGTTAGATTAGATAGAAAAGAAATCGTCCTTAATCAGAACATTTTTATCAGAATAACTGGGTTTGTTACTACTTTAAATCAGATTAGTATTTATAATAAAAAAAAATGGTTGTTTGTTCAAACTACTCAAAAACTATTTGGTGTAGGCAAGAAAACTATTTTGATTTTCTTACCAAATGTGTTGTATATTTGATGCTGAAATGTTAAGAAATCTAAAAGTTCAGGTTTGGTCTTAAGCAGAATTTATAAACTATTTTGTATTGCAAATTCTGCTGCGGAACAGTTCTCTGGTACATGAAGTTACCATTGTTTTTGTGAAAGGCCACCTTTCATGAAATTACCAAAATTTGATTACATGTGAAGATTAACATGCAAATCAGTTCCCACATACAAACAGACTTTGGGACAATTCTTAATATAGAAATTGTGTTACGACTTTCATGCCATTTTGTTCTTGTCAATCTTAATTCATCCAATCCAGACAAAAGGAGAATTGGATGGCTCAGCAGATTCTCCTATCGACTTGCCAAAATTACCGAAGAATGATGCGGTGAACCGTTTCTGGGTGTCGGTGGAGCCCTACTGTGCCGACATCACTGCAGAAGATATCAAAGTTCTTGAAGACCTCCTCATCAGTCATGAAGATGATGCTGATTATTTTAAAGTGCCTGCCCTCGGTAAACACTTCACTGATAGATGGGCAGAGGAAGACCTCTTAGAGGAACAGAGAGATGGTAAGTGTATGGTTCATTTTATAGAAGCTGTTTATAAATGCACGGATGTCTTTTTCCCCAAAAGAAAGAACTGGAAAATTTCTGTATCTTTTTTGTGATTTGAACAGTACTTGAACATGCAATGAAGTTCTAAGTTCTTGGAATCAATTATGTGGAAAAGTATTGCTGAAATCGATTAAAAGAATAGGAGAATAGATTTAGATCTTTTTCAGAGGACAAAGACAATACACTCGAAGTAGTCTTACAAACAGTACAGCAGACTTCTTATATACAGCTGCACCTCAGTAATCAAGCCACCTTTGTTTCCAGCAGGAGGCTGTGTTACTCTTGACAGTTTACACTCAGTTCTTTACGATACTGCCTTTATGGAATACAACCAGATTTTGCTTGACTATTGACAAGATTAAAATAATACTTAAAACTTTGATTCAAAGTATTTGTTATGCTAATTGTTTGTTGTTATCTTATATTGCAATGGATACGAATGGGTTGGTAACCATTCAAAAATTTATTTTTGGACAAGACAAGTATTTTTATCTCATGGTTAGTTCACTATCATGTTTAAGGACAAAAATAAAATGTAGACGAGAAATTCCTCATTAAGATAAATTAAATAATTGAAACAGAATTGATATTTCATTCTTCTCTAGCATAGATTATCAGTCAAAGCTGAATGTTTTCTGAAATTATGGGATTGAAATTTGGTTAATGCTCTCCATTAATGTCACAATTTTTTTTTTTTTTTTCTAATTTTCATTTTTAAATTTTGATGAATGGTAAGAGTATATTACAGATCAATTTGATTTCTTTGAAATATTGTTGCAGGGGCCAAGATAAACGACCGGCGACGTGGTACGAATAACAACCACAGTGGCTGTTCGGATGTCACAACATTGTTGAAGAAAGCAGAGCAGAGTAATGTGGACGAATCTCCGTTTGGGCCCCTTACCCAGCGGCTGGTGTCTGCTCTCATTGAGGAAAACATCATGACACCTATGGATGATGCCATGGCAGAACTAGGTGGAGGTAACTCTAATTCTGCCTTATTATATCCCAAGGCACTTAGACTTAGGTAAAGGTACATCTGTCTGCCAGTGCTTCTGTGATAAATTTGTGTACAAGGTATCTCCAAAACTCAGAACACCATACATTGACTATAGCACCATTCTACCAAGGTCTACATTCAGTTTAGATTTTTGTGGTCATTGGTGAAGGTTAAATGGTAAGGTTCACCTTTGAAATAATAAGCTTGTATACCAGATACCTCATATGAACCTCCTAACATATTTTTGTGATGTTACTCCTTAGCATCACACTTAGGTAGAAATCAGTCTTGGTCAAAGGTCACTGTTGACGGCTTTTGAAATAAAAGCTTGTGTACAAGATATTTCATGACCCTCTTAATAGATTTACTGCACAATATATTTGGATCGCACGAAAATGAGGAGGGGGAGAGAGGTATATTGATGTGAACCTCAAATCGCTTTATTTATATAAATATGCCCATGTCATAAAATTCAGGTATGCTTGCAACATAGTCTACTCATATTACAAGAAAATTCAGCTATTAAGATAAAAAGAGCTGCAAAAAAAAGGTAGGTGGTATGTTCAGTGACACAAAGTTAATCAACAAAACCACTGCAATGATTGATAACAACAAAAAATTCCATTAAATTTAGGAAGATTTTGAATACTTTAAAATCATTTAAATTCAGTTTTTATTTTTTGATTTTAGAATCTGCTGATGAAGCTCCAGCCATATCTCCAAGAGCTTTAGCCAAACAGTTAAATATTGGTAATCCTATACACCTGGAAAAACGCATTAAACGGGAGTTGGAAGAACAAGGTAAGAAATTTGCTATCAGTAATAATTCTTTAGGCCAAGGTAAACACAAGTGCTTCTTCTCTACTTTGAGCCATGAATGAATTTTGTAAGAGGTGATAAATGATGGTTTTACCAACAATACACCTGTTGAATCTGCCAGATTTGACAAGGTTGAAAGAGTCATTGTGAGTAACATGTTCTCTTATAAGAAGTTTTTACCTCTGTGATTGGTCTATAGGTAAAAGGAAGCTTTAAATGTTCATCTCTACATTGTAGAGCATAACCTTCCTGCTGATAACATTACAAGTTGGATTATAAACGGCAAGAGATGCACACAGTATTGAACAATTATAAGTCATCTTAGCAAAGTAATTTTATGAAATAATCCCTAGGTTGTCTACATTCTGAAATTATATATTATTATCAAGTCTTCAGTAGAAGTGTAAGATTTGATACACTAGCTGTATAACATTCATTCTTTGGATCGAGCTGTACATATGCACCTACCATCCTCCAAAATCCAAGCTACCTTCACAACTTTTCTTGGTACATATTCTCAATCACTGAACATAGCAATAGGTCAGTATCATTTTTGGTATAATTCAGCTCCTGCCCCGTTTCACAGGGGGAGCTGTAACATATATACATAGGGATTGTTTCTCAGCCCAGCTGCTTCATGGAGCCCCAAAAACGTGTAACACAACATGAACTAGAACTGACCTTCGGTGCAGTTCAGTTCCACCATGGGCTTCACTAGAATTACACCATTTGTCACAAGCGCTTTCTCACTGTTCATACAACCCAATATTATTAAGACAGTCCATGTTACTTGCTATATATACTGCATGTATGTGTTTGGCTGGCCTACACCTTTTTATTACCACTTCAAAGTTCTAGGTTTGGTTATATGCAGTGGATGTGAGCACTCTTAAATTTCCCAAAGATGATAGGTACATAAAGCTTGGAATTTTAAAACTGTTCTTTGTTGTTGTTTCTGACACAAAATATTGATATTCAAAATGTTGAGGCATATTGCTGAAGATTCATAATGTCAGTTAATATTTTCTAATATTCATGTTGTCATTACATACGGGTGAATATTTATAATGTAAGTAGATATTGCCACATGAATATTTATAATGTTTGTAAATATTAGTGCATATTATTTGCATTAGGTTTATTTGATGAATATTCTGATGTACAGGAATATTGGACATGGAGGATAAGGTGGAAGACAATCCTGATGACGAGATACTAACAGAATTACGCCAGAAACAACAGGAACTCAAGGCAATCAGTCAACACAACATCGTAGTCACAAAAAATATTCTGGAGCGTGCCAAGGAGGAGATGAAGAAGCAGGAGATTAGGAAGAAACTGGCTGCAGCTGATGCTGAGGTAAAGTGATTACACTCCATATTTACATATCAATGAATCTCACAATTATCTTCATCAGTCCCAAACAAGATGAAGGCAATTTGTTTTGTATCACAGTTTCTCACCTATGATTTTCATGTGGTAAAAAGGATATTCGGAGACAAGTTGTGGTCTATCCCTCATAGAATTTTTGAAAATTTATATTTTTGACAAGTGTAACCTATATTTTGACTTTTGAACTTCACGAAGCAAAAGCAGCTTTTAAGGCCTATCTGCTGTTCTGTGGTATGTGATATGTAAGATTGTAAGTACAGCTTAGGAAGACAGTGAATTTCATCCCAGAGGAAGGTCACTGTGACCTATATTTCAATTTTATTGTTTCTATTTTATGTAAGATCTTCAAGATTTGTCTATTGAAACCAAGTCCCTGCAACTTTTATTTTTGACCTTTGAAATATCCTATTTTTAACCTTTAACCTTCAGCAGACACTCAAAACAATTATTACAGAAGAGAAATAAAGTAGGATGGCTAACATTCAGACCTGCAGAGAGGGTAGAAAATATCAGTTGATAATTAAGGAAGACCAACAATTATTCTCATATTATGAAAACTTGATATGGATTGCTTGTGATTTAATGTGCAAGAGTCTTGGCTTTTGAGCAGATTTGTTTTGTGAAAATGAGAAGTCAATTGGCCCCCTTATCCTGAAACAATTTTAAGGCATGAAAAGAGAGGTCACATGTGATTGGTTAAGCAAAAACTCAAGTTTTAAGGTTGTTTTATGATCCTTGAGCCAGGTCTTCATTGATGCTAGTGATGTATGATGATGGTTATATATCCCCAAACAAGAAGGTCAGAGGTCATTAAAGAATGGGCGGAAAGTAGAGAAGAGATACACTGCAATTTATAAAGTTATTTATCTTTTATTTTTGTGTTATAATTAGTGGCTTTTTCTTATCCAACCATCTTGGAAATATAGCAAATTAGTACTGTGAAAAAGTCACTTAGGCCTAGACTGTAAAATTATATGATTTTGTGTGGCTTACTATTCATGAGTAAAGAAAAGGAAATCACAATTTTACAGACACTTGATTTTGAGGATAATATAGCTCAACAAATCTACTTGAACTAATTTGAACAATTCATAGACATAAAGAAATGAATGAAAACATCCCCCATGATTTCACAATATCACCTAATTATTGGTTTGATGTTAATGATATTTGTATTCTTCAGGTATTGGATGCCTACAGGAAAATTCAGGCAGCTCGCCAGAAGAAGAAAACACCAACAAAGAAGGAAAAAGATGCTGCATGGAAAGCACTCAAAGAAAGAGACTCTTTGGTGAAAGTTTTAGCTTCAAAAAATAAATGATTTAGCAAATCATTTGTAAATTTGAGATCAGTATATATTATTGGACACCTACAGGATAATTCAGGCAGGCCACCAGGAATAGAATTTGGGAACAGAAAATAAAACAAATGCTGCCTGATATGCACTAAAAATTCTACACTTTAGTGAAATGTGAACATTTTGGGGTTCAACAAATTGTTTATAGATACAAGTATTTTCACTCATGTGATTTAGATTCCTGTTCAATCAGGTGTTTGTTTGTAGCTGAGTACAGGTGACAAAATGGAAGGAGAAAAAATTGTCAAAAGTTGTCATATACTTTTTTCATTTCCAGTTTGCTTGATTTTCATCATACAATTTGTACTGTTTCATTCATTCATTCATTCATTCTTTCATTCATTCATTCATTCATTTGTTCATTCATTCATTCATTCATTCATTCATTCATTCAAGTTAAATTTCATTGAGGTTTTAGAAATCATTTAATCACTCAACAATTGTTGATATTTATTTTCATTACAATATCTTCTTATGGCAAGTAAATACATTGATAATCTTGAAAAACTTTCCTCCCAACAGAAAAACTTTAACAAAAATCAGTTATTAGATGTTGCTGTTTGGGATTAATATTAGCCTTGCTGCAACAAAGGAGCAAAAATGTGTTTTCATTTCAACACTCTTGCTTTTATGCGAGTAAAGGATACATTCACCTGCATCCTGTTTTTGAATTTTGATGATAAAATCTTTCCTATGTTTTGTTGTATGTTGTACACATTTTGACGTTGATCACAGCATATTTCAACAGAGGCAGCAGCACTTTTCAGCATTTGCTTTTTCAGTGTTCGATGTGTGGTCGTTGCTTTCTTTCATTGCCTGTCTATGGGAAATGTTATAGATATTCTTTTTTTAAATCAATTGTGTAAACATAATGATCAGCAAAAATAACCAATAATGTTAGGTTATAATTAAATTCCTATTTTATTGGTTTAAAGATTTACTGGAAAATTAAGTGTCTCAATAAAAGATTTGAATTATTAAATGAAGTATTTCCTGTAAAATGTCAATATTCTGTCTTGGTTATGCAAAGTTATCTGCTTTTCTAGGGGAGGTGTTGACTGTTGATTTATGTGTTGTCTTGGGAATAATGTCATGAAAATCTGAGAGAAAATGATGCAGTTATCTCACACAAACTAATGAAGTAATAATCAATACCTTCTAATAAGAGCAGATAACTCTGCATTACAAAAGATAAAATGAATTTGTCAGAGTTTATACTTTGAAGATACGTGATTGATATTTGATGTTTTTCATTCTCCTTTTGTTAAGGCAGAGATGTGGTATTTCTCCCTGTGAATTTATCCGTTCTCATTAGCAAAGTACAGAAGACAATTTATACTTTCCTAAAGGAAAAATTTAGAATATTGTTCTTAGGTATCAAATGTCTTAATTAATCTGTCAGGATGTTATTAGAGAATGAGTATTTGAGATTTAACAGCAAATTACTGTAAAATCATTCCTTTTCGGTGGAGATATATTTCCATTATTTCCTGGGAATCCAAATCCATAAGTTTATAGGTCCATGAAATAATAACAAGATAAAGTTGACATTTATCAGAGTACTAGTGATTTATCCAGGAAATAAAATGCTAATGAAATGTGCCACGGAAATATATGATTTTACAATTACTTCCCATTTTTCATAGTATATTGTACATGTACATGTATGTTCTTGTTGGATGAAATGTTCTTGTATCAGATATGTGTCATTACTTTGTCATCTTCAGATATTGTGGTCACTGGAAATAAAGATGTTAAATGTAACATTCAACTCTTGTAATTTTTGCTACATAACATTTTTAGCACATAGGCAGGGCAGCCAGGGAGGCTGTTTTGTAACATGATTGCATAATTATGGTTTTCCTTTGCAACAACTATTTAAAACTTCTTCTCAAGTTCCACTAGTGTTATTAGCTCAAACTTGCATGAAATGATCCTGAGTTGGTCCGGACCAAGTGTTATCTTTCTGGGTATGGTTGAAATCTAAGATCTTGAAAAACTTATTATAAACTTCTCCAGTTCCACTTGTGCCATTGAGCTAAATATGGCTAACAGGTGGTCATCTTGGATTTTGACTTTGAAAGTTTTTTATTGCTATTTCTTGAGAACTATTGGATTGAACTTTCTAAGATTTCTAATGTAGATTCCTCTTAGTACCTTGTGCCCATTTGATTTTGGGTCTGATCTAAAAACAAAATGACCAAATGGTGGCCATCTTGGATTTTGACTTTAAAAAATTATTGCTATATTTTCCTATTGCTATTTCTTGAGAACAACTGTATAGATCTTTCTCAAATTTCATATATAGGTTCCTTCTGGTCTCTTGTTGTGCCCATCTAATTTTGGTACTGTTCAAAAATTCAAAAAGGCCAACAGGTGGCCATTTTGGATTTTGACTTTGCATGTTTGTTATCGCTATTTCTTGAGAAATACTGGATAATTCTTTCATAAATTTCATATGTAGGTTCCCTTTCGTCATTTATTGTGCCCATTCGATTTTGGGTCTGATGAAAAAATAAAAGGCCAACAGGTGCCCATTTTGGATTTTGACTTTGCATGATTGTTATCGCTATTTCTTGAGAAGTACTGGATGGATCTTTCTTAAATTTCATATGTAGGTTCCCTTTAGTCCCTTATTGTGCCCATTCGATTTTGGGTCTGATCATAAACCAAGATGACCAAAAGGTGGCCATCTTGGATTTTGACTTTGAAAGATTGTTATTGCTGTTTCCTGAGAACTACAGCATGGATCTTTCTCAAATTTCATGGGTATGCTTTCTTTGGTCTCTAGTTGTACCTGTTTGATTTTGGTACTTATCAGTCAAAACAAAATGGCCAACAGGTGGCCATTTTGGATTTTGACTTTGCATGTTTGTTATCGCTATTTCTTGAGAAGTACTGGGTACATCTTTCCCAAATTTCATATGTAGGTTCTCCTTGGTCCTAAGTTGTACCCATTTGATTTTGGGTCTGATCAAAAACCAAGATGACCAAAAGGTGGCCATCTTACATTTTGACTTTGAAAGATTGTTATTACTGTTTTTGAGAACTACAGCATAGATCTTTCTCAGATTTCATATATATACTAAAAGGATAAAGAAACGCAAAGTGAACTTTAAACCAGAAATTAAGTATGATATCGGGCTTCATTTAAAACGAAATTTTGTATACTTACAGATAAATTAAAGCTTAAAAATTTCCAAAGTCTGTATTTTGCATCTGACAATTGGTTTAGAGGTACTAACGATTAAACTGAATGGACCCATAGGATTTTGAAATTGAAATTGAACTGATTCATCATTATCTTGTGTGTCCGCCGTTTGCTGTGTTCACGGCCCTTATTCTTCTGGTCATAGAGTTCATGAGAGCGTTAATCCGTCTTATGGGGATGTTGTCCCACTCTTCAATTAGAGCTCTGGTCAACTGCTCTCGAGTAGCAGGGGGTGGCTGGCGCTTTCGAACCTGTCTATCCAACTGGTCCCAAAGATGCTCGATCGGGGACAAATCAGGGCTACATGGCGGCCAATCTAGTGGTTGAATGTTGTTGTTGGCCAGAAAGACTTGGCAAATTCTTGCTACGTGGGGCCTAGCATTATCCTGCTGGAGGGTTAGATTATGCTGCTGTAAGAAAGGGATAACATGGGGTCGGAGGATCTCATCTCTATACTTAGCTGCTTTTAAATTGCCATCAATAACAACCAATTGTGATTTTAACCCGTGTGAGATTCCTCCCCACACCATTATTGAACCGCCCCCAAACCTATCCCTCTCTACAACGCAAGCGTCCGTAAAACGTCCGCCACGACGTCGGTAGACACGTTGACGGCCGTCAGATCGAATCGAGACTCGTCCGTGAAGAAAACTTGTCTCCACTGCCTCAGTGGAAACCGTCGTGGAGCATGTGCAGCGACCCAGGCCATACGACGCACACGTCGAGCAGGGGTAAGGTGTTGACCTACGTCGGGGCGACGTGCTCTTACACCAACTTCTCGTAATCGTTTCCTTACAGTTTTTGAACTTATAGGACGCCCATGATTTCCACGAACATTAAGTGCACTCTCAACGGCAGTAAGGCGCCGATTACGCACATGAGAGACGACGATAAAGCGATCCTGACGTCGTGACGTTACGCGCGGACGTCCTGACCTAGATCGATCGGCCAATCGCCCAGTTTCCCGAAGACGTCTTACAAGACGTTCTATGGTGGAAACATTAACACCAAGGTGCCTAGCAACCTGATTTTGCAGCTGTCCTTGCATTAGCATCTGAATGGCCTGACCCCTCTGAACTTCTGTGAGTCGTGCCATTCTTAAAACGAATCAAATTCTCAATTAATTTTAGGGAAGCAGTTGGTCTGTATAAAGACTAACGAAGAATGACTTGACCAACGCTGCATGAGACCAGAACAACACGGTGAACGAGATTCTTGTTTTTTCCTTCCTCCATTTACCAGAGCTGCGCACTGTACCGTGACTAAATTTTCGATACATGACAAGGTGTAATATGACCTAATTACTCAATCCACAAAGTTTAACTTATTTGGAGAACGCGTTTTCAAAATATCGGAATAAATTTAACCCTGCGTTTCTTTATCCTTTCAGTATAGGTCCCTTTGGTCTCTTGTGCCCATTTAATTTTGGGACTTCAAAAATACAATAAGGCCAACTGGTGGCCATCTTACATTTTGACTTTGAAAGATTGTTATTGCTGTTTCTTGAGAAATACAGCATAGATCTTTCTCAAATTTCATAGGTATGCTTTCTTTGGTCCCTAGTTGTACCTGTTTGATTTTGGTACTGATCAAGCAAAACACAATGGCTAACAAGTTGCCATCTTGGATTTTGAATTTGTAAGTTTGTTATTACTATTTTTTGAGACCTTCTGTATAAATCTTTCTCAAATTTCATATATAGGTTCCTTTTGGTCTCTAGTTGCGCCCATCTAATTTTGGGCCAACAGGTGCCCATTTTGGATTTTGACTTTGTATGTTTGTTATCGCTATTTCTTGAGAAGTACTGGATGGATCTTTCTTAAATTTCAGATGTAGGTTCCCGTTCTTCCCTTATTGTGCCCATTCGGATTGGGGTCTGATCAAAAACACAAAATGACCAAAAGGTGGCCATATTGGATTTTGACTTAAAAAAAAAATGTTATTGCTATATTTTGCTATCGCTATTTCTTGAGAACTATTGTATAGATCTTTCTCAGATTTCATATATAGGTTCCTTTTGGTATCTTGTTGTGCCCATTTAATTTTGGAGCTGTTCAGTAATAAAAAAAAGGCCAACAGGTGGCCATTTTGGATTTTTACTTTGCATGTTTGTTATCGCTATTTCTTGAGAACTGCAGTATAGATCTTTCTTTAATTTCATATGTAGGTTCCCTTTAGTCCCTAGTTGTGCCCATTCGAATTTGGGTCTGATCAAAAATAAAATGACCAAAAGGTGGCCATATTGGATTTTGACTTTGAAAGATTGTTATTGCTGTTTCTTGAAAACTACAGCATAGATCTCTCTCAAATTTCATGGGTATGCTTTCTTTGATCATTAGTTGTGCCTGTTTGATTTTGGTACCGATCAGGCAAAACAAAATTGGCTCACGTGTCCATCTTGGATTTTGACTTTGAAAGATTGTTATTGCTATATCTTGAGAACTACAGCATAGATCTTTCTAAAATTTCATATGCAGGTTCCCTTTAGTCGCTAGTTGTGCCCATTCGATTTTGGGGCTAATAAAAAAATGGCCGAAAGGTGGCCATCTTGGATTTTAACTGTAAAAAATTGTAATTGTTATATTTTGCGAAGTACTGAATGGATATCTCTCAAATTTTCATATATACTAAACAAGAAAAGAAAGGTAACACTACTTTATTCTGTGATTAATTAATTAACCCCTTCATAAATCCTTACCAATCCTGTACGAATAAAGTAATTGATCAATTCTGATAAAACTGCAGTCATGGTTCATTATAAAACTTTGCATTCAGTTGATTTTATTCGACTGTAAAGGACGTTGGGGTCAATTTCAAAGGTAACACCATTAGTAACGGGTATGGCCACCGTTTGCGAAGTAAACAGCATTGCAGCGTCGTCGCCTGGAACTCGTAAACCGGCGCCTGCAAGTTTGACGGCTGATTTTGACGTTCTCTCACGCGTCGCCCAAGAACGTCCCAGACATGCTCAATCGGTGACAAATCATGTGATTTAGATGGCCAATCTAACACCTGTATGTTATTCTGCTGCAAGAAAGTTCTGCTGACGCGACTGGTGTGCGCTGGTGCGTTATCCTGTTGAAAAATGGCGCCAACGCCATGGCGTCTTAAGAATGGCAGAACCACTGGTCTTAAAATTTCGTCCCGATATCGAATGCCAGTTAAATTGCCACAACAAAACACAACAAGCCTGGTACGAGTCCCCCCACAAATACCACCCCAAACCATTACACTTCCGCCGCCAAAGCGGTCCCGTTCTGCGACGCAGCAGTTCGCAAAACGCTCCCCTCGTCGCCTCCACACTCTGCGCCTTCCGTCACCGTGTTGCAGACAAAAACCTGGACTCATCTGAAAACAGAACATTGTTCCATTGTCGTAAGGCCCAACGACGGTGAACACGGGTCCAGTTACGCCGATTATTACGGTGACGTCGCAACAAATTGGGTCCAGTGTAGGGACGAAGCGCTTTCAATTGGTAGGCCCTCAACCTGTTGTTGACTGTTTGGGGAGACACACGACGCTCAAACAATGTCCTTGTAGTCTCTACTGCGGTTACGAATCGATTGCGCAAGTGTATCAATCGTATACGACGGTCATCCCTGGCGGTCGTTTTACGGGGTCGGCCGCTTCGGGGACGATCGGATGTTGACCCAGTTTGGTTTAAACGACTTACCAACTGACAAATTGTCTAACACTGCAACCAAAATGCCGTGCAACTCGACGGCGAGACTCCCCAGCCTGGATCATGCCTACAGCCCTTTCTCTCTGTACTTGTGACAGCCGGGGCATAATGATAAATTTCATAGATAGCAAGATTCGGTGATTTCTAAGTCCTAAGGATCTAAGGAACAGTTGTCAGTTTGAATGTTTATGAAATTAAAGCGAAGATACAATTTAGTCGCAGAAAACCTCGTGCAGCTCTTTCGCTAATACAGACTTTCACGCTTGAATGATTTTGGTAACCCCCTTGGATTTTGTAATGTAAAACATTACCATTTTCTAATATTGCACAAACGTCATTTTGTTTTCACTCATTTACAGGTATTCGCCAAGGAAACATGTTAACCTTTCTTTTTTTTGTTGAGTATATATATTCCCTTCGGTCTCTTCTTGTGCTCATTTGATTTTGGGACTGACCAGAAGAAACAAAATGGCTTCCAGGCAGCCATTTTGGATTTGGCAGGTAAAGACTATCATTGCTATTTCTGGAAAGGTATGTTTCAAAGAGCATATAAAAATCAAGTGATAGTGAGTGCCAGGATCCCTCTGAATTTTTTTTTCTGTCGCCGTGGACATTTTATTGGACTGGATTTGCCTGCAACCTATACCTACACATTATGAGTCTAAGTCTTCTTTTTCAAACACATTCAGATGTCTAGACTGTAAATGTGAAAGCTGTCCGTGTAACGAAATATGACTTAATATATAGGTTCTTTTTTAACTGTATTGATAGGTGTTTGACAAATGTTTTTTGTTTGTCTGATTCTGGATTTTTTTGTCCAATATTTCTTGGATCTAATGATCTCATCTGTACAATGGACCATAAAGAATACAATAATGATAATAATGTACAATGCATGTTTATTTGACCAAATTTATATCATCTATATTACAAACGTCAGTTCCAAGCTATAGTTCTGAGAATAAATCCTGTAAGTATTAATGATAAATAAGTTATAAAAAAGCTACATAACCATACAAATTTGAAATATTTCCATTCAATAAAAAGATCACGTGATAATGAATGCATCATTCTATAAGAAGCAACTTACTCTGCCATTTAATTTCTGTGAGTGTTTAAAGTGCCCTTCTGTTAAAAGTTCACAGAGTTCCACCAAACAAAATGTGTTTACAGTTTATTCAACATGTGGTATGATTGATGAAAAAACTTCCATAAACAGCTGTTCCATATCATCCATCAGAATTCAACGAAAATTGTATAAACAAGCACAACCCTGTTTTATCCTTCCTCTACCACTAACTACAAGAAACATGAACAAACGACACACCTGCACATCACTGCCCACTACAACAGTGTATCCTATGGTATGGTCAGTGGACCAATTCGTCGGTCAACCATAAACTTTTGATTTATTTTTATTTGATTTAACTCCCCTTACAGCTTGACATCAGCTTGATAAGAAGTTATGTCTTTCCCTGAATCAAAAATTGTTCTTGACACATTATGAACATGTTCATTACATGCATCCTAACATCGGACATGTTAGTAAACATGTAAGTTTAACAGAGGTTGTGGCCATGGATAGGCGAGTATTCAGAAATATTGCAATAGTTGTGAAACAAATTATGTCTATTTATAACAAACACTACTATTGGACAGACATGTGATAATGAGGTCTTGCTCTGGGAAAAGATGCAGGACCATGTTTGGACAGGTGACCCATAACCTTTTCATGCGAGACTGAAGATTACCTGTAATCACCAAGATGACGTTGTATTACCACTGCACTATGTGCATTTTTCCATCCAAAGCAGGTTGGAGATGTCAGTTCACGATCTCAAATGCTAAGAAACCAAGCTTCTAGCTATATAGGCATCCTTGATCCCCGGAATGGATGTGAAAAGCTAAGGGGTCACCTGCCGAACTATGTGAGTTTTCCGTGGATATTCTGATTTTCTCCCCACGATAAGACCACCTCGCGTGCTTCCATCCGGGTCAACAAGAGTGATAAATTCAAGTTGAAATAACTTGTTTCACAACTGACGTAAAATGAATAAAGTTTTTAGTTTTAGGAGAAACCAATCAGACTGACTTTTGTGATAGACCAAATAAAGTGAGACAGTAACAATGTGATATATTAATTAATTCAATCAAATCCGACACAACAGAATCATCTGGTCTACATGGACCGTAAGTGTCAACACTACATTATCTGCAAATAGCCTAATATTTGTTATCAGTCATTGAAATTGAAAGTAAAAGAAGATATATTCTGTGTAAGTTATTTTTCATGCAATCTTTCTAAAATAAAAACATGAATCCTGAAGATTTAGTTTACAGCAATTCAAAGGTAATGTATGTGTAACAAAGACATAAATGATGAAAAAAGATACGGAATGATTAAATTTAATATAATATTCTGTTAACATAGATATACATATACAAAAAATACAAAAAAATAATGCCAACTTTTATTCCCTTTGATTCAAATTGAGCAATTATACAAAATGACAGAAAGGAAGGCTTACTCTTCCCCTAAAAAATGGTTCAATAAATTCAAACAAAATTCAATACCAGAAAAGGTCCAATGTTCGCAAGAAAATAATATATACAAATGGCTGAAGTGAAAAATATATCGTAATATCTTTCTTAAATAATGACATTATGATTAATATATTATTAAAAACATTTTTGACTTGTAATGAATTACGAAATGATATTTAGATTCTGACGCAAATTGATCATTACCAGTATTTTTTTTTCTACTAGAAACATGTTTATTTTGCTTTATCTTTTTCTGAAGATTTTCCACATTTTGCCGTCATCACCTTTTTTGCTTTGATTGGTGATTACTGATGGATAATAACTCCTAAATTACCAGTAGGCAAAAGAGAGTCATGACTCTGGTGCACTGTACTTGTCCTTGTTGAGATCTATCTACCTATGAAATTTATGTTGATATCTCTAATAGTTTTTGTTTTATGCCCCAGAAAAAATATGACAAACCGAAAAACGGATGGACAAAAGGACAGACATATAAAACAACAACTGTATGCTCTCAATCTGTGAAGCATAATAAAAGCTGACATAAATTTATGAGATTTTGAGAGCAAGATTTATCCACAATGTCAAGATCCAACCAAATTGCATATCTATGAGATCACAGAATTTGGGACCTACAAAAATAAATAATTTTACAGTAAACCCGATGAATAACAAACCAGTTCTTGACAACACTGTGTCACAGTTTGTATAACATATCTGTTAATAGACCAAACAATTGATGGTCTTCATTATAGGCTGCAGTGATGACAAGACCATTTGTACATTAGTTTAAAATATCAGAGCTAATTAGATGATAGCCTTTCAATTGGACATCTATCACAATACCCCAGCTCCTCTTTATATCATTAGAACATTATTTATGTAATCAAGTTCGATTATCATGTGTCAGCTAGAAATTGTAAAGATAAGAATACTTAAGCCAATCAGAAGACTAGAAATTGTAAAAAAGAAGAATACTTAGCCAATCAGAAGATTAGAAATTGTAAAAAGAAGAATACTTCAACCAATCAGAAGACCAGAAATTGTAAAGATGAGAAGAATACTTCAGCCAATCAGAAGACCAGAAATTGTAAAGATAAGAAGAATACTTCAGCCAATCAGAAGACCAGAAATTGTAAAGATAAGAATACTTCAGCCAATTCGAGGACATCATTATAGTTAAACCCAAACTGACAACAATTATTATAGTTTGGTGTTGTTTTCGGAAGAATTAATGTCAATATGATGTCCTGGTTCAACATGTACCTCTTGTTTACTATCATGCTATGATATTCTTCTGCAAGGCGTTGAAAATGACATCACAAGAAAACAAATCTGTTAAGTCCTTTCTCATGTATGTCCTGAGTTTCTTGGCTATGTTACATAAATTCAATCACATATTCATTCATTCCAGAAAAATGATCACAAGAGATATGGCAAGAAAGTTCACTTAGTCCTGTATACCACAAAACAAAAATTGTATTTAGTGATAAATGAGAACATCTATTGTAATTAATTTATCTTGGTGCAATATTCAAAATTTATGATTTTTTTCCTTTTTTTTCATCTTTACAATCATATCTATGTTTAGCTTGTTTGTAAACCAGATAAAACGTTATCACATTTTAGTTTTATTTTTTGTATTTGAATTAGATTGTGAAATATTCATATTCAAAATGATATTTAAGACCTGATTGTAGGGCTGACTCAGCAGTATATTTTATCATGGAAAAGACTTTTTCTGTTGGCTGTGCTGAGTTAATGAACTGATCAAACTACATTATTATTTTCCTTTTTGTAAACAGAAAATGTAAAACAATTTTCCTTCTACTGACAATTCACATACTTTCAGATATACCTAACTTTATCAATGAGTACTCCATCTTTTGATCATTTATGACTAATACATAAAATCAACAAATCAACATGATTATATCAATGAGGTAAGGGAAGAGACATCTGTTATGTATAACTATAGCTAAAGGATCATTTAACACAACCAGTGAAGCAAAAACTTTTTATCATTACACATGTAATGTTAACAATTCATATTGAAGTGTAAATTTATATATTTCAATACTTAAGAACATACATCCCCTTGGCTATTTGATAAAAATATACATAATGTATATTTATTAATTAATCATTGTACATCAATATTAAATACAAACTTACACCAGAACATATAAATTCATTCTCTGACATTAACAATCAAAAATCAATAAATATATTTTTCAATACACAATAATCATAAACGTTTCTAGAGGGACATACTCATATAGGTATATACTTATACAGAATATAATATAATGTTTGCACCTTAAGATTATCTCAGACTACTGCTGTGCGTTCCGACACTCTTACTTGAAGGAGGACAATATCTTGTCCAATCCAATCATCTGAAAAAAAAAAATAATTGAAAATGAAATGTACAAAAAGTTATGTAATGTCTAGAGATCAACTCTACACCTGAAAATATCATTAAGTGTTAGTAAAAGTCATTACTGTATATAATTTACACCTGTTACAGAAACTTTACCACATCTGTATAAGAACCTGCTTTATAATCACAAAGGGGAGGTAACTTTTACATTCACATGTGCATGTACCTAACTAGAGTGAAATTATATACATGTATTGGTACACACTCTGTTATAGACATGATGAAATAATGCTACCCCTAATGTAAATTCCCTTCTAATACAGTTTGCAATGTCAGAAAATAAACAAAATAATGTTTACATGTATTTTAAATGCTTTGTTGACAATATAAAGATCATTCTAAAGAAATCAGATCAGTAGATTTTGACTCTAATTTATCAAAGTGAGGTTTCACTCAAACATCTTGCACACAAAAATGAAAAGAGAGATAACAATTATCACCTTATCTGCACGATGTAAGAATTATTATTAGTAAAAAGTAAATAAATCAAAGCTACGCATGGTTAGTATTCTATTCCACCATAATTCTATTAGAAGCATCATGTAAAGCTTAGTTTTCGAATGATTGAAAATTCATTTGGTAACTAGAAGGAGTCATAATGAATATTAAAATTCAGAATAACAAGATTCTACAATAGTCTACAAGACAATGCAGTGAATTAGTCTCCCACCGTCACACTGAGGTGACTCCATAGACTAGGTACAAAGTTCCTTGTAGCATAGGAGAAATAGTCCTGACAAACTTTTTTTGGATGTAGTCCGAAGGTCAAAATATAGGTCAGAGTGTCCTACATTTGATATATGATGCTGCCTCCCCCAGGTGAACCCATACCCCAAGTATGAAGTTTTAGTGATTTATAGTGAAGTAGATGAAAGTCGGAGTGACCTACTTTTGATATGTGACAAACTGCCTTATTAAGGTGGACAACTTCCCCAAGTATGAAGTTTTAGTGATTTGTAGTGAAGTAGATGAAAGTCGGAGTGACCTACTTTTGATATGTGACAAACTGCCTTATTAAGGTGGACAACTTTCCCAAGTATGAAGTTTTAGTGATTTGTAGTGAAGTAGATGAAGGTCGGAGTGACCTACTTTTGATGTGACAAGCTGCCTTATTAAGGTGGACAACTTCCCCAAGTATGAAGTTTTAGTGATTTGTAGTGAAGTAGATGAAGGTCGGAGTGACCTACTTTTGATGTGACAAGCTGCCTTATTAAGGTGGACAACTTCCCCAAGTATGAAGTTTTAGTGATTTGTAGTGAAGTAGATGAAGGTCGGAGTGACCTACTTTTGATGTGACAAGCTGCCTTATTAAGGTGAACATCTTCCCCAAGTATGAAGTTTTAGTGATTTGTAGTGAAGTAGATGAAGGTCGGAGTGACCTACTTTTGATGTGACAAGCTGCCTTATTAAGGTGGACAACTTCCCCAAGTATGAAGTTTTAGTGATTTGTAGTGAAGTAGATGAAGGTCGGAGTGACCTACTTTTGATGTGACAAGCTGCCTTATTAAGGTGGACAACTTCCCCAAGTATGAAGTTTTAGTGATTTGTAGTGAAGTAGATGAAGGTCGATGTGACCTACTTTTGATGTGACAAACTGCCCTATTAAGGTGAACATCTTCCCCAAGTATGAATTTCCAGTGACAAGTAGAAACTTTTTCTTTGATGTAGGTAAATGGTTTAAATAAAGGTTAGAGTGACCTACATTTGATACATGACAAACTGTCTGACCCAGGTGTTACAACACTTTCGGTAGGAGGTTCTTGTGACAGGTAGTGTAAGAGATAGTCCAAGACCAAAAAGGGGAAGGACAGACAGACACAATGCAAAATTATAGTCCCTCCTGATTCATGGAGAGGGACTTATATCTGACAATAAATTTCTCAGATGAATGTCATTCTCATATGATTTGTGAGGATACATGGCATATAGATCTCAGGAATAGGTTTTCAAAGTGAAAAGAGAGGGAGAAAGACAATATATTTTCATGTTTATATTTCTATCACCCTGTATCATCTCTATCCTCCCTTACTGCATCACTTTTGTATCAGCTTCTTGAATAACGTTTACAGAAAATATACCACAATGTTGCTCATAAAGAAACATATTAAAACATCAAAACTTCCGATTTTACAAACTTAACTATCAGGAAATTTTCAGGTAAAACCCAATACTTTTAGCATATATTACCTTTATAACCACTGCTATTATTGTTCCAAAGATGAAATAAGGCAAAAAGGATGACAATCCCACTTTTTTAAGTTTCTTGGTAGCCAACCAGGTTATAGTACTTAGCTTCTTGTCAGTGAAAGGAGGGTAGCGCAAACTGTATGGATAGAGAAAACACCTGTCAAAGCATGCATCAAGACAATACCAATATACAAAATCCCTAATGATTCAGACACAGCATAAATACTAGTGTGTGTTAGGCATAAACATATATCTATCTCACTTGAGAATAAGAAAGTCTCCCTAAAAAATACCATTTACATCCACAAAACTGAAAATATGACCAAAAAATCAAAAATTTGTCTTTGAAAATTTCGTAAGATTTATTAGAATTTATTTCAATGTATATTTACCTTGCTTGATTCTAAAAAGTATACATTGGTTTAACATATTAAATTATTTAATCACTAACACACACTACTTTATGATATGCATCAGTGTCTGTATCATCAGTGGACGAATAAGCGTAAAATAAATATTTACCATGTTCGTCAAGAGAAAAAGGAGAAGAATCCTTTCCTTGCCGACTTATTGCCGACTAACTGCACCATTGCTAATTTTTTATCAGAGTAAGGTGGGTAGCGTAATCTGTTAAATGAAAAAAATGTACTCCACAATTCTTGTGCATCCTTGTAAGTGCATAAAATGTATGTACATGCTGACTTCACAGAGAATAAATTCTTTTACCTTACAGCAAAGTTGGGGATAGGAATCACCATGTGAAAGAGCATTCTTTTCTTAAGAAAAGGGCAGATAAAATTTCCGTGGAATCTAATTTCTGATTTGTGTCTTTTAACCATAGCTTGTTTGTGAGGCTTACATCAGACAGCATAACAATTCATATACTTTTCTATGCTTTACAAACATGTCATTTTATGAAGATAAGAAAATTAATTTTCACTGTAAAGAACTTTATAAAACTAATTTATTCATTTGTTTAACATGGATATTACTTTTTCCATATCAATATTACTTTATTATTTGACAATTTTCATTCACAGAAACTTTGACTTGACTTTGGCACCTTGAGATACCAACTCTATTGATGGGCTGCTACATTTTATAATTCAGTTAAATAGGACTTCCTTTTCTCGTACTCATTACTTGAAGTGACAAGACCACAGGGAACATCTCTGATACGATGTATTAAGGTAAACAATGACCTTGGTATCCTGAAACAGGACCTTATCCAAGATACTGCCACAGAATAAGAGACAGTTTTAAAAAAAATCTGCTGTAAAAAAATAGTTTGACTCTGTCTGAAATATGTCAGTAGACTGACATCAAAGAATGGAGACAAATTAGTATACAAACTATATACATCTGTAGCCTGCCACCCTGGGGCACAAATATAACTGACATGGGATTGAAACAATAAATCTAATTCCCACTTCTGATGATTCTATGGAAACAATTAGTCTTATTTCCATGCATTTAAGAATATCATGGCCTGTCCCTGATATCTACTTCTGACGATTCTATGGAAACAATAAATTATTCCAATGCAACAGGAAGATTCCTTTAAAATAACAGCATATATTTATTGAATTTTTAACAAATATATTATAAAGAATATTTACCCATTTACTGTTTCCATTTTGAGCCCTTTCAGTAGAACAGACCTTCGATGTGAAAATGTTTCGAATGAAAACTTTCCATGATAATTTCCTGTGCCACTGTTTCCAACTCCTCCAAATGGTAGAGATGACACTGAGAAATAAAATAAAAGCATCTTCAGAATATCATTTTAATTCTAACTGAAAGAAAAAGTCAAGAAGATCTAGATTTTTAGCTAATGTTTTCTAATTTTTTCTCTTAAAATATTCCATGTATAAAACACTTTTTTGTTTCATGAGTGCAAAAAGGTCATATTTTTATAAACGTAACAACATTCTTTTGTGTTTTTGTGGTTTTGCATATTCATCTTTAGTCAAACATCATGATATAATAAACTACCTAAACATAAAATAATAAAAGGTATAGTTTGAAAAGTATGTCTGATTTTTTTCCAGCACTGATCCCCCTCAACTAATTTTCATTAACATAATAACTACAATATCAGGTTGCTATCAAAGAAGTATGAAATTTACAGAATGAAAAAAACATCATTCCACCTTTTAGCAAAATTCATCTAAAATGCAATAAAACCAGGTAGCTGATCTGAACCCACTTTAATTTAGAAAAAAAAAAACAGAGTTATCAACCCTTTTCATCCTTTGTTAAAATGATTCATAAAAATAAAATATCAAGTTCTCCCCCTTTTCATTACACAAGGCATACTTTAGGGTCACTTTAATCACTACAGAAAATAACTTTCTGACAAAGTGACTACATATTGTACGGCTTTGATTTTATCACTATATTTAACATTACTACTACTATCCAACAAAACGCCTAACAGCCTTGATGGTCACCCGAGATAAGCAATATCGATTAAAAAGGTTAAAGGGTAAGTAGCTCTCAAGTGTCATGAATAAAAAATTGTGACATTGATGATAGTAAGCCAATGTCAATACCTGCATACCATCATAACTGTCATCCTATACTAATAATTCTTACTAAGTAAATTCCAGTGAAAAATAAACAATGTTATGCTCTAAAATGCAATTTTTATAACAATTACAGTAGGGTTATCCTCCTCTATTGGAAGAAATGTGAAACCTATTCTGGTAATACAAGCACCTGAAGATGCTTCCATCCATGAAGAGCATTTATTCTACCAATCCTGGGTGTTCAGAAGAAGATTTTGGAACTTTAAATCAATTGTCCCCTTTTGGCCAACCTATCAGCCCCTTGGGGTCAGTCAGTCAAAATATGCATACCATCTAGCCGTCATCCCTTGCTCATAATTCTAACCAAGTTAGAAATATATCCAATGGAAATTTAACAAATTAAGCTCAAAAACCTATTTTACTTATATAAACTATAGTAAATGTTACCCGCTCCCTGTGGGGAAATGTGAGACCCTGGGGCCATGAAATTCACAATTTTGGAAAAAGCACTTTAAGATACTTTCATCAATGAAGAGCATTAGATTCTATCATATCTGGGTGTTGAGGACTTTTGAAATCTGAGTCAATTTGATCCCTTTTAGCCCCCTCCTTCAGGCCCCTGAGGTAAAATTGTCATCAAAACAATATTCATTTACATGTTGCACAATCCCCATCCCCAGCTTATTACAGGACAAATACAGTCCCAACCCCCACCTTAATAAAGAACAAATATGGCCCCTATCCCCACTTCATTACAAGACAAATATGACCCCATCCCAAGTTTATTACAAGACAAATACAGTCCCATTCCCAGCTTATTACAGGACAAATATGGCCCCACCCCCAGCTTATTACAGGACAAATATAGCCCCCACCTCCAGTTTATTGCATGACAAATATGGGCCCATCCCACTTTATTACAGGACAAATATGGCCCCCATCCCCAGTTTATTAAAGGACTGATATAGTCCTCACCCCTAGCTTATTACAGAGCAAAAATGGCCCCATCCCCAGCTTATTAACAGACAAATACAGTCACAACTCCCCAGCTTATTAAAGGACAAATATGGTCCCCACCCCTAGCTTATTACAGGACACAGATTAACAAAGGTATTGACAGATAATGAACTTAAATCTTACACCCTGCTTGCATGAGAACATCGTTAACACAGAGACTTCCACTGCTGGTGTTGTTGGCGAAGTTTTCCACAGTCTCTTTGTTGTTACTGAATACATACATAGCCAGTGGCTTCTCCCTGTAATGATTCATCAAGGTTTTGTTACAGGATGTTTCAATCCATGTTTTTTTGTCTGTGTCATTCAAAATAATTTTCATGCCATAATGCAAGTCATTGTAACATTACTTAGGGAACCTGTTTCATGGAATTAATCATATTACAATCTACAGGTATCTACAAGTATTTAACAACTCTGACACAGGATGGTGATATCCAAAACAAATCATTGTACAATGACATAAATCAGCTTGTAATGATGACATTGCTGATCATGACCTTAATGCCAATGTTACCTATTATTGATGTAATCTACAGCAGCATCAGCATCCTTCACCGGCATAATAGGGAGGACAGGTCCAAATATCTGGACAAAATCAATCAAAGTTGGATTTATATTTAGATACAATAGGATTCATAAATCATAGTTATGGATTTCTGTTAAAGTTTAAACGGAGTATCACAAAGCAATATTCAGATCAATTCAGATCTAGTCTTGATAGTTCTTTCAGTGAAGAATCTCTCGTCTTACGTTGTTTCAATGGTATTCCATGAGCATGTATGATCATCACTTCACATATTGTACTCTACTATGACTGATAAAAGCTTTGGAATCACAAAACATACATACTGGTCATTTCACATCTCTTAAGATTTTTTCCAAATGTCTTTCCACAAAAATATCAGTACTCATTAACTGCATAAAATATAAACTTTCCGAGTATTTGACACCGCAAATAGTTTCAGATAGACAAGGTTTGACAAGCTGCAAAATTATAGTTTCCTTTAGACAAGATATAGATCCAAACCTATGGTAAATAGTAGACAAGTTTCCCCTAGGATATAATAAATACCTCATCTTGCATGGTGATATCATCAGGGGTGACATCAGTCACAACCACTGGACCCATGAAGTTATCTTTCTCATCCATTGGTCCTCTAATTGCGATGTTTTTAGAGCCATCTACCAATTTCTTGAGGCGCCTGCAAAAACATACATGCTTAGTATGGTGTATTTGTAATAAGCATATAAATTAAAATGATAAGCCATCATTATTTATTTTGAGTATAAGTATAAGTTGACATAACTTGTTTCGCAATTGTTGTAAAATAAATAAAGTTTATATTTATTTATTTTGAAACAATAATGTCAACAACACCATCCTGTCCCAAGATATATAAATTGTCAACAAGGATTTTAGGATATTTTGTCGCTGTGGGGGAAATTATGGGATTTATTGTAAGATTCCTTAATAACTAGCCAGCTGTTGTGATGAGAACTTTTGTCTACAGAATGCCATCAACAGATTTGTAGATTTTTTCTCTATTATATTAATCTATCATTGAGACAGGTTACGAAACAACTTTAAAATGTTATCTTTATCTATAGCAACTTATATTTTCTAAGTTCTTAATTAAATCTTTTAAACGAACATCATGCTCACAGATAAGGAAGTAATTTTCCATTACACTGAGCTGATATGAATTTTCTTCTATTTCTCTCGTCCATGATCAGACGCAGAACTCGGGAATGATAACCCCAAGAATGGCATGTTCCTGCGTTTAATGCGCACCTCCTTTTTGACACAACAGTTTTAGCTTGAAAAAGTGTGCACTATACGCTGAAATTTACGGTAGATCCATCTGTGTCCATTACTTACTGAAAGTGGCGATCATTGACTATGCGACAATAGTCTGAAGACTTTTCGATACCTTCAGGATAGAACATAGCAATGGACTCCTTCAACTTTGACACCAACTCATCCTGAAAAAGTTGTCATATAAACTGTCATATCAATGCGTGAGGCAATCTCCAGATATCATGATTAGATGTATCTATATACAGATGAAATTGTCTGCAATAATCCAGTTTCTCTTATGAAATCAAACAAGACCCTACAATGCTATTGTAAACAAGTGGCCCACAGGCCTTAACTGTGATCGGACTATAAAAAAGGAGAAGAGTTATAATTTCTACTTTGAATGAAATCTTACTAAGAAGCTGTTTTCCATAATGTAGATGGTAGTTTTAGTGAGGAGTAGGTAACTGTAATAAGTGTTAACTATTATTTAACAGTAAAGTTGGAGCTCAATCCCATTGGTGAAACTTGAAAAGACGTTTTAAATAGGTGTAGCACAGAAAAACTGTGATTGTGCAATCATGTTACAAAATGGCCTCTTTAGCTGCTGTATCAAAGTTTAGACAAGGTCAAAAAAAACACCAACACTTTTTTATGATATGGTGACCATTATTGTTGACGTTTGATATACCGATAACAACGGTATAACAATGATCGGGTGACGCAGTGGTAACGCACTCGCCTTTCACCTAGCCGACCAGGGTTCAATTCCTGGAACGGACGTGAAAAGGTAAGGGGTCACCTGCCCGACCACGTGGGTTTTCCTCGGGTACTCCAGTTTCCTCCCACAATAAGACCCCTCGTGCGCTTACATCCGGGCCAACAAGAGTGATTAGTATAAGTTGACATAACTTGTTTCGCAATTATTGTAAATAAATAAAGTTTATATTATAACAAATAACAGAAGGCAGTTCTTACAAAGTTACATTGATCTAAGTTCATCAATGTTACACACAACGTAGAGAAATTTATCAAGAACGTCAGTGAAACATTAAAGTTTGCAAATGAATTATACACATTATTTGATTGATGGATTTAAAAAAAACGTAAAATAGCAAATATCAAAACTGATTGGCTTGGGTACCTTCACAGATTGTCTATGCACAGATATAGGGCCTGATGTTATATACTGTTTACTAAACAATCTCCCCATCAGTGTTTGTACTGTTAAATATTGACAGATAAAAAGGTGCGGCTCATAATCCAGAAGATTCAGTACATACCTGGATGTCTTTCTGACACATGACGTAATCTGGGGCAATGCAGATCTGCCCAGAGTTGCAAGTCTTGCCCCACAATATTCTGTTGGCAACAGTAGTAAGGTCACAGTTGCGGTCAACATACACTGGGCTGTAAACACACATGAAAATGGATAAACAAAGTGCACTAAAGTCATATATTCTGGAGAAATACAACAATGAGGATTTATGTTAAGGTAAATATGTACCAGGCACTAGACATGAATTCACACAACATTCTTTTGACGACAGATCTTTCCACTAGCAACACATATATTTCACTAAATATTAGGATGCTAAAGACTTAAGCATATTGTCAACACTATGTTTTAAATTTCTCCAGCTTTACCCAAAGATTGAGACACAAAGGACACATTTTGCCATAAGGCTGAATTTATCCATAATTGAAAATAGCTAAAAATAGAACATAACATTAAAAATCTTAACAATATTGTAATAGCTACACACCATCAACCCTATTATTATATCTATATTCATTAATGATTGTACACCTTACCAATGACAGCATTTTTATAATAGGTGACCGTTTACCTTTTACCCCCAAGTTCCAGGCACACAGGTGTTAGATATTTAGTGGCAGCCTGCATAACAATGCGCCCGACTGGTGTACTTCCTGTGTAGAAGATGAAATCAAACCTCTCGGCCAGGAGGGATGTGGTCTCGGGGACACCTCCGTTGATTACTTTGATGCAGTCCTATAAACAAAAGATACATACTTGTACCCATGTACTACTCTTACCAAGTGGTGTTTCCTTCCATGATGTTAAAAACGATTTTCCATACAAGATACTGTAAAGTTTGATAACTGTTATAGGCTCTAATCTTTGCTATTTTTGAGGATGGGCTAAAACCACAAAAAATATAAATAGAATTGATTTACAAAAACGGAATTTATTTCTTGACTTGCATGAATACTATATTTTTTTTCTTCGGCATGTTTAAGCTGAATCAAAAGAACTAAACATGAGAAGAATTTAAAGATATGAAAAGACAAAACCAGGATATAGTCAGAAGATAATCACAACAAAGTAAAGATTAACTAGGACAAACCTTAGATACAGCCAGACTGTCCACTGATAAATACTAGGTACTTACATTGTCCAGGTACTTGGGAAGGACCTGCTCCAGAGCATCTGCTGTTGCTGGGGAAACCTCGGATGGTTTTATAACAACACAGTTTCCTATCCAAAAAACACAGATAGAACTCATGACACATAAAACTTATTCATCACACTGTTAAACAATGACAACAATCATGACATATTTCCAATGTGTTTCAATATTAGTCATAATGGTAATGACTATGGTACTTGTTGTCAATGATGTTATTATTTAAATTTCTCAACAAATGAACTACATAACTAATAATATAAGTAACTAACAAGTATCTAATGAAAAAATAAATTAAAATTCATCAGGAAAGTTCTTCACACAGTAACTCTAGACAATTTCAAGAGTAGTAAAATTAATCAATAAATTTCTTGTATAGTATTAGTAAACCATTATCCTCAAAGCTATAGAGGTTATGATCACTAACGATCTCTGGAGGATTAGGAAATGGGTGGTTACCTGCTGCTAATGCTCCTATCAAAGGCATGATAGTGAGTTGTACAGGGTAGTTCCAAGCTCCTATAATCAAAGACACACCAAATGGCTCCCGTTGGATATAAGCTTTGTCCATCAAATTCATTAAACCCTTCTTCACCTAAAACCAAGAAAACAATCATTCATCTAATACTGATTTAATATTAAGAACAAAATCTTAACAGACACGAACGGCAAGCAGTACCCAAATATCATGTGTTAGAAAACCTTTTTTTTACTGTTAATAAGTCATGAATTGGTAAAGTTATATGATATTTGACCTGGATCTCTCACTGATAGCTATCTACCATGGCATCAATGTGAAGACAGTAGACCAGATTCTGTAAACAGCTTCATCTGTCAATATACTAATCATGAAATGATTATATTGATAGATGTACCAGTCTCTGTTTGTGATTAGTCCATCTTTTACACGTCATTGCAAAGCAATGCTGTAACAATTGTTGTGGTAACTTTCATATGATGAAGTTCTGAGGCTTTTCTATTCAAAATTCTCAGCCTGATGTTTGGGATTTGTTAATTACATCCACAGATTAGGAAATGAATAATTCTAACTCTTTCCATTGAGATCCCATGGTAGGGAATGATAAATTCTACCACCTCTTTCCATTGAGGTCTCATGGTATTGGATGATAAATTCTACCACCTCTTTCCATTGAGATCCCATGGTAGGGGATGATATATTCTACCATCTCTTTCCATTGAGATCTCATGGTATCGGATGATGAATTCTACCACCTCTTTCCATTGAGGTCTCATGGTATTGGATGATAAATTCTACCACCTCTTTCCATTGAGATCCCATGGTAGGGGATGATATATTCTACCATCTCTTTCCATTGAGATCTCATGGTATCGGATGATAAATTCTACCACCTCTTTCCATTGAGGTCTCATGGTATTGGATGATAAATTCTACCACCTCTTTCCATTGAGATCCCATGGTATTGAATGATAAATTCTACCACCTCTTTCCATTGAGGTCTCATGGTATTGGATGATAAATTCTACCACCTCTTTCCATTGAGATCCCATGGTATTGAATGATAAATTCTACCACCTCTTTCCATTGAGATCCCATGGTATTGAATGATAAATTCTACCACCTCTTTCCATTGAGATCCCATGGTATTGAATGATAAATTCTACCACCTCTTTCAATTGAGATCCCATGGTATTGAATGATAAATTCTACCACCTCTTTCCATTGAGATCCCATGGTATCGGATGATGAATTCTACCACCTCTTTCCATTGAGATCCCATGGTAGGGGATGATAAATTCTTTCTTTTTTTCCATTGAGATCTCATAAGTGATCCGTAATAAAAGAATGTATATGAGTGACATTTAACATGACCTTGCTTCACATTAAAGCAGAGAATGATGGTCTCAAATAATTCACAGGTTTTATCAATTAGAGTTATCCTTTGATGTCACTCCTGTACTGTTATGTAACTGACTTTTGTATCTGTCTTATCCTATTGACTGACAGAGATTTATTGTAAAATAGGAGAGAGAAGATACTTTAATGACAATATGTACCAACCTTCTCTGGTTTCATCCATTCATGTAAGTTGTTCAAGGTCTCAACCACATCATTTTTACAGTAATCGATCTCAAAAAGCCAGGATTCCATTTTGGACTGAAATGATACAAAAACATATCTATTTTGTGGCACTATGATAGTTATTGTACAAAAATCAAAGAGATTTACAAGTATTATGTAGGACAAAATGAATGAATTGTCCCACATTATATACAGGGTACTAATATCTTAAAATTAACATTTGGAAATGAAAGGCAGAATAGACAACTTCAAATATCTTTCCATTCAAGTACATTTATTCAATTTTCCCTATCCTCTTACTGAGAAATAACTAATTGTTATAAATATATATTTCTCTAAAAAAAAGGAAGAGAGAGCAATACTAACTATAAAGGTTAAAGGAAAAGT